ATTCAGGCAAGGGTTGCCAGAATGGGAGGAGAAGAAAGAACGGGAAACCCGAAGGACACCGAGCCACTTTTCCCATCACCATGCAGAGAGGCAGTCGGGACAGGTAAGTACTACTCCGTACACTACGTGGACATGCGTCTGTATGCCCCTTTTTAGTGGGACAAAAGGTCCCGTCCCTACATCGAAGCGAGCATCGCGACCTCTCGAACCGGGTAAGGCGAGAGAGAATTTTTCACACAACTAGCTCAATGAGGAACTCTTCTCTGGGGCCCTTTGTTCGAATGTGTCTCCTCGCAGCGAATGATGCCATGTGGGCATGAGAAAAGGTCGACCATGCCATGCCATGCCGACGTCTTCCCCTCCTTTCGGACGGTTGAAGGGATGGTCTTCTCTCTATCTCCCTATCTCGGCAACGGCCCTAGGATGAGCTATCACTTCATCGTCTGAGGGTGTATGGACAGACGATTCTGTCGGTAGATGCGTCTGGCTAAGTACAACGTGGGTAACGATGCCTTGTACCCCCCCGCCTCCCCGCCTGTCTGCCTGTCCATCTATGCACGTCTCTTTCGGGTCTTGGATTATGGGGCAGTACCGGAGTCGTGCCTCCTCATCAGCCCGCCATGTCTTGAGCCACCATTCTTCTCCAATCACCGGATACCTTGTGTCACGTCTATGGATGCAGTGAGATCGTACTTCGTACCCATTCTTGATACCCACATCGTCTACGATATCTCATTCTGCCCCTAGTAGAGACCCTCCATCGTACTATGCCGTAGAACAGTTCAGTTTCCCAGTACGTTCACTGTGCTTTTCGCCCGCTCCCGCCGAACTACACTCAAACGGGCGCCGAGACGAGTGGAACCATGCAGTCAGAAAAAAGTCATCAAGATGCCACTGGCGTGGGAACCTCGAGACGAGACTAACAGAGGAAAAAAAACTGGTGACTGTTTCATTCTGTCCAGTGACGTCAAACCGGATTCAAACGTCTTAGACTACCTCGAGACCAAGATTCTTCCGAGCCACGCTGTCGTTTTCTCAAAGTGTGTTTCGAGGTCGGCCTATTATACGACACCCTTGTTGTGGGGCGTGAAGAATCCAGAAGGAATCCGCTCGGTTGGGGCTACATCGGTTCTCGAAATCAGTATGGTCCAGTTTTACTCCGATTAGTCGCGCTATCCATCCTCTTTCCTCTCCCCCTGTAGCTCATGTGGCAAAGCCCAGACTAAGGAACAGGAGATTTGTTAGGGAAAGAGCCGGAGCAAGTCTGGTGCCTCTGTACACTAGAACGTAGACTACTTGCTGTCATCTCGCTTCGTCGCTCCATGGCGATCCATCAGCGGCGAAACGCTAGGCCGTACAGTCTAATCGTACCTCAGGCGCGGTGGCTACAGGGGGGCAGAATTGATGTTGTATTGGCTAGCAGGCCTACCAGAGACAGAGGCTTGGTCAGGAGAGATTTCAATTGAGGGATCTTCAGGTGTTTGCTAGATGGAAAATCTGTCCTGGGGCGGATGTTGTCTTGGCCCCGTTGTCTAATTGTTGTACGCATTCTGAAGCATTCAGTAGATTCATCAAGCTCTCACCAAGTCTATTACTATCTATGGGAAAGATGGAGAATGGGAATGGATTCGAAACCTGTCTTTGATCTCTCTTCAATCTAAGTCACAACGGCCTCCCTTGTCTCCTACGCGTCTCCTCTCCAAGTTGTCGCGAAGTTTTGAATAGTATATTCACCCTAGGCTAACTTGTCTTCTTCAGATCGCAGGTCTGCGCACCCCCCATCGAGTCTTCCAAGAGCCGCGTCTCTCGAATATACGGGTTCCCGTCGAGGAGAGCTGCCCTTGCTACTCCAGATACCATGAAACTAAGCTCGGCTTGCGGCTGGCAGAAGAGGAACCTTGTCTCGAAGATTTTTCCGCGGAGGCTCGCCGTAATAACTCCTGTCGTCACTCCCGATTGTGAGCTCTCGGCTCTCAGTATACCGTTACTTAGGCTTGTCAAGCCGGGGTGTTCTCCTATGGCCCGTCGATGTTGGCATCCACAGAACAGAGCAACAGAAACATTTTCAACCTGGACCCGAGATGGGCCTTTGCCGAACAGTTCAATCGCAGCCCTGCTGTCCTCGAAATGATCCTGCTTCAGTCTTCGCCTCGGCTCGATAAGTGACGTGAACGAGAAGATAGAGGTGTTTGCCTTTGATGATTTGTGGCTAGAGCCCCAATCAAGGGCCCTCGTAGATGGATGTGTGCTTAAGATCTAAACTATATGGCTTTCGTAGTAATTCCGCTTGTCCAAGACACCGACTTATTCGCGTTTCTCTATATCTCGAAGGAGGGTTCACGGCGTAGCTCTACCCCCCGTACGAAACGTTGTTCAAAGTGATGTCGGCGGCTTCGTCATTCCCAAACGGGACGACCTGCTTCGGTGCCTTGGTCAAGGGTTGTTTACCGCCCGCGGAGGAACACTCGGGGCTTCTGTATGATTGTGGGATCAATGATTCAGACAACTGTGAATATTCGGGGATTTGGAATATCTTTCCGTCGCCTACCCGTGTTGTCTTCATCCTAGGATGTTGGAGGGTATACACAAGACCAAGTTGCCCTGACGCCCAATTTCTAAAGTCTTTAAAAATATCGTCGAGGCGACAGACTGGTGATTTAACTAGAGACAAAGGTTTGTCACGGAGTAAAACAGGACCCTTCATCCCAAAATATCCCCCAATCCTAGGATCCATCTCTCTCGGTCTTACTTGTCGACAAGGAACGGAGCAATGTCGAACGAAGTCCCGGTCCAACCAGAGCTTGCTCAAACAACGAGAGAAAGCAAGTCGGGTCTTTGTGTGTTTCTGTTCTGGAGGATGTGTGCTTAATTAGACACTGCTACTAGAAAAAGCAAAGTTCCCACGACTTGTCCTCGAGCCGCCTCCCCGAGACGTTTCTTTCTTTTCTCTAAGATGGGAAGAGAATATTTTTACGGACGCCGGATTCCCGCTCCCCCCTTTTCTTTGCTACTTCGTATGTTGATGACCTCAAGCTCTCGGGTCCGCCATTGTTTCCCGGCCGGCTCGCCCTCCGATCTTCCCTGGTCCCTTAATCTCTCGGTCTCATACCAGTAGTTTCACATATTAAGTCGCATCTGACTAGTGGAGGGAGAGGGGGTGAGAGGATCCGGATCTTCATTGAAAAGTAGGATCCATGGGCATGTGTGCGTAACATATTCATCGAGATTGTATCACCGGCACGCATCTTCTCTCCGACGGATGATCTTCTCCGGATGTAGCGTTCCGAGCTGGGACATGAAGTTGCGAAGCTATTCATAATAGGAAGCGATCAGATCTCCTTCCACGCATAGAAACCTTGTGGAACTATCTTCGAGGAGATCGCCAATTACGCGGAAGATACCGCTAGACAGCTTCCAGCATGGATGGGAAGCGACTGGTGACATCTACAAACTATCTGGATCCTGGCCGCGAACTCCTCAAGTATTTTCAAGTTTAGTCCATTGACCATGTTGGGGATCGCTGAGCTGCCTAGTTAAGACCATCACGGATATGGTTCATCTCTGCCGCACCGCCAGCTTCCCGGCGCCTCAGCAACCGAAAAGCACTCTTAGGTCTAGAGAGAAAGGAAGACTTCAATAAAAAAGGTCTGATCATCCGTATCGCTACCGATTAGCAGCGGGACTTGGCTACATTGCAGACGAAGAGAGCCCAAGGCCAAGATGCTACTCCGCCACCGAGAAGAGCGTAACGGCCCGATGTGCATGCCTCACTTTGCGGCAACTTCGTCTTTGCTTCAACTCTGCGAGTGCAGAGATCCGCATTTTACCTTGTGATGGGAGCCGGTATAGACTAAGTATAGAATGTATCGACGATCAACACTGTTCTTAATCCATTTTGCATGAGAAGCCCGCCCTTCGGCTGGCATTCCGGACTTATGTAGTATCATCTTGCCACAGGGGACCAATACATAAACTCTCACTATCGCGAAGAGCCGTGAAGGACACACTTCCAAAGTCTAGGTAAATACACAGGACAGAAGTCACTATAGTTGGGCCAAGAAGCTGTCTATTCATCAAGCTGTCTACAATATTCCGACTCAGCCGCTCTTTTTCGCAAGGCCCCTAGCCATGCTCATATCCTCCCTGAAGATGACCATAAACACCAACGGACCCGAGAACCAGGCCCGCCACCCTATTCGAAGTAAAGAACGTCGATCTTCCCACCCGATCGCTTTTCTGCGGCGTTCAAATGTGTCGAAACCACTGGCAAAGAACCCAGGTGACAACTGTCTAAATGGAAACAAGAATACATAGAAGATGATGGCAAGGAAATGGGCAACGAGTGCGACTTGGAAAGATGTTGAAAACACAATAGTACCATAGTGTAGAATTATCCTCCGCCAACTTTTTTACTCTCAAGAACTAATGTACATGTTTATGTAGAATCGGAGAATTAGAATCGAAGCATCGCGCATGATTTTATCTGTAAACAAGATGGTGCTTGCTGCGATGGCAAGTCGAGGTAAGACAAAAGAAAAAGAACAAGTAAAAGAAAATTAGAATTGAGTTCATGGACTCATGAGAATCGAAGTAAGCTCGTGACATAGGAGATATATGCCGGAGGAAAGGTAGTGGGACGGGAGTTCTCGAGTGCCACAGGTCTCGAATGTCTTCGGACCTGGCCCATCAAGAGATTTGGAAGTTCATCCACGTCTTGCAAAAAGGAGAAGGAAAAAAGGAGAATGGGAGGAATCTCGTGATGTTCAAGCTGGAAGCCCCTTGTGCAATGTGAACAGAGGGTGTGCCTTTCAGTGCTTCGATGGTATCGCAAAAAGAAAAAGAATACAAAGAGGGATAAAGAAAAGTGTCGTGTAGGTATATTATCGTCATATCCGCTGCCTTCCCTATCCATGCATGCCCATAAACCAAACGCCAATCAATGTGAAAACGACAAAGCCTCCGGGAACTATCAAACTTCAACTCCGCAATGCATCTACGCGTCAGACTTGGGGCACACCAGCCCTCTCCCTTCCCAAGGACTCGAATAATTGATCGGGAGGGATTCGTCGAATGCCGCTCGACCGGTCAATCATTGAGGTGGGAGCTGGGATGTATCCCTCGCGCTTCTTTTGGAGCCGGTCAAGGAGGACACCGGCAAGCACGATGATCAGCATGAGACCCAGGGAGATGGCGAGGCCGATCAAGACGACGAAAACGAGGGGCATGTTACCTCCTGTGTATCCTGCGTTAGCCGCCTGCAAGGGACAGGAAAATGAAACCCAAAAAAAAAAAATAAATAAAATAAAATAAAAAAATGGGGGCGGAGGGTAGGGGAGAATAGGGGAATTGGTTCGAACATACCTCCAGCGGTGAAGAAGTCCTGGTTCTGCGAGAATATCTTTGTGATGGATCCCGCAACGTTCCCGGAGTTGGTAGTTAGAGCGTAAGGTCGATAGGACTGGCCGTCAAAGACAACGGCAGACGCGGTCCCGAAATCTTGCAGGACCAGAGATCCGGTCAATACCAAGGATTGTCTGTTTGGAAGGATGTCGGTAGCGTCGTGGCGTTCCGTCAGGGAGAAGACTTGCATGCTCTTGACGACGGAGCCCGAGAGCAGACCCTGGGGCGCTGTAAACCACTTAGACCCGTCGTACTTAATCACGAAGATGGAGTTGTCATTGGCGTGGCCCATAACCCAGAGCTGTGATCCATCACTAGATCCCATAGTCATCACCTCAACGGGGCCAGGAAGGGTATCCGCGCCGGGATAACGATCCCAAGCCTGCGTCTGTGAGTTGTATATGGCAAGCGATGTGCTAACTGTGTCGTTGACGGTCAGAGAACCACTCGCTACTAGAGTGGTGTCGCTTATCCAGATTAAGGAGTCGACGATCCCTTGAAGGTTAACACCAGGCTGCTGCCATTGAGTTTGTTCAGCATTGAAAACGCAGACACCGGAGCAGGGGAGGGAGCCAGCTTGAGTAAAGGAGCCTCCGACGAACACCAATCCAGTCTTCGGTTGGATTGCGATGGACGACACGGTTGCGTTGTCACCGCCTACCGCAGGGGGCTGGGCAGGGAACGACCTTGCGGCCAGGTTGTAGGCGACAAGGCCATGAACCTTTCCGTTTTCAACCGTACCAGTTACGGATCCGCCAGCGTAGAGGACATCGCCCCCGATAGCTACACAGGTGAAAGTCGAGTTATCGTTGATGGCGGAGCCAAGGCCGCTGATTTTGTTATTATCTGCACCATCAATGAGGACAAGATTCTTGATGGTCGAGCCATCAGAGGCAGTGGCAGAGAATCGACCACCAAGAACAGTAACATTGCGGCCGCCCGACTCGTAAAAGGCACCAGTCGTTACACCCGACACGCCTTCATCCGGCACAAGTGCACGGCGTCTGACCCTGGGCGACGAAGCCGTGGAATCCGACTCGGAGACGATTTTAACGGGGAACCGGTTCAGTTTGCCGTCTGTGAGAGTAGCGGCGCCACTTGCACTGACTTGGGAGGATGATACGGAACCTGCATATAGGGAGCCGCCTCCGGGAAGATTGAGGATTGAGGCCGTGAGGGCTCCACCATAAGCGGGAACAGACTGATCAAGGTTCTGGAGCCAATTGTTCTGAGATGGAACCCAAATGGCAAGCCCGGAAACTTGGGTGGCCGGATTGGCGCTGAACGCGACACATTCAGTAAAGTCGCCCGTGAAGGCGACCACGGTTTCAGGTTTATTGGCTGTGAAATTAAGTTGCATAGCGACGACATGCTGAATTTCGCCGTTAACACCGGCGCCGAGGGCAGTCCAAGAGTTGCTCTCGGTGTCGAAAGCGGCGGCGTTGCCGAGATCTCGAACATTCTTGGCCGCATTAGAGAACCGTCCGCCGACATACAGCTTCTTATCCACCAGGAGCATTGAGTTAATCTTGCCGTCGAGACCGCCCTCGAGCGTAGCAACGCGGTTGTCGGCAGTGTTGATTGAAACGACGTTCTTTGCATCCTGGGATGAAAGATCGCCTCCGACGTAGAGCACATCCCCCGACGTGACAAGGGAGGTAACAACGGAGCCGCCTGAGAAGCCGGAACCGAGTCTGTTAACGGCAGAAGTCTGGACATCAGAAAGCTGAACGCTGGTAGAGGCAGGGTCGTAGTCGAAGAGGCCATTTAGACCACCGGTCGAGTTAATCAAACTAAAGCCAACCCGCTGGGCTACAAACACCATCTCGTCCAGGTCCTGGCCAGCGAGAGGGGTAATGGTCACGCTGGGTCGGAAGGACGACGAAGTGGCATCAACGAAGCCGAAATAGATTTGGTCATACTTGTCGAAATTATTCGTTTGGTAGAGCGAGGTGGAAAATGAGATTCGGTTGTTGCTTGACATAATGCCGGTGATGTTAACCTGGCCCCTGGAGGGACACGTGCCGTCGCCAATGCAGCCGGGGGTGTACATATTGACGGAGTAGTTTCCTGATTCCTTGATATCGGGGAAAAATACAATGGATGCAGAGTTCTCGGTGATGGGTGCAGAGAGGCGCGCTGTCAGGTACTTAGAGCTACTCTGTGCCGAAGGAGACTCTTCCCAAGGACCCGTAGCGGTAGCCGAGGATGCCGTGCCTAGGCCAGCGCAAGCAGGCTCATTGAACCTGTTGATTGCATAGGAATAGATATCGTCGCCGAATAGCTGGATGCCGTTAAAACCAGCGCCAGAGCCATAAAATTCGGAGATATCGATCCTGAAACTATTCATTCCGACCGAGTTGACGAAGTGGAAATCTTGGAAGGGGACGTCCGGGTCATTGCTCAAGGGACACTGATTGGTGCAGGTCGAGTTTTGGCCGGTGGCAGGGTCTATGTAAGTGAAGTTGAGAATCCCGTTGTCGGGAATGACCGTAAAGCGCCAAGTCTTCGTTCCGCGGCCATCTTGTCGAGTGTTCCACAGCCTGAGCTTAGTTGGGCGGAATCCGAAGTCAAAGTCGGCCTGCCAAAATCCCAGTGAATTGTCGGCCAAAAGCCAAGTGTTTCCGGGACCGTCGGCACCGCCCGTCTTGCAGATGATATTTCGGGGATCGCTGAAGCCGGCCGACGTGGTGCTGAGCCCTGCACTGACCCGGGCCTCGGATATGTTGATGACCTGCTCATCTGGGGTAGAGGGTGTGGTGGCATTGCCTATGCCGGTGAAAGATCCGCCAAAGACGATGTGGCCGTTGGAAGCCTTGGTGATTGAGGAGACCGGTCCGTTGAAACCGGTAAAGGGAAGGCTAATCCAGCCCTGGTCTTCGTTCCAGGCAATGGCATTCGTGGAGTCATCCGCCTTAAAGTTTCCTCCGATATATACCCTGTCCGTATCCTGGTCGCAAAGGAGGGCGTTCACCTGGCCTTCTAAGCCATCTAACGGAGTTACTTCGCCGGTGTCGGGATTATACCGTGCAATGGCTTGAGACTTCTGCCCGTTGAGGCTGGTGAAGTTACCACCTATTATCACACCAGCAGAGTCACCATTGCTCCTCGTGAATGAGCACATAGTTCGGATTGACGCGTCGGTCGAGACGAGAGAGGCGAAAGCGCTATTAGGTAGTTGTGTGAGAAGGGATTCGCTGCCATTTTTCGAGAAAGTATTTTCGCTCTGGCCTTCGAATTCGTAGAGGGAGATGCCGGTGAAATCTCCAGCAACGCCTATCCGACCCAGGCGAGAGAAATCGATATTCGATTGGGGAACAGGATTGAGGTCGATCGCGTGTGATAGAGAGGGCGCAAGAGCGGTGAGTGTGAGGAGTGTCTGTGAGAGAGAAGGTGAGGAGTCGTGGCGACGCGCCCTCCGAGAAGGGCGGCGCGGGGACGAGGTCATTTTGTCGACCGCGATCTGAGAATATCGGCAGCTTGTGAGACCGGATTTCAGTTCACCGAATCAACAATAAACAGGTCCTTTACAAAATTCGCGATATGGACATCTGAAAGCATTTGTCGCGGATGATGTTCACCGACTGCTCGTCATCGAAAATGTTGTGTGGATAGAAATGAAAGGCGTCGATTCGTGTGGTCCGGCGATCGTAGCGAGGTTTCGTGCGCGGCGGAGAAATTGCGACCTCGAGCCGCGAAACGCAAAGGGAGTGGGTGAGCGTAATCGATCGTCAAAGGAATTATCGTGCGAGAAGACTGGAGTGAGGCAGGGAATGGGGCGGTGACGAGTCGTGAAAGGAACGAAAGTCGCGGGCGGAAACAGGCAGGAATGAGAGTGGAGCCCAATTATCGGCTGTTCGTTACAAGGTTGAAGACGCGGGAGGCGCAAATGAATTATCGTGGTTCGTTCCTTCTCGTTCCTGGTACGCCTCGACACGTTGAGATAGAATTTGCTGTCGTAAAAAAAAAAAAAATTCGCCTGCTCGGGATCGTCAAGTCGGGAAATTGAGTTTGGATTGGATTGCGAGAGTGTTGAAGAGATGAGGTTCGGGAGATTAGAGTTTTGACGGTGTGAGGAACGAAACGGCGCTTGGGAGTTTGGGGGGGTCTTGCTCAGGAACCTGAAGACTGAAGCGTTTTGGGTCAGTACATTGTTGTACGGGAATGTTCGGGCGAGGTGGAATGGTGTGAGGATGGTGCAACGGTGGATTGGTGGGCTTAGAGGATCAAATGAGATTGCACCTGCTCAGGTGCACGGAAACGTGGTACCACCAAGTACCAATTGGCCCCACGGATATTGACGTGGTGTGCCTGGGCAGTGGAGGGTTTGTGGTGCCAGGTGCCAACACGAGGCCTAACCTTTTGCGTGCCCGTTCCTGTCTCGGATCCTGTCGGCCGCGAAACGACAAAACACGGGGCCAACCTGGTTCGCTCAATTCAGTTCAAACAAAACCAGGCAGGCGACACAGTTGCACTTGGCTTCAAATTGGCTCGGGCCTCTTGCACTCTTGCACCTTACGTCAGATTGGCTTCAGAACCGGGGCAGGGGCCACGGAGAGAGCGAGAGCGAGGAAAATCATCAAGGCCACGGCATGGAAAAGGACAGGAGATGGGATGGAAGAGGAACAGGAATGCAAGGAATGGTAGCAATCATAAATGCCGGGAAAATGCACAAAGAGAAAGGAAAAGAAAAAAAAAAAAGGAAAAAAAAAAAAAAAAGGAATGTTAAGAGAAGACGGAAGGAAAAAAGGCGGAGAGACACAGGTCAATGATGACAGCGTCGTCGATTGATTGATGTCTCCCGTCCAAGACAAATGTGCCCACTCACCCAATTTAATTGATCTCAACTAGTAAATGATCTGGCGTAAAAGACCTAGCGGTCTAAGTGTGGCGTGTCTTCGATTGAGCCCTGGTGATGCTGGGCAGGGGATCTGAGATTCGCTCTGCCAATTTCAACCAGCCGATGGAACAGCCAATGGATCCGCGCAGAGGTAGAGGTGGCCCGCCACAATCAAGACAGAAACCCGGCCGGATGTACTATTCCATCAATCATCCACACCCGGGATGTCCAGCTCGCCTATTTTATTTGAAAGCCGGGAATGATGTCAAATCTTGACGATGCCGGTCTGGTAGTCGGGAACGTCCTGTCAGTGAACTCCTCTTCAGGTGAATATTCCCCTCCAAGCAGGTTAGAGTTTGCACCAGGTTGCTATCTTCAAGACCCAATCTTGTTCTTTTCCCACGCTCGATATGTTTAGGGTCCTGCCTAATGCCTCGGTTTTTTTTTTCTTTTTCTTTTCCTATTTGAATTGGAATTTGGGTGATGGTGTGTGGCTTGGAGTCAACGAGTGTGTAAACCACTGGCGTTCGACTTCTGGTTGGGAAAGTCTGGAAAACTGAATGCGCCGATGTGAAATTTGGTGAGAGCGAATGTGTGGTATCGATATCTGGGTCGTCGATATGATCGGAGCAAGCGCGCCTTGGGTCAAAAAAAGAGAGTAATGGAGCGAATCGAGTCGTAAATCGAGGATTCAATCTAAGCAGCGTCAGTGCATGTCCAAAACGGACAGATCAGGGGTCTTGTCGACTCATGGAAGGACGGAGATCTCACCAAAAAGCGAAAGACAAGAGCGGTTGCTGCTAGCAGAGTCTGGTTAGGGAGCGACAAAGTGACACAAGTCTGTGTCTGGAAACGGAGTGATCCGGATGGATGCACAAGAGACACCACCGGCGCTGCAACCAGCCGTCGAGGGGACAGAAAAGAGCGACTGAAAAAGAAAGGAAGAGAAAATGCCCGAAAATGGACGAAGCGAATGAGTGTCAAACGAAATGGAAAAGAAAGAATGATGAGAAGCCCAGTTCGGGGAGGGGAGAGTGTCGCTCGAGACCAAGAGAGAGATATAACCAGGAAATGAGAGGATAGAGAGCGGGTAATGCTTCGTACGTGTGTGTATCCCCTTGCTACAGAGGCTATCCTGGTCGGTAGCGTCCACCGTTGCGAGGCCGTGCAGTACTTCGTTGCCACTGCCAATTGATCAATGATACCTCAGTCGTAAACTACTTCGTATGCTTCTCAGGAACAGCCAAAACACCCTGGTCCCCGCCATTGAGAATATCGACAATCCACTTCCTTCTCCTTCTCGGCGTTGTTCGCACGCGGCTGGGGTTCCCGGCCAAAATCACCAATTGCGCCCCTGGTTTAACCCGGTCGTGCCTCCAATTCTCCACTGCCCTTGCAGCTTGCATCTGCAGTTTCCTTCCAAACGACCACGGTTTTGGTGGACAAACGCCGCCATGTTCCGATCTTGGTCTTTTATACGTTGATTTTGCCCATGCTCTGCATCAACCTACATATTTCTAGCAAAAATTTTCCCTGCCCTACAGCGATGGCGTCCTATGAAGTGTGCGATCGTGTCGTTTATGGGGTCGCACGCATGCACCAACCACTTGTGCAGCAGGCCGAACTGAACACTGAATAGGGCATCGATGGGCAGAGGCTTGCCATGTGGGATTCAGGGGCTTCATGTTTCTCCTGGAAAGTAGCATTGGACATAACTCCGTTGTGCACAACGCAACATCAATTGATCCTTCATATGGACCACAAAACTGCCTCATACGAAGTACACACCGAGGCTTTTTCACTCGCGTTTGACCGTTGATGGGGGACTTGATAATGCACCAGACTGATCCGGCATGCAAAGAGGCCAAATCGCTTCATCTGGTCCGCATTATTACTTCGTAGATGTATGGAGGAATGCTGTAATACTTCGTAAATGTTTCCCTGGCGACGCTTCATTGTCACACCTCCAAGTTTTCGATGTAATGCCGGGTCCCGTCAACCAGAACCAACTATCGATGACCTTGGGTTCCGAACAAGCCATCTTGAGAGGCTGGGCGCTGCAGCAAGACGAAGTCTGTTTTACACAGAGACCAGCCCACAACGGTCAGTGACGGGAGCAAGTCAACCCTTGAGGTGGAAGACTGGTCTCGCCGCAGGCAAATGTGGTCGTTCCATCTAAGAATAAAACGCCAGAGATAATGATGGGCCTGAGGCTGGGTATGTTCAGTATGGTCCCTTGACATGTTTCAAGGTTCCAACTTAAATGAACAATGTCTCTCCTTTGCAGTTCCAACTCAGACGGGTTTCAGCGCAAGACCAATAACACCTGGGCATTTGACGAGTGCCTGAATGAGTATAATGCCTCCATCTCCGGCCTCTCTACGCCTCGATTGTCGTCGTCATATCCGACACACAAATAGATCGCCGTCCAATCTCACCCGTCAGTCTACAAGCTATTGCTGCACGTCTTGAATGGTAATAAACCCGCCCTCTTGGCATGTTTAAACGTCCGCCCCGCGATACTACGAATTTCTAAGAGACAAGTGTTAGCCCCTGTCTCTGACCTACGGAATTTCTCGAAATGCCAGAAATCTCACGGCTTAGGGAGTCTCTCTCGCACACTCTCTTCCCCGGGCGATGTGGGCAGATCATACCTCTCAGCACCAAGCCATGGATCAGGTCTCTAGAGCGAGGCCTCGAAAATGCCGTTCTGAAAGGATTGCCGTCATGTCTAACCTGTGATATCTGAGCCAAGTACGCCATACGTGAGACATCCACCCGTCGTGAGGGCACGAATTTCTTCTTGGGTTCCTTCTCGTAACAGACCAAGAAAACACGAATGTGGCGATGCCGCCTCACATAATGATCGATTCCCCTTCAGTGGAATCTCAGAAATTGTTTTCCCTTTATAATTGTGCTGCCAATAGTCCAGCTTTTGCGCCGCCTGCCCTTCCCGCACTCATCGTTCTGATCTACACTCCCCATAATAGCATGAATAGTATAAACAAACTCCAGTTTCAACCCAAATCTCCGGTTCCGACGTATATGTCTTGCAGTCCCGCGCCCTTCCCCCATGTCTTTCGAACATGGTAGGTCACCTTATTCTGATTGCCCGGCCCCAAGCCTCGAAAGCCTCCGACACGGCATTAAAACCAGACAAAAAGAAAGCGTGGGTGAAACTGAGCCGCGCCTTCTGTCTTCCAACACCAGCCTCGGTAATAAATACGCTACGAAATAGATAGGACCAGTACTATGATGTTCCACATAATCTTCTAGCTCAAGATACTAACTAAGACTTTTTAATTACCTTGCTCCGTGGGCCCGCGAGGGAATTTCCTTTCGAGGGGCATGCCACATCATAGGACTGCTGCTGTCTTAGCGAGTCGGCCAAGTTGACAAAGGCGGGAAACCTTAAGCACCCATGGCTCTCAATCGGAGGGAATACCCGGAAAGGGGGTTTCGGCCAGACTCGCAAGTCTCACGGGCGGAAGCTAGTATGCGTTCGAAGTCATTCTCGGTCAAGGCATCCTACTGGGGAGTGGACCCGGTGTTGGGTGGACCGTGGGAGGATTCACCGATCCAGGGTAGCTGCACCCCAGGTTAAAAGCCTTCCCATTTTCTCCGATAGCACTGCTTGAGAGTGGCAGTGGACAACCGCCCTACTCCCCCGTTGAACCTCACCATGAATCTCACCATGGCATGGGGCGAATGGTCAAAGGGCTCATCTTTACAGACCCTCGCTCAGCGCTGAGGATCTCTACATCATCACAGAGCCAACAAAATCAAGAAGTGATGGGTAATGACAAATGGGAGTAGGAGGTTCGTTTACTCATATCATTCATGCAAAGGAGCCTGACTCTACTCCCGTAGGGAGGCGTAGAATAGTTTATAGCACCAGTAAGACCATCCCCTCATCCAGCCTATAAACTCTTCCTGCCAATTTAGAACGCAAGGGTTCCTAATCTGTTATTAAGTGATAACAGATACCCGCAACTTAGCTTTGAACCTTGAATGTCCTGCCGCTTGCCGTCTTTCTTTCCTTCTCCTCGTTGTCCGGCCTGGCTCTTCGCAGAACTGAACCTTCATGTTAGTAGACGCCAAGCACACATGTTGTTCGGGATGGACTACCATACCTTGGAGGAAATCAGCTGTTCGCTTCCTCATTCGTGAATGGATATAGGCCTTGGAAGCCTTAATATGGTAGTGGAAGTAATCGCGGAAAGTCTGAATATGCGAGATGACATCCGGCATACGCTGGGGAGTGAGGTGTCGCGGGAAGAGAACTGTAAAGAAAGTTAGTCACATCCTTACAGGGGCCTCGAAACGCACCCTCCAGCCTAGGAAACCCTACCAAAAGTGACATAGCCAATCTCTCCCGTGCCAGAGTTCGCAACGCCGGGAACACCCTGTAACTCAAGGGGTGGGTCGTTTCGGAAAAGCACCTGAGGAGCGTTCTGAATTGCTCTCCTCCGGGCGTCCACGAATTCTTGGATAAAGACCTTCCCAAAGACTCGGTCCGTTTCTTCGCGGAAGACGGTGCTGAAGATTACCGTTACCCTGTCGTGGCTTGCCTTGAGATATATCGCCTCCTCCTCGCGGTAGTGAATGGCCATGACCTCGCCGCCTTCTCGGACACCCTGGGGTGCTTCCTCGGAGGTATATTTCGACGCTTCGTCTCTGAGTTGGTAGTATTCTTGGTACGCGAGTTCGAACGGCGCGGCCATTGCGTTGCGCTTCAGGAGAGCCATTTTCATGATGAGGTCGTCGCGGGCCTCTGTAGAACTGGTTAGGAAGTTGGGAATCGAGACAGAGAAAAATCGTCCTTTCTGGGGGGCTTGCCTTTTTCCGCTGGGAGGTCCTCCAGGTCAATCATTACGGAAAAGTCGAAGCCTGGCTCCGGCGCAATGACGTATTGACCATACTCCCGTTGCAGCACCTGTTCCGCTCCGTATTTTACCAAATCCTTGAAGCATCGTATCTGGATAGACACCACTATCTTCGTCTTCGTCTCGGGTGTAGAGATATGGAAGAGAACGCCATCGAAATCCGACACAGTCTGGTCGATGGTCGCTGGGGGAGCCCTAGTTAAGGAGCTATGTCAGTTTCGGCCCCTTTAAGAGTTGCCAAGGTGGGGGAGGAAGCCCGATAAACTAACCCTGAGAATCTCTCGGTGAGAATGGACTGGATTAACACATTCTGGTAGTCTAAGAGAAGCATATTGCCGTTTTATCTGCCTTCGATTTGTGCGAGTGGGAGAGGTGATAGATGAGTGTCGCGGCGATGTTGCTTGGAAGTCACCGAGTTCAGTAGTGGGGTTGCTTGCCACGAGTCCCGCGCCTTCTGAAGCCAAGCTCAACGACACAAGGTCCTGAGAAAAGTGATGATGGTATGATCACGTGACTTCAACGTCGCTCAGTGTCTTGGGCCCAGGACTTAATACAACTTCGAGGTGCGAGGACTTTGAAGGCCCGGACTGACTCTCGACAATTATCCCCAAAGGAAAATGAACACTTCTATTCGCGATACGAAACGCTTTCCTCTTCATACGTATCTTAGACTATCGTTCCCTAGCCGTTCCAAAATGAAGCAGTGCAGTCATGCCTCATGGCGTTTTCATTGCGAAGGGCTCGAGACATGCCTGACAAGGAAATCCAGCAAAACGAATCGAAAATAAGTAACTAAAAGAACCAAGGGTTCAGGGCGGGTATCGAAGGGAAGAATATAAGACAGGGAATATTAACAAATACAACAATAAAACAAAGTAATAACGGAATGTAAACGCGCCATGACCCGAAGAACTGCCAAACTTGCAGTGTCTTTTTCCATCCATATACTCCGTGGGTTGGGTATTAGCTCGGGTATTCAAACCCCCATCTATAAAGTTTTTCGCCTTGACCGCCTAGACGCCAATGAAACCCTCTCCATGGTAACATACTCAGCTGGACTCAGCCAAACTCGAGGTCAAGCAGAAAGGAGAAGTCGTCAAGACACCAGACAAAATAGCCTCGCCATCACTAATTAGTATAGACCTCCATCTAAAGAAACCATTAAAAACTTCATTACTCCTCCGCGGTTGAACCTCCACCCTCAAGAATCAGTCTTGCTTCATTCAGCCTTCTCTTCATCATCATATGCTGCGGCGATCCTTGGTCGTGCTCGCTCAAACCGAGAACACACCGCCCTAGGCTAGCGACTAGGCGCTGGACGAGGAGTTGATCTTCTCTGGGTAGCGATTGGATTGGAGAGGTACTTCCACCCTCAATGCCTTCTTTACTGAAGATGCTCGTCGTCTCGTTCATGAGCGTGTCTGAGATGCTCTTTAATTCCTGGTCGGGGGAACCTTGTGGGGTCAGGATGCCACCATTCATCTTCACCTTGCTGTTGACATTGACAAGTGGGAAGCTCCTATTTGTACCAGTCGATTCGAAGGAAGACACTGATGGGCGATGGAGGCTAGTCCTAGTGGGTCGGTAGATAACGGAGTTATGCCGCCGCCGAGCCCGGACGCCATTTATATAATCATCATAATTCGTGGAACCAAAGGATGACGAGTTCTCCGGTTCCAGCTCCGGTTCCGGTTCGCCCGACGCTGATGAATTGGATTCCTCGACACCAGCGGGCGCCTCAGCAGCAGTGGTGACTGGGCTCTTCTTGCCTTCATCGGCAGTTGCAAATGTGTCCGTGGTCGAGGTCGTATCGCCACTTCCCCTTCTAGTATGGTGACGAGGCCGCACCTCCTGCTCGTTAACTGTCGAGATGGGCCCTTTGGTGGTTTCGACTGAGTCGTCAGAACCGACGCTTCCTCGCCGCTGGAATTGCTGCTGACTGATGGTCCCCATGGCGCTATGCAAAAAGAAGTGCTCGTAATCGAATGCGTCCTCTCTATCTTCGTGAGAGAGCGGGGTTTGATAAGCATCATGATAAAGGGAGTCTCCGCTTTCACTGGTGTATCCGCTAATGGAACGCCGAAAAGGCTCGTCGTCGTCGTCGATGGGCTCTATTCCGTCTTCAGTGCACATATCATCGATATCGTCGGACCCTTCGCCATCCACCGCTGGGTCCTCATGCGATGGAGGGTCGGCATGGCTGATGGAGACTGAGTCCATTGGAGAAATCTCAATCTTAGCCTCCTCGGGGGGTACTTCATACTCGCGAGGAGGTGATGACGGTTTATCTGCAGCTGAAACCGGATCGTGGGCATTTTCTCCGTTGAGAATTTTACCAGCTTCGCCGTTATCAACACTGGAAACCTCACCGTTCCACGGACTCCTCTCAGTGGTGTCAGTATTGTCCGAGGAGTGCTTCTGAGGTTCAGCATACCACTGCTCGATCCGAGCATGGGTAAATGGGCTGGGAGTGCGGAGACTCTGGAGGCTTCGGCGCTTCAAACTATCGGCCCTGGCCTGTTCACGAAGCGTCGAAATCTTGCCCTTCAGCCCTATCATCTGCTCCTTCAGTTCTCGCATCTGAGCGGCAGAGCCAGGACGTGAACCTGGTAGATCCGGATGATGGCCAAAGGTTGGGCTGAGGAAACCGTCCAGGTGCGCACTGGTCCTCCTTGATTTTGACTCACTGCCAGACTCATCTTCGCTCAGTGTCTCAAGGCTATTATCTGTTTGATTATGGGGTGCCCCATGCACCGATCGAGCCAGCCCCAGTTTCAGAGTGTCGAGGCTTTTGGAGCCGTTGAGGGGTTGGCGGTAGCCCCCGGCTGCGCCCAGAGCGCTAGCAGACCTTCGCGGGTAAGCGCTCGGTGGGCTGGTGTTCGTATCGGTCTGTATCAGGTTGTCGCTCGGCATTCTCGAATGACCTACTTTCAACGGTACCGAGTTTGGTTCGCTCGATGCACCGAGGGGGCTGGCAAAGGGGGGAGAGGGGGCTGATAATGATCCGTCGGATTCGAGAGTCGAGTTGATATAAAGGGAGCTGCGGGCTCTCGATAGATTTCCTTCCATGGTCTAACAGTAATAGGAGCATAGTATTAGTACAACCGACTAGGTGAGCAGCGATACAATGGAAAACTAACCGTCAGCCTCCGCTTTGCGTTGGCGAGGATGAGCTCGGCACGTCGGCCTATCGAACTCGTTGAATATCTGTTCTCTTCGTTTAGTCCACTGCCATTGCCTCCAGACTGCAAACGGGTGGATTGGACAGACGCGTCATCTGCAAGCGACTCTGCCACACTCTCTTCATCATCTCCCTGGAAGTTGCTGTCGCCGACGCTCACGGCATCGTCAAAGTCGGCAAACAACGCAGGCCTATCAGACGTTGTCACAGTACTCGTGGACTCGATCGAGTTGCTCCGTTCGCGCGGAACATTCTTGCGCCGTTGTTTCGCTGTTGGGGCGGTAACGACGCCGGCGCCCATGGTGGGCGAGGATCGCAGGGCAGCATCGCTGCCGCTGTTGTTGTAGCTACGGGCGCGAAAGGGAATGGGAGACGCCGGGCGTGAGTTTCCACCAACGGTGCTCTCTACCTCGGTGACCTCGCCAATATCCGATAGCATGGTGCCATTGCCATAGATGATGGGAGTAGTAGGGGTGATGGGTCCTGCGGGGAAAGCATTTTGGAGAGGCATGTGGTACTGCATGTCGGCGAGAGTAAGGGGGGCCTTCCACATATGCAGAGGGGATTGAGAGCGGTCGGGCGACGATGAGCGTTCGTACTCGGGTAAAATCATGTCAGGATTCGTGAGGGTGGGCGACGCGGGAAGAGGAGGGTACGGCATCGCTAACATAGCGCCGGACGACCGCTGCTGGAAGTCATCGGCGTAGGTAGTTTCGGACGGCATGGTGGAATATCGATGATGCCCGCGGGCGGGACTTTAGGGTATCGGCACTAAGGCCTGTGGATCGGTGGAGAGTAGTTCTGGCGCGGCGTCTGTTTTTGCTTTGCGAGATGGTGTGGGACTTGAATGGACTGGGTGAATTTTCGTCGACTTAGCCTTTGTCCCACGGCGAGTTATTCCTGACTTGTCTGCTCTGCGGCACAATTCGAAATACAAGGGTTTTTTTTTTGACCTGGAAAGTTTAACCGTATGCGATCTTCCGTTCACCCACTCGACGCATGCGGTCTAATGACTTTATTTTCCCCCAAACAATGGGTAAATTAGACCTTCATCACGCAACGAATTCCACAGATTGATGATGGGCGAAAGGAGTAGAGCGGGGTGAGGATGTCGGCTCTCGAGACTCAATCCGACAGAATACAGCCGAGGCGAGGTATCGTATGGCGAAAGGCTGTTAGATCCAGTATTGTATCAATCCGGTTCAGGAAGGGGTAGACTGTTTAAACTCTGCGCCGTCGGCGACGTAAATAGATCGGTGTCGAGCTAGCTCAGGGCCGAGCAGTGAATATTGACCGATTGGGACGGAAGACCAGAGAATAATAAAAAAGAGTTTGAAGCCGGTGTCAGGTGGGTAATGACCTCCTGACGTTCAATCAGGATGGTAACACGGAAACCAAGTCGACTGGCAAGTTGAAGAGGATGTTGAGAGATGCCAAGTGACTTGCGCTACAATTCCGAAGGGCGAGGATTTCGGTTTCGCTCTCACTGCATGCCAACTCAGGGTGCATGCATTAAGCAGATACAGGTGGGAATGCGAAGCCTTCAGGGTGTCTCAGGGGGAAGCTGGTGATAAAAGGGAGCATTAAGATCGCCGAGCTTGGAGGATGAGGAATGTGCGGGTCTTCGACTGGTACTTCCCCAATCTTGTCAAAGGACGTCAACTTGGGGTGGTCCGCCGCAGGGAGTCGCGGATGGTCGCAGATAATGTACGAAGTACGCAGCGCAGGGCAAAATCTGGTACTTGAGAGCCAAAGTCCGAACCTGGCGCTTTCGGGGAGGTATCAATGCAAGTTCTGATGGACGCGTCAAGTGCTGGGACCAGAACAATGGTTTTGATGATCGGGTCAAGGTCCAATCACAGGTCCGAAAGAGAGGACAGCGCCGTCGAGGTTAAAAGGGGGCTAACGACGATGATACAGCTGAAAGAGGAGCCGAGATTCGGTCGGGACCGATGCCTTGTGGATACGTTGTGCTGATAGATTTTGATGCAATGGTTCAATGGAGACGTTTAAGTCAAGCTTCAGCCAAGGGGATAAAATGAGAGATTCTCGTCGCGAGGGGGAAAGAGAAGAGATAAAAATACGTGGACAAATATGGGTTTCTTTTTCCGCATTCCTTTTTCCTCGTCGACTCCCCCGCTCCGTCACCCTCGTTGCTCTCTCTCTGTTTAATAAGAGGGAGAAAAAGCGCTCCTCGCCCAGGGTAAGAGTTGGAAGGATCCCCTGGTTCAGAGTGACATCAATCAATTTCAAATGTTGCAGGACAAAAACTCGGGAACTGGGAACATGAACCAATTTGTTCTTGCACCAGGAGTACTCAAACTTTGGTACCTCGACTCCTCAAATCAGCAAGTATTTATTCCTTGTAGTAGCAGCACGACAACAAATAAATTAATTTTGTGCCTGTGCAGCCAAATCGACCTCTTGCATCAAGAGAACACCGAACAGTCTCGCCCTCGGAAAACAGCCGGGGCCAATTAAAACGCAAGATCGATAAGTCTCTGGACCAGACTGGTTCAAAGGACAAAGGGACGAAGGGAAGTACTCATTCTCGACCGTAAAAGGGCAACTCGCATTGTAATGTTCAAGGTTGTATGTTGTCAATCAAGTACGAAGTATGTCATGTACGAAGTATAGCGCCGGTACTGGCAAATCTCCCGGGCATGCGTGATGAAGCCGGGTCCTCCATGGAACCGGCAGCTTTCGAACTCTTCCATTACGACGCTGTAATTAGTCCAGTTCAGACAAGGAAACGGTGCCCTGCTGCTGCATGCTGGATGATAAATAATTGATGCGTCGCGTCGGAGATCCATGAAAAGTAACTGTTTTCCCCGACCACTTGAGGAGTTTAAAACAAGCCAAGCACGGAGCCAGTAGATTTGGTGTTAAATCCCAAGGCCAACTGTTACTGTGGTCTTCTGCGTGGGCATCAAATATCGACGCTCCTGACTTCGTACTCAGCATCATCATTACCCAAAGAAGTTTTCACACCCACCCACTCCTGGAATGTTGAACCCCCCCCCCCCCCCCCCAAAAAAAAAAAAAAAAAAAAAAAAAAGAGTCAACATTCCGAACACAAATTACATCCCCTCTTTTCCAAAGCCCACTCACCGCTCGATGCGCCGGCCTAGCATGTTGTGTAGGCTTATGTGTCGCCGTCTGGTCAAGGCCCTTGGTTTTGATTATTATGGGTGTCACTACGTTGCATCAACTTTGCCTCGGTACTACGATGGTCCACAAACGAGAATACCATGAGTGATGATCAATATTATATTACTATGCTCCATCTGTGAATGATAGCTAGCGTGCGACAAGGGTAGACCACAACGCAGAGCACCGAGCCTGCTCTTAGATAGTGTTGAACCCACACCCGACTACTCCCCAACGACGTTTCCACGTTCGACGCAATCCCATATAGAGCCCGGGCCGAGGTATTACTTCATGCCCGGGGAATCACACGCCGCAGACGGTCATGTTCCGTAACCGTGTGGTTGGCGCCGTTCAAGCGTGTGTTTTCTAATCGACAGAGTTAGCCCTCGATCCTCAATACGTGTCGTGGCTTCATGAAATGAGTAACACAATGCTATTTATCAGTTCTCCAAGGTGAAAAAGTGTTCATCACGATGAACTCAGCTAGAGCTAATAAAACGGTCATCAGGATAGCGAGAGGGAGGGGCAGAAGGAAACAACCGAATAGACTTACACAAGCCGATCTTAGAGATCACAGTTGATATCAGCAGAGATACTATTACCTACTCATACCGAGCAACAGTTAGCCAGGGCTGGGACAATTTTGGGTTCGTGTATTATCAGGCAGAGAACTGCAATTGGTACAGGTTAGCTTTCATGAAAGTGTCACTGTATTCCTCGAAGTAATAACGTACTCGAGGAGAAGCATCAGTATGGATATGTTGTGTTCATGTCCAGCAGTATGTCGCCAGTCAAACAGTGTGAATAACGGATCATCATCTGCAACCCCTTCCGCGTGGATATATTGCCCATTCATGTGCACAGGGTCAGAACGGCAGAGTGAATCATTACCTGAATTACAATGCTAGGTTAGCAGCTATGTCTATCGAACGTTCGCAACAAGCCAAGCCCTCGACTCAATCCAATAATCAGGAGACGAATTCTCATCCAGAGGTCCTGTCAACATCCCACCCCAAGGTTTGTACGTCCTTGTTTTCAGCGGTGAGAGTGACAATGCTCAATATGTCCGCCCGTTCGTCAAATTCATCACAGTGGAGAGAGGTTTGGACTTGGGTCACCCAAGGGATTCGAGAGCAAATTACCTGGTAGAGCCACTGATGTTAGCTTGTGATCAATATGTTGAATGCAACAATCAAAATTTCAAGACAAGCAGTTGGTCAGACAAGGCTGAAACTAAAACAACTGAATCCACATCGTGTTTTCGGCATGAGGAATCCCTGTGTCGTTGATGTTCATCATCCAAGGGAGGGGGAAGTGTAGGGATATGACCCAGTAAAAACAGGAATAGCAAACCTCACCTTTTAAAAAGATTACGCAAGAACCTGCAGGGGTAACACCCAAGATGAGGAAGACCTATCTTCATCCCGTTCAATGTTAGCTTCAGGCGGGCAGATAGAGAGCGGCCAGTCGACGAGGTGAGGATGTTTCTCAGTGTAATTCTAGAGCTTAATGCGAATCACCATGGTGCTGGTCTGATTTGGATTGTTCAAAAAAAGAGGATCATCAGAGAAACGCCAGAGCCACTTGAAAATTAAGAGCTCTGACTGGGGAAAAGGAAAATTGTTTGTGCTCACCCTTTGTTGTGTGGTTGTTGTGGAAGAGAGAAATTTTGGTTCAAGCTCGAATCGAAAAAAAGCCTGGTATGGTTCAAAAAAGGTGATTACTAAGACGAAGTAAAATGACTAATCGTAGATCCACCAACCACAGATTGCGGGGCAACCCGGGAGCAATTGAGGCGTGTCTCGGATAACTTGCGTAATGCACCCGCTCTGAAGGCCTCCACCACGGGTCCGACCAATATCCCCATTCCATCATCCCATCATCTTCTTTCAGAAATCGTGAATCCATCTTCGATTTTTGCTTTCTGTTGCTCCGCGGCCCCAATTGGTGGTCAAATAGGTGCGCAGAAGATATACAGGATGGCCGCCGTGGGGGGGATGTGGGCTCCTGTAGCCATGCGCCTCCTCCGGGTCGCCGTGATGAAAACGACTACGGCTTTGCGAACACGCGTGGCGAGCGCTGCAAAGCCCATGCAAGCCCAGCTCCAAAATTTTGCATTCGCAACGACATCCACAGGAAGACAAGCTATTCATCCCATTGCCGCTCTTCGCCAACAAAGACGCTTGACAAGATGGTATCATGCAAACACTCGAAAGAACCTCGCCGGCACGATCCGTCGGTTCATGAGCGACGGGTGCACCGGCGGCTTTCGACGCGTAGATAGGAGCAAGTTACCCTCATCGAAAACATCTCGCCGTGTTTCCCAATTTACCGGCAGAGCTCCATTCGCGAGCACCCTACGACCTAACCTAACCGGAGGAGCAATTCCAAGGACTGCGGGAGGGTACACTGTCGGAGGCGGAAGCGTCCGGTACTTTTCGCATACCCCAGCAGCGCCGGCTGAAGTGATTCACAATGTCTCTGCAGCTGTAAGGGCATTTTGGCTTTCTGGGCAAAGGGCTCGTTTCGATGGCATCGACTCCAAGGGCTATCCTAAATATCGTGCAGTCTCAGAGCTTGAGAACGAAGCTGCTCGACACATGTTCGGCTATTCCAAGACCTCCCCGGGCTCTTTCATCGATTTCCACCTAAGTCCCACCATCACCGCTTTCGGCCCGCTAACTCCGGCACTTCCTTTCCATTCAGCAGCTGCCACCAGCGAACAACCTGAATCATGCGTGCAATCGGGCAGCTTGGGCCAGGACGGCGTCTTGAACGACCTTGCGTCCGACTTCGCCAGAGCCTTCAAGGACCTGAGCATAGTCTTCACAGACATTAAACGTCTTGCTATGTTGGGTGATCTGCCAGTTGTCATGGTGAAACCCGATGTCCTAAGGATCCGGTTCCCTGGAATTGACGCTGCAACGGTCGAACGATTGTGCGATGATCTTGGGGTGCGGCGAGGTTCTATCGGTGAGGACCCCGACTTCGCAATCTCGATGGGTGTGCCGATTGCTTTGAGATTTCCATTTGCTCCCGGTAGTGAAGTTGAAGATACAATAATCTCTCCGACAATCTCGTTACGCTCCATGGATAGCGAGGACGTCCACGAGGCGTTCATGGAGCTTGAAGAAAACCCATGGTTTTCCGACCCGGAAGGGTATGATGCCGCAACCCCGTATTTGAGTTCCGATGGGTATTCATCCCAGGACTTCGAGGGACTGGAGGGTATTTACAAGTTTTTGCAAGAATGTGACAGATCCAGGCCGAGTTTCACCTCCTCCTGAGAGCTGCGCCTGGTCTCTCAATCGTCCTGGAACAAAGGAGTCAGTTTCGCTCACTGCACTACACTCGTTTTAGATGTTATTCCGTACGTGTAAAATCTCTAGGTAGAAAATCTCAAGTTAGTTTGGCCACAATACCCTGATTATACTAGATTTCGCCGTCTTTGGTTGGTTGCTCAACCCATCCGACCTCGTCCAAGGGGAGTCTTTTTGGATTTCCCAGCAAATTGGAGGTTGAATCTTGAATCTCAGATGGTTATGTTGTGTCTTGTTTTTGTCTTTTCTTGAGACTAAAGCACTGAGCCCGAGGGGGGTTCGTCGAAGTGGAGTTGGCTGCACTTCACTAACATATCGCTGAGGGAGCAGTAACAGCCAAATATTGCGTTCTGGTGGTTTAACTCATTGGATTGCATTTGAGGGAAACAAGACAGGAAGCGACTAAAGAAAAAAAAAATGGAAAACATTTTCCAAAAATAACAAGAGGGACAAGAGTTTATAAAAGAGTTGAAGGAGAGGGCCAAGGCAAATATTAGCCACCATAAATAGATTGATATTGATTTATGTCGTGTTGAAACCCCAAAATGGTTCGAGATACACACCACATTAACTCAGGATTAGGCGGCCTGGTACAAAGGTATTGAAGAGACAAATGCACAAATCAATTGCTGTACCATATTGTCTTGTGTTGATTACATGTGCAGCACCAGAGTACGTACCACAACCAAGTCCATTTGTCCCCACCTGCAAGCAGCCAAAGCTTCCACCGTCTACCTTGAGCTCAAGCAGCCCAGTTGTCTCCTACCCTTCACAGACAATCTATTCTGACGATATACAAATAGCAATATTTGATTCTACAGAGGCCTGCAAACTCGAACAGCTTCCGCATATCGCACACCACCTCGAGGAAATACGCAATGGCCACCCTTGGCGGCTTCCTAAACAGTTTGTTTCACCCCGCTCTCCTTCTCTCGAGCTACTGATTCCCTCCTTTGGGTCCTGTGGAGGCTAACATTTGGTGACAGAGAAGGTTCTTATCATCACTGCTGACTCGAGAACCCTCGTAGGGACTCTGGTGGCCACAGATCAAAACACGAATCTTGTACGCCGTTCCTAGAAGCAGCCTTCGTTCTATGACCATCCCGCGCCGCCAGCTTTCGAGACTAACTCGGCCGTCTTCGTAGGTCCTCCAGGAAGCTCACGAACGAGTAATACGGACGCCAGACGACGATGAGCCATCTGTCCAGGTCCCCCTAGGGCTATATCTTGTTCGCGGTGATAATGTGTGCACTGTTGGACTTGTCGACGAGAAACTGGACGAAAGTATCGACTGGACAGCTGTGAAAGGCTCGGCCATTGGGGGAGTTAAACACATATAAGTCGGGGTCTACCTACTACTCCCCATTGCGTGGCGAGTATATAGGGAAGTTTAGAGACTATTGTTGGTAGCGGCATTGTGGGGAAAGGAACGATAAAACGGGTTGGCGAATGATAGGCATTCAACGGCGTTCGGGATACGGGCGGGTAGAGTAATGTGTACAAGATGCCTTTTAACGAATATATTCACGGGGTAGCTATATTTATAAGATACCCAGTCCATCAGGTTGCAATGATGCTCCTCCAGTCGCGCTCCACAATATGCCACGCAAAAAGCGATTATCACATTAGCCAAAGATTCGCTTCATGATGTAGCCTTCAAATACTCTCTCTCCTGGCGACGACACCATTCTCTTAATCCTGTTTCCTTTTTTGTGGCTGAGCCACCCTTGACTATCGCCAGGGACGTCGTCCAACATCACGGCACCTAGCTGGACTATTTCGTCGGGAATTTCGTCGGCGGCCTCCCCCGGCTTCTTTCGCCCACGTCGGTCGATGATGTGCTTTCCTCGTGACCACTGGCCGCAGGTTTCAACCCTGATATCTTCTAGCTCGGGCGCGGGCTTCCAGGCCGGATCTGACTGGGTCAGAAGATACCAGATAGTCATTGGGTCATGAAGGGAAAGTCCGGGCTCAATTCCGGGCCCGACCATGGATTCAATTTTCTCGAAAGATCTAGAGAGGAAGTGGTGGACCCATTGCGCCAGCGGGCTACCCTCTTCCAAACTAGGCTTGATGGCTTCGGAAAAGAAGTCTTTGTTGAGGAGGTGAGGCTCGGTGATGTCTAATGGGAAGAGCGTGAGTTTAAGTCTGCGGGAGAGTCTTTCCGGATACGGCGGAAGACTCGAGATCTGCTCTGGAATTGAGGGCATTGTTGTCTTGGGATTCGGCGATGTCAACGCATATACTCGTGCTGCGGCTACCGCATCCGCGTAGCAATTGAACTCGGCCAACGGAGTGATGTTGCCGGGCACATCAACAGCACCCCCCATAACAACCAACTCCTTGACCCTCAAGAAAGCCTCCGGGTCCTCAGCCGCAGCTAGAGCGACGTTGGTCATCGGGCCTAGAACCGCAATACTAATCGTGTCTTCGGGATTTTCTCTCAGTAACCGCAAGATCTCCTTATGGGCGGGGGTCTTGGAGGGAGTGTAAGATGAAGGGGTGAACCCTGGTTCCGATGCCCCAGCTTCATCGTTACGGAACATCGATTTCCATGTGTCTGCGGGAGATAAGTGAGGATGTTGGTCATGGACACCATGCAATCCATCGGCGCCATCTGACGTGAGGCCAACCCCAGGTTAGAGATTTTATAAGGACGTATATAACGCTATGCCTGAGATGCTACTCACGAAAATGATCTGCCATTAGCGCCTCATCATCGAGAGGATGCTCCGGACCAACGGCGATGATGGGTTTAAAGGCCCGCATAGTCTCATAGGCCCCTACCCTTGCCTTGGATTGTCTCCAGTCTAGTTCCTTCTCTAGTACGTGGAAGAGTGAGACGACATTTCGCAAGCAGCTAGATTCACCAGAAAATATTGTCAGCAGCGTTAGTGGGGAAACTTGGCTGGGGACCTTGATATCCCATTCGTCGTAGTTCAGGACGCACCTTTGTTGAGGAACATTTCCATAGGTGACGGAGATCATCAAGACCTCCAGTTCATCAGGCGTTGCAGACAAAGCCAGCAGCATCGCCAAGACGTCGTCGACACCTAAAAGCCTTCCTGTGAGTCCGATATCTCTATTTCATTACAGATGTCGGTCTTGAGAATACGATAGACGATGAAACACATACCTGGATCGGTGTCGATGATGACTCTATTCTTCGGCGCCATTGCGATTCGATATAAATAATATGTCTCTGCGTGTATACTGAAGGCGAGTGGTGCTGGCTTTGAGAATCTTCAAGTTAGCCCTGATGCCTGGGTCACAGAAGAGGGAGGGAGGAAATGCAGCCCGCCAGCCATTTTTTATGGAGTGAGCCGTTACTTCGTCGACTGTCGTTCATTCACAATTTAGGAAAGATATTCATACATAAGGACTAGCTTGTTGATACGGCTAGAAAAGAGAGAATAAGTGTCGCACGTGTCTCCGTCGAGGATAATAATAGTGTCAAACACAGGTCACACGCAGCTTCGTTGTTCAATACTCAAACTGCTTCGGAGGAGGCGGGGTTCGTGGTGTAAGTCAAGGTTGAACTCTGGTGGCGGCGGTGGGGGATCGACTATATCTGAGCGGCCCAGGTTCGCATATTCGACTTTTAGCGCCTTAGCGCTTATCAAAGCTGTCCCAAACTCGTCTCCTAAGGATTCGATTGGATTGACCAGTGCTTGACGTTCCCATTGAGTCACGAGTGCAATCATTGCTCCCCCATTCTCTGGAGTCTCATATATTCGATTTAGATTTAATTTCAAGCCGGAGTATCTAGAGAACTGCATATTTAAAACAACTTCTTCCATCGAGTTAACTTGAGGACGCGAACCCCTTTGCGACTAGTATAACGCGTGCCCTTTTTAATACCAGCTCTTCTCCTCTTGAGGTACGCACATGTCTGGTCCTGAATTAGTATCAAGGCACACCTTCCGCTTCCACCAAAAGCCGAGGTCACGTGCTGTCGACTGATCTGGAAATTGTTGATTGGGTCCAGAGACAAATCAATTGGGGGCTGGACTGGAGTCGTTCTCGTCCCTTTGGGAGAAAGGTTGAAGCATAGCACGAGGTAAAATATTTAATATTTTTTTAAAATTTAGGATATGCGACTCAATAGTTCGTCAAGTTGTAACTAGCTATCATTATCTTATTAAAGGTGTTCTCGGAGGCAGCGGAAGATTTATTGTTCATTGTTGGGACAAAGAGCAGTCAAACATCATCACATCATCGCTGAAGAAGGCAGGAGGATCAATGTATTGAGCCGATAATTTCCCGAATGGTGTGAAGCCGACACCTGGCGTTTCTCTAATTTTTGCCCCCTACTGCCAAGATCCATCTGAACACGTCCATCAACACGACCACTGAATTTATTCCTCTAACATCTCGTCCTCCTTTCCCCCTTTCCTTTCCTTTTTTACCCATTGATTTACCTATTCTCCCTTCCTTTTGTCAGCCCTTTCCCTTACTATTAATCCTCGCTCCTTTTTGAGTTCAAAGGCTGTGGTTTAGTATTGCCTGCTAGCCTACTGCTTGGTGCGCAACTTGGAGCAACAGGAGTTGCAGAAGCTCCTCTGGTGAAGACAAGCTACCATCAAACCTGGTTTAAGAGATCAAGGCTTCTTGTTCGGGATGTGTTGATTCATGCATATATAAGGCTGATCACCTTCTCAACCTGTTCTTCCCCATCTGCACTCTATCACTACTTGGGGTTGCCTGTCCTAGGAACTTGTTCAAGCTGATTCCTAGCTCCAGCCTCATATATACAGACTGGAGCAATAATCTGTCCCGACTAGGTGTGGAATTGGCCACTATTCCAGGTTGGACGCATTGTTACGAAATCTTCCTTGCCGAGTCTAAAACCCCTGATACGAGCACACCCACGAACGATTGCGATTTGAAGTAGAGCAAGCATCATTGTCAAAATGAGCTCATCTTCTTACGTTACCACCATCGGCGGCTACGTCGCAGTCGCGGCAATCGGTCTTACTATATATTATTCAACCCAAAAGAACAAGAAACGACCGGGCGCTCCGTCTAGCAAGGCCTCGAAGTCCCCCGAACCTCAAAAGGAAAAGAGGACCGCTAAGAAGCAGCGAGCCGAGCAACATGCCCAGGATGCCGCCTCTCAGAAGTCTGCCCCCAAGGCAAAGCCCGCCGCAGCTTCTGTACCTTCGCCTGCCGTTGGTAACGATGATTCTGAGGACGAAATCAACAACAAGGAATTTGCTAGGCAGCTGTCTAGTGTGAAACAGGGAAAGCAATTTGTCGCCAAGGCTGGTAACGACCAGAAGAAGCAAAAATCGGTAAAGCAGTCGCGCGCCCAGGTTCACGCTTTCGATGACGAGAATCGCGCCTCTCCTCCCTCCTCTACTGCTGGTATTGATGCCGACGATGATCAGTCGCCTGTCCCCTCGCCCCAGGTAGCTGCGGCTGATGCTGGCGCTGTTGATGATATGCTTGAGGCCCCCGCTCCCGGTCCTTCCAGCCTCCGTATTTTGCCCTCCGAGACTCAGCAGCCGAAGAAAGCCAAGAAGGAGAAGAAACCTGCCGAACCCGCCTTGACGAAGAAGCAGAGACAGAACCGAAAGAAGGCGGAGGCCGCCAAGGCCGCCAACGACGAGGCTGAACAGGAGCGGAAGAAGCTGATGGAGGCCCAGCGCCGTCTTGCCCGCGTGTCTGAGGGACGCCCCGCCAAGGATGGTTCTCAATTCGTTGCCTCGGTCAATGGTGGATCTGCCTGGAATGCTGGAAAGCCCAATGGTCAGCCTGCCGCCGCCACTGCCGCCGCTCCTCTCTTGGATACTTTTGATGCCCCTGCCCCGGCTGCCCCATCGGCCCCCGTTTCTCAGGGCATCTCCGCCTCCGTTGCTTCGGGCAAGTCTGATACCTGGGTCTCTGTTCCATCCGAAGAAGAACAATTGGAGTTGCTCAAGTCGGAGACTGAGGCTGACGAGTGGAACACTGTGAAGTCTACCAAGTCCAAGAAGGGCAAGAAGACTTCTCAGGCCACCGTTAGCGATAAGGAAGAGAAGGTCGCCACCAAGTCTTCCCACTCCAGCAAGAGTGCGGAGCCCGTCCAGAAGGCTCAGGCCCCCCTCACAAATGGAAAACCTGCCATTGCTAATACCTACGGATCGTTCTCAGCTCTAAGCACTCAAGGCCCCGATGATGAGGAGGAGGAAGAGCAGGAATGGGATGTTTGAAGTCTCCCCCCCAGACGTACTAGCCTTGCAAAGGCTTGGTATCTGCGGTGACAACCTCCGATCCCGCATATACATTCCACCCCCTTCTTCATTCTTTGTTGTTTTTTTTCAACCCATTTCTATGGCTCTGTACGATACATAAAGGGAAATGACCCATACCGGAGAATCGTCGTAGCACCGTCGGCTGCTGTTGAGTGGATTCTTTTTTCTTTCTGTTTCGGATCGGACAAGCCGAACTGCTTGTATTGGGTGTCAGTGGGAGGAAGCAATGCATTTTAGTCTCAGGAGCTGCGGCTCGAGATGCACTAGCAAGGCTCCTCCTACTTGAACTATTCACGGCGTTTGGGAGGCAAGGAAACAGGGTGGTTCACAAGATTGCACGGAGCAGCCCAGTCATAAGAGAGAGAAAAACAGGAAAACACATCGACCAAAATGGGGCAAAACCGAAGACAAACGGAGACTTCAAAAAGCAAAATCTGGGGCGGGACTTTTTTTTTTTTTTTTTTCTGTTGCCTTCCCCCGCAGACAGTATAGATATTATATTACGACCTTTTTGCGAGAGGGGACGCAGCTTGGACGCGCAGCTTGGTGCCCACAGTCTCCCCTTTGTATTTTATTTTGTCTATGTACCTACTTGCGCTTGATGCTTAGGTAGTATCAGTCGATTCATTGCGTCCAGACCTTCTGCAACTCTACCCTTACATGTTGGCCCTGCGTGATAACTGAGTGTGTGTCATCCCCACTATAGATGGATATCTCTGAGATGTGCTCATTCCTCGCTAGAGCTTGATCCTTCTGAGCGCAGGCATAATGATAACCCCTCAGCTCGGGGTCTATGTTATGCGGTGGCCAGTGGGGATGGTTGGCACTTGTGATGATGCCATGGTGGAGAGGGAAGCGGGGGTTTGGATACGGGTTGGTGGCCGGAGGAGCGAGGCTCGACTCGCAGGCCTGTATATTCCGTAAGTGATGATCGCAGAAACCTCGTGTCCACTGTTTGTAAGATTGGAATGTGCTGTGAGTTGTGTAAAAGAAGGTCCGCAATGACCCTGTGTGACTTCTTCGCAAGGCGTGGGCGGAAAATGAATTAGAGATGAAGCCCATTTTGTTCCGCATCATCGGCATCGTCCTCGCCTTCGAGGATTCTCATCCGCTCTTCAAGTTGGCTCGCGAGCTCCGCATCGCTCAGCCCCGTTCGTGTCGCAGACCCATTCTGCCGAGTGTCTATGCCACCGTCTCCAAGCCTAATCGTGCCGACCTGGAAAGTACCATCGCTCCATGCCGGGTGTGATCTCTCCCCATCGACGGCCGCGCCTCCTTGCCTCCCGGAAGCGTCCCCACTCGCGGGGGCACTCTCACCAGGAGTATCGACATCTGTACCGTTAACAAGGATATCTCGCTCAAAAACTCCGGCTTCAAAATCTTCCCACTTCCCGCCCCTCTCCTCTACCTCGAATTTCAATATTGATATCCGGCCCGCCATGCGCTCCAGCACGACTTCATTTTCACGTATTGCCTCCACGCACACCTCGTCGGGTGGGTTGGCTTCGGCGAAGGGTTTCAGCTCGGCGTTGGAGTAGATCAAGTGCGATACCGAGTTGCGGATCTCGAGGACCTTGAGACGGAGGCTCACGAGTGGAAGCTCTTTCAGGGCCTCTGCGAAGCGCTCGAGGGAAATGGGCTCGGCTTCGGATGACATGGTTCGTCTCTCCTTCGAAGAAGTTTTTATTTGGGGTGGCGAGTAGACAAAGGTACTGGTCTGGGGGGGCGAGAGCAAGAGATGGATTGGTTCCCGCTGCAGTTGTCGTCGCTGGATGGCTTTTTGCCTATCGTTTGTGTTTTGGCCTCTCGGAGATACTCTATGACTTTGCGTCTCGGAGCGCCGTCGGTTCAGTGCTGGGGAAGTTTGGGAAGATGTGGGTGTTTCAAGCTCCTTCTCAAACTGATGATGTAGTGTTTGCTGGTTCTCAGTTGCTGTTGCCTCTTGGAGCAGGTGGGGTTCTGACTAAATAAATACACCCCACCGTGCATTTATTTGCCACTCAAATCTCAGTCCCTATCCGCGTGCTAGAACATCTCGTGATCTGGGACGCGACTAAAAATTGATTGATCTTCAAAGCCGAAAAGCACTGTTTCGGCCCCAGTCGAATTCTGGAATGCTTCGTCGGACGCGCCCCCAATTCCTCCCTTGGCGCGAACCAATTACGCAATTCCTAGGTGATTCTGACCGGATTGTCCTTCGCTGAGGACATTGTAGTCCTCCGGAGTACCTCGACCATCGCATACGCTCCAGCATCTCTCTTCAGGAGCCACCAATGTGTTAGGAATCATGAGTCTCCTCGGCTTCTCTAGTCCGAAGCTCTGCCTCCGGATCGCATTGTCGACACGCGTCATACCGAGGCAGGCAATATGTAGGACATCCAATGTTCGCTATTTTTCCATTGCATCCCCTCTCTTAGCCAGCTCATCCCCGAAGCCGCCGAAACGACCCGGGTTCCTCGAGCGAGTAAAATGGTACAAAGAGGACTCCGCTTCTCCTTCGGGCACCCGCCGCCCTGCGGTGACTGAAATCCTCACCATGTACGAGGAGCTGCCTCCTACATACCGTGACCGTGACGGTTTGCCGTTCTCGAAAAAAGACCTCACGCCTGCCGAAGTCGCGCGAATCTTCGGCACTAAACTGAAGCCCGAATTCGCAAATACCCTGCTCCGAATTCTACACGGCCGACGTGTGGCTGGTACTCTCGACGATCCGGCGTACAAGGCGAATACGGCATGTTTTACGAAGAAGCAACAGGAGACAGCATTGGAGTATTTGAGACAGAAGATCCCCGTCGACGAAACAATGAACTCTGGTTTGAGGGCGCAGGACGAGCTTGAGCAGCTGGAAAAGGAAATGGCCGGATTGAAGGAGCCAAGCGAAGAGGCTGCTAGCAACAAGGAAGCGCCGACCAGTGTCGCTGGAGAACCGGAGACAACTAGCGCTTCCCCGAAGGACGACGAGCTTGAGATTAACTATAAACCGGACCCCGTTTACGGCCACAGCGCCATAGATCTTATCCGGGCCAAGAACCAAGCTCGCATCAAGGCAGAGGAGAAGCGTATGGAAGAAGAGAAGAAGGTCAAGGGGGAACCGGTTGCGGGCACGCTTGAGGCCTATGTCGAGCGCGGCGCGGTCAGCCCCCGAATGCAAAAATGGATGGAGGAAGGTACTTCCGGCATCGAAGAAGCCCCCGAGCTCTCCACTTGGGACCGTCTGGCACCTTCCATCACCTTCGCCATCCTTTTTGTGGGCTCATGTATAGGTTTCGCCATGATCTATAATCCACCGGAGCCAAAGGATCGAGTTTTCCCCGAGTTTTCGGCAGGTGCCGTGACGGTCGCCACACTTATCGGTCTCAACTTGGCTGTGTGGAGCTTGTGGAAGATTCCGCCCCTTTGGCGACTCCTCAACAATTACTTTATGCTCGTCGTCGCCATGCCCAGGCCCGTCACCCTCGTCACAAGTATGTTCTCTCACCAGAAGCTTAGCCATCTGGGTCTCAACATGGCCATGCTCTACTACATTGGAAACCGCCTGCACGATGAGATTGGCCGGGCAAACTTCCTGGCGCTATACCTCTCTTCAGGCGTCATCGGTTACGTAGCCAGTCTCTGCGTTCATGGCGCGAGCGTGGCTAGTCTCGGCGCGTCGGGTGCCGTTCTAGGCATTACGGCTGCCTACTTCTGGCTCCATCTCTGGGACAAGTTCAGGATCATGGGCTTCCCGGCCGAACCAAGCGAGGGTGTGGACGGCGTCGCTTTCCTCATTTCCGTTTTGCTTTGGAACCTCATTGCTGCCTTTGCGCCATCGAAGGCGGCTCAAGCTGATCTGGCGTCACATATGGGAGGACTCCTCTCTGGCATTGGGTTGGTCCACGTTCTCCAGAATGTAGCCAAGACAATTTCCGCGGACGACGCTGAGGACAAGGATGAGGGCCCTAATGGCGTCCAAGGAAAGGATGCAGGCACGTATGTCGTGCCCAGCGTTAGCCCGGACGCAGGTGTCGACGCGCCGAGCCCGTCGCAGCAACATGCACCCGGCCAAGAACGGAGATCGAAGTCTTTCGATCTGTGGGGCACGAAGCACGGGGGATCTTAAGCGAACGCGTATGCAGCATCGCCTCCCCGCTGGCGACAGATTCCCGACACGTCGTGGATTTGTGTCGGTTTGACTTGCGGGGCGCATCTCCTCCCACCACAGACATACGTCGGGCCCGAAGGATCTTTTGTGATACCCTCCTTTATATATATTTTTTCTCATTTTCATTGTCCCATGTTTATGTATAATGCTATCTTATAGAGGTAAATAGGATCGATGTTCTAGTTATTCGCTAGGGTGGGACAGAGGAAAGAGCTGCTGGAATGTCTGGATAGTTTCAATGGCGAAAGGCGCGAATACCCACATTGACTGTTGGGGAAGACAACGTCAAGGAATGAGGACAAAGTGGGAACGGCAAGAAAGGGAAAGAAATAAAAAGCAAGGAACTAAAAACGAAAGCACAATAGACACGGAGAACCCTCTCAACTACTCAATACTCTATCACATTTACCTTTCTCTCTCCTCTTATTCATACTCTCTCTCCTTACTTCCCGCCATTCTCGCTTAGCCTACTTGCTCACCCGGAATATGGAGGAGCGGAGACCGTTTTCTCGTCTCGCCCTCGTAAGACCCTCCGCCCCTCTTTGATTGACCTCGTTAGTTCCCGGACGCGGACCCGTGCAGCCTTCACCGGGTCCGCTCCGATCCTGGTTTGCCTGGTCTAAAAACAGTAAATGAATGGCGTGCGACATAGAACAAGCCTAGAGGAAAGCCCATTAACACCCTGCTATGAGATCTTGGTCTCGACATCAGATGGGGGGAGACTACTGAGTATGGCACACCATGTCTGACCCTGATCTCGACCTCTTCTCGCCTATTTCTGGGCTGGCGCAATCACACAATTCAAAGCGAGGGCATGCATACTTGTGTACACCAAGGACGATGGAGTTGATGTCGTGGGCCACCTTGTCCAGCGAACTTGACGCACCAATTCCCTGGAGTGGGATTGGCTAGAAAGCAAACGCAAACTAGTCCCGATGTTGTTTCTTCTCTTCCCTCGGACGTAGCAGGAACAAATAGAGCGAAAGAGCGAAGTTTGCTGCGCCTACTTCTTGGTTCTAACCATTTTCTTTTTGTTCGATCCCAGGGTTAATATTCGATCCTTGTTGGGCTTAGTTCTAAGGGTCTCGGCACGGGTGCGCATGCAGGTGAACCAAACATGCAGTAGGCCAGTCGATGGCCAGGACCCCTCCCTCGGCTCTCACCAGGCTTTGAGGGTTGGAAGATCGAAAGGAGGGCCGCCCTCATATCTTCGTATTGAAATCCAGTCCGGAATCTAATCGATGGTATGACGGCATGTTGAGATGGCGAGCTGCCTCCTCTCTCTCACCGGGTTCGTGAGCTTACCGGCCCGCCCATTCGCGGGTACAAAGACAAGAGACGTTGGTATCCGACACTCTCGGGCCGCAAACTTTTCCCAAACCGGCCACATTGGCGTCCACAGACCCGAGCTGCCATCCCATCCACGACATACATTGGGACAACTCGATGGACGGGAGGGTGGGTCAGTGACTGAATGACCCTTTGCGTGGGCGCGCTACCTTCTTCTGGACAAGAGTCTGCTCAGCTCCCAAAGCAGAGGTTGTTTTCAGCCAACAAAGGCCCTAGACGCCCCAAGGAAAGAAATATCATATATCACATCTATTGCAGGGCTCATTTTGGGTCGCCCACGGATTTAAAATGCCCTGCCCTCCCCCCGTCTTGCTCTAATGCCCCGGGGGACTCGGAAGAGTCGATAGCTGCCGTCTGCCTGCGTCTTACGGTTTCGAGGCTAGGGAGACTGCAGTAGCACGCCTACCCACCCTTGCAGGTATGAGGATGGAAAGGGAAGGAGACTTCTAGACCATAAACAGAGCCAGGCCCACAGCATGCCAGCTTGTTTTCACATATACCCACCCTACTCGATACGTCGACCAGACGAGTGGTTCGTGGGATGGCCAGCCCGCCACTCGGAAGCAGACGATCCGCCAGACGTAGCATCTTACCTCACAGAACACGTCGTATTGCTACATGCCTCACTGCTCCAAAAGACTGCTTCCTCCGTTTCTATCTTGCAATCTAGCCCGCTTAGGTCGAGTTCCTGCAGGCCTGTTGGGAAAGGATGTGCGCAGTCTGCTGCCTAGATTAGCACATCATCTGTCGGGAGGTCGGCGATAGTCCGTTTTGGTGTCTCACGTAACGATATTGTCACTATTGGGTGGGTATAGAAGGTACTCAATATTACAACTAGCTTGACTGAGGGATGCCAGATACCCACTTACAGCCCTCCCTGACTCGAGAAGCCAAAACCACAGCATCTTGGGCTCTGCGAAGTAGTTGGACGAAGGTAAATTCTCCCGTTTAAGCTGACTTCACTCCTCTCGGTGGTATGCCCAACGTCCCAAAATGCCCCATCGTGTGAGGCTTGCAAACAACCCAAACCCCAACCCTAGAGAACCCTAAAGTTAGTGAATTACAAAGGAGATATATGGATACCACCGAGTAAATAGAATGAGTGGAATGGGACAGAGTTCCAGCTGATTCTCGCGTCTTCCAATGCTAGATCACTGTATGTATGAATCCCATACACGAGAGCACCCCCTCGTATCCTCCATGGGCGCCATGCTAGAAGCCACCTTACCACCAAAAAATGTGATACATTTCGGCCTCCTCATATTTCACATTCTATACCTTTACGAGCCACACCCACCGATAACCCAAAAGAGCCCACCTCACCACAAGGCAGCTCACGAGTGCGGATGCCAAAACTCCCGCCAGGAACCAGATGAGTGCTGCCCTCCCATTATGGCTGAGTATATACTGACAAACCGGTGTACTCGCCAAGGTTGATAGGCTAACTACAGTATAGCAGCTTCCCAGGTACTTACCCATGTCGCGTACATCGCAGAGTTGACCTAGACATGTCGCTGATGTAGAAACGAACGAACCTGTTCCAAACCCGAGGCATACGCTCACAACGTAGAGACCCACCTCGGAAGAGTTCCCCACGGGTAGCCAGACCGTTAGCATTGCCAACAAGGTAAAGGTTGTCATGGTTAAAGTGACGTTGAAGCTTCCCATTCTATCGGCGAGGTAGCCGGGGATGAGGCGTCCGAGTGTCGATCCCCTGCTCAAAAGACAAAAAGGACAAAACCCGAAGGATTAGCAAGAAGGATTACCGATTATGATATTCTCAAGCCAATAGGAGTAGTTTGGTGACCTACATGTTCAATGCTAACATGAGATAAAACTCGTTTCCCAGGGAGGTTACCTTGGAGTAAGTCGGTATTAAACCCCAACTGGCGAAGAGAACGAGCTCGAAGCCTATGATTACGCCGATGATGCAGGTTAGTTCTAATAATGGTAGTCAACGAAATTGCAACCGACAGCTAAACACCCCGTCTATGCAAGTGTGGGCGAGGTGCACTAGGCTGCTGCGTGTGGGTGTGTGGATGGGTGTGCCTATGTGCATTTGGGTGCGGCATGGGATGGAGGTTTTGATGGTACATATAGCGGTATCTGCCTCTTAATCCATGGGAGAAAGAGAAAGAGGATAGCGGAAGGATACCGATGTCTTGGGAAACATGCGGGCGTACACGCTCTTACATACCAGATACACTAAATGTCGTCAAGAGAAACCTCAGAGACTTAAAGCACGAGAAGTCGAAGAACTTATCCGTTCTAGGTGAGACCCTCGAGCTGACGCAGAGAATACCGACAGTGACAAAGCCACATATTATAAAACTGAGAATCAGCATACAGTCCTTCCATTTAAGTCGTTCAAAGAGGGGCTGTAGAATGGCGGAAAAGAAGACACCGCCGATCCCGGATCCCATCGTAGCAATGCCCATTGCCAAGCCCTTCCTGTGGTAAAACCAATGGCTGATAACAGCAGTGGAGATGGTTGTCAGAACGGCTAGATGAGGACAGACAGGTGAGAGGTTGCATCACGGTTTCCTTCTTCTTCAATGTGGCTCTGGGGTGTGTGTTTTCTTTTTTGGTGCAGGGTGCCAGGCTCCCACTTACAGGCACTACTTCCGGCTATGACGAAGCATGCCATGAAGTGCTCGTACCTGCTGCTGAAGGCCAAACCAAGGTAGGCAGAAAAGTAGACCACACTTGCAGGTAAGAGCAGTCTCCGAGCTCCCACTCGGTCGAATAGAAACCCCGCCGGACCGGAGAGGAAGATGTCAAGGAAACCGAAGATGGAGATGATCCAGGCGATCTGCGGATTCGAGTAGGATGATAGCTGGTGCTCTTTCCAGTATACTTGAAATAAACCCACGGCTGTCATCAGGCCGTAGGTCGGCACCATGACTGCCGTCGAGCCGAGAACAACGATCCAGGCCCGCAACCCACCGTCTGGATACGTGCCTGGCTCGTCTCCCACCACAGGCACCGGCGCCGTTTCTCTCCGTTCAGTACCGTTCGGCGCCGTTACTATTGGCTCAATATTCGGCGCCGGTATTCCGTAGATAATTTCAGCGCCATCACCGCCGACCAAGTTGGTGTTGCTACTGTCAGGAGGGCTCCTCGTGATAGGCTCCAATTTTAGCCCGCTGAATGAAGTACGGGAAATGGTAAGCACTCAACTCCTATCAGATGTCATAACAGACTAGAGGCCCCAAGAAATATTGGCATGATGCAGCAAAGACCAACGCATGAACCTTACTTGTCAGTGTTACAGCAAATGGCAGCGTGGGGTTCCTGCGGGAGGTCTTGTATCTGTGACATCGCCTGCAAGTAACCGCAATCGACCGGATGGAAATGGAAAGAGAAAAGAAAAAGAAGAGAAAAATTGAGGAAAAAAAATGAACATGGGCCTACCTACATAGAGGTTCTGAACAAAGAGGGGATCAACGAGAGCAGCTGAGATGTGCAGGTGGGGGGTTGAAGGCCAGAGGTTCAAAGATCTCAAGTGGGTGGGCAAGGAGGTGTATAAGAGGTTGTTGCTCCCCTCCTCTTCATGATTCAAAGCACATAGGAAAGCCACAGAGCAAGCATCCGCCCTCGTTTGTTCCTTTCCTTGCCCGCTTCCGCTTCCTCGAGAGCAACTGGACGTCGGCCTAAACAAACACACATGAAAAGTGGAGAGCGAGACTGCCGGTGAAGGCGCTCGACAGTAGCAAGCCCCCGGGTCCTAGCCTCCGTCGGACCGTTTAAAGCGGGGGACCTGCCGATACCCTGCCCTGCTCGTCATCGAAATCGTACTAAAGAATCGTCAAAGGCAAGGAGCTGCGACTGCAGTTGTTGCAGATCTTGACATCTAGATATAGGGTACGTATCTAACGGCAAGACATCGTTCGTTCAGTTCAAGCAGTCTCGTGATCGGAGAGATTCATCCACCGTCGCGTGGATGGGCATGTGGGGACTCCATGAGCAAGGGACAGGAGAAGCACGGGCAAAAGGTCCATTCCTTGTGCAACGATCGATGTATGTGATAGTGGCTGTGCCGCGGCGGGACAGAGGGTCTTGTAAACAGCGCCATATGCGGCAAAAAGGGCTTGAAATACTCAACGGCGTCAGCGGTTCAGGGCCAAAAGAGCTGTCTATCCTTCATATTGGCATGGCCTAACGGCCGAGCAGCGGATACGGTGCAGGGGGCGGCCGGCATGGTCTCCCCGACTACCTATAGCCGGAGAGGGGGGTGTTTCTCCGAACTTACTTTGGCCAACCTGAATAGAACTCTCCAAGGAGTTTCCCGGTCTCGATGATAACTGGAATGATGTTGATCATGATGGGGAATTCTTACTGCGGGCGGGGGAAAGACGGGGCTGACTTGCTTTGGGTGCGTCTAGGAACGAAAGAGACGAAATATCACAGACTAAACCCCCTCATCCGAGCCAGGGCCGAGGAGGAGGCGGTGGGTCATCTTGATCTACGCTAGTTTGTACTCACAAGGGGAGGCCATAGAAGGAAGGTTGGGCACCGAGGACAGTTCTCGAGGCCGGTATTGACAAGGCCCCTATTCACAAAGAAGGCGCGTGGCGGGATAAAAAGGAAGATCCACAGTAAGTCAATCATTGGAAGGAACAACTCAGAGATGCAAGAAAAGGAGAGAGTCTACACCCTGATATCCCTTACCTCTTTGAGAAGGCATGTCTTGTCATTCCAATCCCAATCCCATCTAGATACACGTTGGTCTTCTTTATCCACCAACATACCACATACGAATCGATCTCTTGGTCCCTACCAACCCATCTTCCATCATCTTTCAAGCAAAAAGTAGCATCAAGTCCATCCTTTCCTGGTGCTGTTGATACGGATACTGACAATACCTTCTCAGGTAAGACACACAGCAGTCATGTTCTCACTAGCTAAAGCCCACCGGGCCCTCAAGTGCTCGGTGGTCATGAATCAATTCACGAGGCCTCAGGGCAAACTGCCACGACTTGTGCCTAGCATCATCCAATCCCGTAACACTTCTGGTGTTTCCTTTGATGATGTCAAGACCATCTCGAATCTTGATAGTGAGGGATCCATCCAGGAGCCTGCTCAGGATGGATCAATCAAACGCGAGGAGTTTTGGCGCAAGATTCCCATTTGGGAGGGAGTCGATGCCAAGAACTTCCTGAGCTATAGATGGACCGTGAGTTTCGACAATTCGGGCTTATCCTGATATATGCTAAAACTCAGCGTCTATTATAGATTGCAAATCTCGTCCAGGGCCCAGAGAAGCTGCATAAGTTCCTCGTTTCTGTCTTGCCGGAGGGCATCCCTCTCGATTCTGGCGGCAGCCAGACGCAATCTCGAGATGCCTTCATCGCGGACGTCTTCGCTGGCGTATCGGCAGCCACGATGGCTGTTAGGATGACGTACGTATAGCCTGGTTTGTAGCTAAAAGGGGATGTGGATACAGTTGCTAATTCTTGATCAGTCCTTACATCCTGAGCCGCATCAACTGGCAAGACCCTCGAAATGACCCCATATTCAAACAGTTTATTCCGCTCAAGTCTTCCATGCTTCCGGATCATCCTCAGCTGGTTTTGGACTCCCTGCATGAGACAGCGGATTCACCAGTGAAGGGACTGGTTCACAGGTATCCGGACAAGGCTCTTTTCTTGCGTAAGATATTCTGGTTTCATTCGTTTATTCCCCCTTCCCCCCCCCTTTTCCCCTCCCTTTTCCAAGATATTAGTCACTGACGAGATTCTCACTATGGCCTTTAGCCACTTCTGTGTGTCCCACATACTGCACGTTCTGCACTCGCTCCTATGCTATAGGCGCCGACACTGAGAATGTCCAAAAGCTGTCACTCAAGCCTACTCGAAAGCGCTGGGAGGAGTGTTTCGCGTATATAGAGAGCTGCCCTACCCTCCACGATATCGTGGTCTCTGGCGGAGATTCATACTACCTCCAGCCGGAGCATATCCTCATGATTGGCGAGCGACTTATCTCCATGGACAACATTAAGAGGTTCCGGTTCGCATCCAAGGGACTCGCAGTGAGCCCCAACAGGATCCTGGATAAAAACGATCAGTGGGTTGACGCCATTATCAGCGTCTCCGAGAAGGCTCGGAAGATGGGCAAGGCAATGGCATTGCATACCCATTTTAACCATCCCAACGAGGTATCGTGGATCACGGAGATGGCGAGCCAGAAGTTGTTCGAAGCAGGAGTCACGGTCAGAAACCAGACCGTCTTGCTTCGTGGCGTGAATGACAATGTAGCCACCATGTCGCAGCTTGTTCGGACCCTGGCAGATATCAACGTTTTGCCGGTAAGTCTTTTCAGCGCCGAGACGAAGCTTCTTTCCCTTGGGGATTCACGTTCTGACAGCGCGAGCTATAGTATTACGTCTACCAATGCGACATGGTGGAGCGAGTTGAGCATCTCCGGACGCCTCTCCGGACTATTCTGGAACTTGAGGCTCACATCCGTGGCTCTATTGCAGGTTTTATGATTCCACAATTTATCGTCGACCTTCCCGGAGGCGGCGGAAAGCGTTTGGCTTGTTCGTACAAGTCATACGATCAAAAGACTGGTCTGTCCACATATGAAGCTCCAGCTATCAAAGGACGAGGAAAAGAAAACAAGGTCTACGAGTACTGGGACCCCATCGACTCCCTCCCGGAGACGCGAGGAGACAAGGCCGCTGAAAGCGTCCAAGTTCCGAAGCAGGCCTCTGCTTGACAGGTATGAAGATGGTGCGTGACAGGACCGGATAGTAAAGGAGAAATAGGGAAAAGTTCGGAGCCCAGCTGGGGGATGTACAATATCAATTACCGGACGAAGATAGTTAGCAAATGCAGCTCATCAGGTGGTAGCTGATAACCCAATATGCAAACGTCGTTGCGTCTGCTCGTTTTCAAGTTCAATGCTGTGAATGATGACTTCTAAAATACTAAGGACCCATCATCTCGCCCACTGGTGATGTGTATTCGAGGCGTCGCAAAGCATCCCGACGCATGGTGGATACAGGCATCTCAGAATGCCGAAGGGAGTAGAGGAAAATCCCGTTCCCATTCCCACTCAAGAGGAGCATATACTTTATTAGTATATCTCTCTATATCTAAACTTCATCAGGCTGGTCAAGTGCCAAGCAGAGAAGGTTAGGTTGGATAAAGAAAGCGCGATTATAGAGAGGCAGACTTGACTGGAAACGCTCTCTCTGACGTCCCGGCACATCTTCGTAAACTATGAGAATGGCACGGCACTGGCCACAGAATCCCCAGAAAAGCCTAAACGCTGGACCGAAATTACTCTTCGGTTCGTCTATGTTGGTGGTTGTTGGGGTTCCACGAGCGTAGAACATTTATATTATTCCCACACTCTCTCGGCCGGCCTTGCTCGTGTTGGCCCCGTTGGTTGACCCAATTTCGGGTATTTCTCTGCAAAGCTCCTTCGCAGAAGATTGCGAGATTAGACGTAAGATAGACCATTGAACTGTCATCTTATAGAAGTATAGTCACGTCTTCCTTCTTCAACTTTGGTGTCCTTTTCTTGCCCCCGGGTTCTTGCCTCTGGGTTCTTGCCTCTGGGCGACACCCCGAAATGCCAATCGATTAGCACCATACTTTCCCGATTATGGTTTCGAGAGGCCACTGTCAGGGCCCAATACCTCAAAACCCGGGAGGATATTGCAAGCGGAAATAGGGAGGGAGTATAATATAGTACGCTGCTATATTAGGTGCAGATCGCTGCAGGCACAGGAAGCGGCGGCATGGCATGAACGACTCCAGCGTTGTTCCTCTGGTACTATGGGATCCATGAATATGTGCAAGTTTGGTAGGTTGATGTTTCTTGTACATTTCTTTTCTTCTTTCCCGGTGCTGTCGTCTATTAAGATGTGCACTTGATTGCCGTCTCAAATCCAGTCTACGGCCCTGGCTGCCCAGCCTGCCCCCCCAGGTGTATGCTTTAGTGGCGCAGAATAGACATTATATCTCAGAATGTACTTCACTGGAAACCAGTCAGGCCTTTAACCTAATACAGAAGGACGCACTTGCCTATAGACATACTTGGACCGGAAATAATTCCACTCAGTAGTCCCCTACTTCGTACTTCCTTTCCCATCCTCACGGCGGCACTGACATTAGTGGTAGATATCGCCCAGCCATGCTCGGTTGACTTGGTGAAGCGGAGTGCACAGAGATTCCCGAAGACCATACTACTGCGGAATATCCCCGAGGAGCGACCGGCCCCAAGACCCCGACTGACTGAAGTATAACTTTCGGGTGGAGGTTTCTTCTAAGTTATTAGCCAAAGACGGGAAGAAGAGAGGCGAAGGGAGAGAAAGACGAAGCGAGCCGATACTCGTAATAACTCTAGATGCTGTTGCTTGACTATCTGCAGGTTCGCTTTACAAATGGGATCGGCATCTTCTTCGATTTTGGCACGGGCTTCTTCGAACGTTAAAAGCCAGGCTACACATGTTGGTAACGTAGAATGCTGCAGATGATCGCACACAGAAGTGCACACATACACACGTACTTCGTAGAAACTTGGGTGGTTACCATTCCGTCTTTGCCTGCGCCATGGCCAGGGCCTCTCTCTGGAATTGAGTGGATAGGAGGGGCAGTTATTTCCCGTAGACCGGGTAGGTAGAGAGATACGTATGGAAGCAGCGTGTCCTCTCCTCATAGCTTTGCTGCAGAGGACATCAAGACACCTCGCAAGTGAAGTGTCCGGCATCTCTCAACCGGTCCTTGAGGAGTTGGGAATTGCTGGCTGTGTGCCATGTATCATGTACGAAGGACGCATCGAGTCGAGAGAGCTTATCTGTATCTTTGGGATTTTGGCACCAGCGCACGACCTTAGTCGAGCTTTTAAGGCTTCGTTGTCCCGCCATTGCCTCGACTCAAGGACGAGGGAGCGAGAAAGAAAAGTGAATAGTCGAGGTCTGGGCGCCGAGCCGAGTCTGTGCAAGCCGTCATGAAGAGACGGCTGCACGATAAATGTTCATTCAATGTTCCCTCAAACTGAGCTGCTTTGTACATCGGCTCGAGCAAAGGGTTTCCGCTGACAGACGACGCAGTAATAGCCAGTGGCTGTCCTTCAATACTGTCTGCTCTGGCGTATACAATGCCGTGGGCGAAGCCGTGCGTGAAGGCGCGAACATCATTGATTCTCCTCCAGAAATGCGGCAGTGGTGTCCTCTTCTCCTATTATTTTTCCTGTTCCAAGATAAGCAAGGTGCCATCCTGGGAACCATGGTTCAGCATCTTGTCTCGCTCCTCGTCACCTGCAGCCCCTTTCCAATTGACACACACACACACACACACACACGAAAACTTTAGGAAGGCTTTTCCTGTTTCTCCTGTATGGAAGCTCGCCGTGGAATGCCCTGGGGCGGTAACTTCGGGAGGGATCCCATCATTAACGAGGTATAGCATCTGCGCTACAGGTGTCGCAGATTCTGCACCTACGAGCATGATGGGATGGATGTCATGGGCTCACAAGCTTCGGTTCGCGAGCGGGCTCGTTGTCTCTGCGTGGAACCATTGTCTGAGCGTGACAAGACAGGCCGATTGGACTCGGGCTTCTCCCGCTGGTGCTCACTCAGCCTGTTTCGGTTCGCACTCCTGTACTTCGAATATGTACTTCGCACTCTGGTGGAAAAACTTTATCGATCGTCGATCCGGCTGATTCGTGTTGGTGAATGTGCGTACCTTTGTAGGCAAAATGCAGACCCGGGTTGGCGTTGCGGACCCCAACATCAATGATGTCGGTTGAATGTGACAGGAAACGGTGAAGAAAGGCGATCATCGTTTGCGATAGGGCCGAGGCGCCCTAGGAGTGACGCCCGTTTTGCCTTCTCTGGTGTCTTCAAGATGGTGGGCGGTTTGCCGATCAGGGCGTGGCAGAACGGGTTTGTGCTCAAACTTGACGACGTTCGAAGGGAATACCTCGGTATGCATATTCTGGACATCAATGTATCATGCTGCAAAGAGGTGGTACTTTCACTCCCTCCCACTTCGTATTTTTGTAAGAAGATGGGAGGCAATCAGGAAGCGGAAGCAGAAGCGTTGCGAGTCCTGTGCCTGCTTCGTATGCGTAAATGGACTGTATTATTACTTCCCAGTCTTAATGAATAAGATTGATTTCGAAGAGCATTTCATGCGAATATTATTGCCACTGTTGTTGGTTCCTGCCCGCCCTGTCGATGGCCCTGTCGATGGGGAGGGGAGCACAACCCATTGCCCACTTTGTTTCACGGATCGTGGATGGTACCAACCAAGTATTTCGTCGTGGAAGCCAGGCACCACACCGAACCAGAAAAAGAGCCAGGGTGGGGGTTCGAGGAAGCGCTCCTTGTTCCAAAGGCGAGGCCGATGAATGGTGCCTTGCTGCTACGGTATCTTTGCCGATCACCCCACGGCTGGCATAAACATCTGTCTTCCTCGTAAGGGGGCAGAGACGGTGAGGAAACACAAGTCTCTGAGATTGGCCCGAATCAATCATTCTCAGACCTGCCAACTAAACTATTATGTCTCGTTTTATATATATTTTATACCTGCAGTTGGAACAGTGGTGCGAGAATTTATCGGAAGGTTTGCCAGCGCATCATGACTGCGGTTGTTTCAGACACTTTGCTGATATAGGACAGGGCCCGAGTCTTATTGATGAGACTACTGAGGTACACGACGAAGTATGAAGTCGCAATGGGCGAGATGCTTCGAGATGCTTGAGCGTTGCGGGCACCCTGGGCTTTTCTGTGATGGCACCAGCTCCTAGCGCAGGCAAGGGGAGTACGAAGGATCAAATGTACATGCAGGGCGAAGGACATGTATACGAAGTCGCGGAGCAAGGAGAGGAGCCCGTTTCTTCCTATCTATACTAAACTAATAGGGTTAATATGGACTGGGACTGGCCTGGCTCGAGTGCGATTGCATGGTACTTGCGCGCGGCAGGTACGAAGCATCGCATGCAGACCTTGTACCTGGCACCATCCTTCGGCACAAGTCAACTAGTACGTCGTATGTCGTACGTCGAAATTGTGCCTTTGATGGGTGAAGTAATTCCTGGCCAAGGAACATTGAACGGAATGAATTCGTGAGATGCACTGCGCATCACGCATCCCACGAACCCAAACCCGAGTCGGCGAGAGTCTGCCGCAAGACACACAGATCCCAGAATAGCAGAAGCCACATAATATTACGAAGCTTTTGATGCTTAGAAGCGCGTGAAATCAGTAGGGGCCGAGGCATGGCACACACCCTTCTCCTGATTTGAGACGCCCCGAGTACTCGTGAGAGTGAATGAGTGAATGTGGTATAAGTTGTTTCTTGGAGATATAGTAAGACTAGGGTCCCGTCCCCAAATCAGAGAAAGACGGGATGTGATGAAGCGTTTGCAGCCGTGGGCATTCAAAGATATCCAATCCTTTTATCAAAAGAGGAAGCTCTGGCTCCCAGAACAACCGAACAGGGGAGTTTTAGATTTCTTGGGTCTCCTTTGCATTGTCTTGTCTCTCCTGCTCCCGCCGAAAAGATCCCTTCATAATCCCATCCATTTCTCTTCGACTCCCCCTCAACTCCTCTCAACCGCGTTTACACTTTCGAGTATTTTCGGGATCACCAAGTTCACATATTAACCCAGATTCTCCTTCAGCCGTGAACGGGATCACCGATCCTTTACAATTTATATTAGCTCACTCCTGAAACTAGGGAATCACACCTGACCCTTGCTTCTTCTCTTTTTCTCTCCCTTCTCTTTGGGCCTCGAAGCACACCGCATTCCAGGGTTTCTTTGCGGAGTCTTATTACAGACGGACAAGGCCGGAGCTGTTGGCCAAACCACCCCAGTCCGAAGAATCCCAGCAACCTCGCCAAAAACTCCCCACCCTGCCAATAGCTATTATCGCAACATTCGTGCCCCGGGGACTCGGGATTTGACTTCAAAACGCAATGGGATTCGCGGCCGACGCCATTTGGCAGCAACAATGGGTATATCCCAATCTACAGCTTGGCTTCTCCAACGCAACAGGATCGGACGGTTTCCGAGCAGGGTCAGCTCCACTCTCCACCCCTTCCACAGCGACAGAATCCTCGTCCTCTTCGCAAACGACAGGCACATCCAGGCCCCGGACCCCTGACAACGGTCATAAGAGCAACGGGGAGGACCCTGTGCTTGTTGATCCTGCTGTCATCGGTAATAACGCTAGCGACGTCGAGAACACGAGCGAAAACAAAACCGACGTCCCTCCCGCGTTGCCCCCAGTTTATCGACTTTCTGTTTGGCCCAACTTTGAACAGCACGGAATTATCTTCGCGGTGGACGACGAGGACGACCGGCGTAGCAGCAGCAACAACAATAACAACAACGACAACGACCACAACATCAACGAATTTGATACTGCAGCTTTGGATAAGCTCAGCGAAATCGAGGTCGCCATAGCTCTCAGTGATCAGCTGGACAGCTTCCTCGACGCAGAAAGGAGCAGTGCTGGACATCTGTCCGACAGTACGACGTCTTCCTCCAACACATCCGAATCTAGCGAAGTGTGGAGCCCGACCAATCTCCCGCTCACTGCAGGATCGGTGACGGCGACACCTCCGGACCGCACGCAGGAAACCGAGACTACGAAAACTGGCAACATGGCAGGCCCGGCGTACATGGCCGTCTCGACTCGGCCGTTGACGGCGCAAGAGTACCAGCGGTACCGGTCCCAGCGGCTCGGAGGAGACAGAGACAGCAAGAACTTCTCTCCCCCGACGACGACCGCTTTTGAGGGAAGATGCGTCAGCGACGGCACACATCAAAGGGTTTCGCCTGTTCAGTCGGAAAACCGAGCCGTATCTGCGGGTATGGCAGCTAATAGCCCGGTGCAATCGATGATGACTCGGACGACGAAGCCAAAGGACAAGAAGGGTCACCGAAACGCGTCAATCTCTTCACCAGGCATGACGACGAAAGAAGAGTTTGAATCTCTGCCTCCTGCGATCCAGAGGAAGGTGAGCACTCTCGTATTCCCCCATCTTTATTAGTTTCATCTTCTTCCTCTTCTTCCCCTCAACACCCCTCCTCCACCTTCTCGTGAACACATTTCATTCTCTATCACTCGAGCTGCAGCGGTGGTTTTATTTCCCCCCTCTCTTTTCCCCCTCGTCTTTTTTTTTTTTTTTTTTTTTTTTTTTTTTTTTTTGGTTGGGGCTGGCGAATATCATTGTTCGGCGCATTCGGGTCCTTGGGTCTTACATCTTGCCCTGATGAAACAGACCGCCCATTGAGTGATGGGTCTGCAAGTGAGCAGAGGCCAACAAGGAATGATGATTCGACCAGCCCTGACAGAACATGGCATAAAGGGGCGCGCAAGGGGTGCTGCAAGGCAACACTCGCACTTGGCAGTTCGCAATCGAGAGTTTGTCGAGTCGCAGGTTACGGACTCGTTGCTACGAGCTTATAAGTGGCAGTGTAGTATGCGGCATTGTTCAAAGTCGCATTGACGGCGCTACGGTGACGAGAGTCTGGAGCCAGATCGGGATCTAGTAGACCCCTTTTTCGTCCTCTCGGAGCTGTCATTTGACCTCGATCCGTGCTCAATTCCAATCACGATCCCTTCAGACCTACAAAGTCCCCTAGGGCTGAGGAAGGATCAATGCGAACAAATAGTAGTTTAGACACGAATCGTCCATCCAAATTATGCCTCCTTTTTTTTCTTTCGTTACAATTCTTTTTTTCCTATTTTTCTCCTTTGGGGTTTTCGTCCCTCTTTTCCCATTTTCACTTCCTCTTTTCAGACGTGTGGCGAGTGCCTACCCAAATTAGGTCAAGTCAAGCAACTTGATCAAATGGGCTATTGGGGTCTCGCATTGTAAACGCCGAATTCTCCAATTGGAGATTCTCGTGGGATCAAGCGAGTGATGAGATATGGGATCAATCACAGTTGATCAATTTCTAGCCCCTGGTATATCCAATGCGCCCTGCCGATAGGTCAATCCATTCTGAGGATCATTGGAAGCCCATGATGTCCTTTGGGCTTTGTGCGTGCGTCAATCAATCACCAGTTGATTCGATCATTATTTGCTCAATTTCCACTCGCGAGGACCGAGAGAGCTCTGAGAGGCGCCAAAATAGCCCCGAATACCGGCAGCAGAGCACTTGACGTTTGAAGCTTTTGTGGGGCCGCCTTGGCTCAATTTGGATACGCGCAGAAGAGCAGAGCACATGGAAGTGATGAACAATGGTGTTTGAGCATCAGTGGGCGCGTGTGTGTGTGTGTGGGTGTGTGTCTGTGTGCAGGAGACTTGGAGTTGAGTGGACTGGAGGCGAGGTGCCATCCCAGAATACCGGCTCACGACGCGCCATCGCCACTACCACCTGCCACCCATGCTGTTATTGCTGATGTTATGATTATGGTCAGCGCCTGGCTTCACCCAATTGATCTTCTGTCGCGCATGCCGAGTCCCTGACTGGCTGCCGGACTTGCCTGGTCAATGTTGTCATGTTGTCTTGCCGCCGTCCATGCTTCCTTGCCCCTTTTGCATCCCCGAATCACAATCACAATCCCCTGTGCTGTTGCGCTCCATCCGCTGCCAACAAGACCCCTGGTCAAATATCCTCGACCCCGACCCTTGATGCATCCAATTAGTCGACCCTTGTCCTTGGATACCGTCTTTGGCTTGGGTCATTGGCCCCCATGGATGATCATTGCCGTGAGCGACGAAAGACGAGAACCAGCGTGGGTTGGTGTCGCCACTACGCACGCTGGTTTCCCTTCTTGGGTTGACACTTCATTTGATCGCCCTTTCGGTTCACTTCCTATGAGGATGGAGTCTTGGAGCATTGGAGGATTGGAGCATTACCCCGTCGCTTCCTCGGCACAAATCATTGCTTTTTTGGGCGCCACCTCCGGACCGGACAGTCGTGGGTGATTTGAGTCTGAGTCTGGTTGGGGTGCGGTAGCACGACGCAACATTGAACGCACGCATTGATCAATTGGATCATTGATGTGTGAGAGACACTCTATCCCGAGCGGCTGCTTCTGGAGGTCTTTTTCCTCGTTTTCTTTTTTCCCTCTTTTCCCCGTTCCCCCACTTTAACCCACCTCTTTTGCCCTCATGTCGCCTGGTTTGGGCGGTTTTCTGGATTCTACCGAATGCAAAGGTGCAAATGTGCCAAGGCGCGCCCCCTCTTTCCCATCCTTCCTTCTATCGGCTGGCGATGTAGCTCACGTTGGCCGACCATCGATGATTCTCCTTCGTACTTGGTCCATCTAGAGATGTACTTTGTACGTGAGGAATCATCAGAGTCGATGAGCATCAGGTCAAATGAACCAACGCTGGCTATTTGATCCATTGATGATGATGCTTTTCTACCACTCGCTCCGCTCTATGTTATTACAATACGACAGTCAAAAGTCGTATAATCACAATCACCCACGCACCCCTGCAAATCCGTCTTGTCACCCCGACCCGACCGACGCTACTTGTAGTCTAGACAAGTACACTACTCACTCACCTGCTTGGTACATTACTTCGTACACGGCTTCGCCCATTGGGATGTCCTGGCCGGGTCTGGTCATAATACAAGGCATATATATACACTACTCTAGGCCATCGCGTAATGCAGTGTAGCGGGGAGTGTCAGTGCCCTCTCTAGATTCTAGTGTACACCACACTACAAGCGTAGTGCCGGTGACCGCGATGGCATTTCTTCGCCATTTGCAGCACTAGCATTCAGTGTCATGGGCACCTGCAGTGTCTGCTGCACTCGGTCCAATTTATCCATTGTACGTACCAACCAGGCCCTGGGACCCCTTTTTTTTCTTTCTTACTTGTATGTACCTGAAGACGTTGTATCACCCCCCTGCTGGACCTCGACCTCGTGCTGTATCGTGATGGGCGAGAGGCTAAGGAGCAACTCTTCGGGTCCTGTATCGTGCCTGTCCGATGCTGCATGCAGATGCAAGTTGTGGTGCAGAGGACAAAGTACACTACTTTCTTACACTACAAAGTACACCGGGGAGTCTCTATTCCCAATCCTCCGCGCTTGATACCCTCAAAACTCCGGGATCGTCCTGTTATCAGGAAGACCGAGCGTCTTGTTCTCCCTTTTACCCCTCGTCTGTCTTTCATTTTAGAGCTTCCTCTTTTTCTTCCTACGGGGACGTGCTAGGTTGTTGTTGGGCTAGTCTTGCAAAGAAGTCTTTCGACATTTTGTCTCTACTCCGACTCTTGTTTCTGCTGGGTTGTTTTCTACCTACGCAGCATTTGTCGGATTGTTTGATCGCTTCTACTCACCCTGCACCAAACTACAACGTGCTCATCCGCTTCCTTCGATTTGATGCATATATACATTGTCCACCACTCCCCCGACGAAATCCCTCTTTTCCCTCCTTCCACCAACAAACCCTTCCTTTTAATGTCGCTGTTCTTGTGAATAAGGAACACCCGGAAAGAAGAAGAAAAAAGGAAACGGGGAAATAGAAAAAAGAAAAAAAAGAAGAATCACATTTTGCTCACTCTTCATTTCGCCTAAACAGTACTTCTCCACTCTCGAACGCCTCCGACTTACACAACATCCCAACATTACTCTCGACTCTTCACAAGCGACCAACAACTTTTACGACTTTTCCTCTGCTCCCCTCCGACTTCGAAGAGCCCGCCGTGCCCGAGGAGGATCCGACTTTACCACTACACTCCCGCCACTTGCACCTACACCTCGATTCCGCACGTTGTCAGTCGATACGACCTCGCAGCATCGTTCGAGCGAGTCACAAACTGCCTTTTTGGCAGACAAGGCTAAGACAGCAGATAGGAAGCTCCTGAGTGTCATTCCAGACACCGTCGATGCTGGCAGCTTAGAGACCGAAACACCGAGTGCACCGGTGGCCACGGCCCACACCCAGGAACGGGACAACATCGAACACAGCGGCCTGAATAGCCCCGACAGCCCAGAACCTCTGTCCGCACAAATTCATCCCCATCTCCACGAGAAATTGCCGCCAGCCGACATGATGGCCGGTCACAACAGCATGGTGCCGGACTCGTTTTACGAGAGCTTCCGGTGCCTCGAGGAGACCAGCAACCTTGATCTCCAACTAAGGCTAGACAATTACCCTACAAGCAATACCCGCCCCAATTCACCACCCCAGAAACAGAGGAATCCGTCCTTCCGCAGGCACCTTTCCATCTCCAAAGTTCATCTAGGACTCTCGTCCCAACCCTCCTCCAGCCGGCCTGGTACGAAGGACACTTCAGCCACATCTACCACATCGCCTCCTCCGTCAATAGCTAGCTTTGGCATGCCCATGAGTCCGACTCACGGACGGCGGAGATCTAGGGCACTGTCTCTACGCTCGCCGGGACCTAGCATCGCCGAGAACGTGTCCGGCCCGATCCCCGTCCCCGTCCCCTCCGGTCTAGATTCAACCGCTGCCGCTCATTATCAAGACCCCGAGGCGCGGCTAAAGCTTCGAGTATACCTCGCAAGCCCCCAGAAATTCGATGAGGCCGTGGAATTCGGATTTCCCTCGACGGAGTTGCGACCGGGCCGACGAGCACCCGAAGTACGCCCTCTTAGGAAACAGCAGTCGTGCTTTGTCTTAGCTGATGATACCGACAAGGTCCATACGTTCCTATCCGACGACAAGTCTTCAGTCTACAGCGACGATGTGTCCATGGCCGAGCCCGATTCTCCCAAGACCCCAGAGCCCCTTGAGAAGCCCCCAGCTACACGATCCTACAGAGCTGCATCGGACGCCGGCCTGGTGGCCAAGATGGCCAGCGATTATAACCAGGCAGCGGCATCCGCCAGGGAGATGACGCTACGGATGACCCTTACGAGGCCGGACCTCCGGGCGGGAGAGGATCAAATCTATGGATGGCAACAAAAGCATGTGACCTCGGGTGGTCGCAAGTCTCAGTCGTCTGCGCTTCGAGAGGAATTATCTCCGACGGTTGTTTACATTAGGGAAGGCAATTCCAAAGACAGCATTGAGAGGCAATTTGCTGCTTTCGACCAGTGGGCTCCGCCGGAGCGCGGTGTTGTGAAGCGATTCTGGAACCGAGTCAGGCGGCAGTAAAACGGCATCAGTCGACTACCACACACACATACGCTCCCCATATTACCGCCACATCTTGCGGATCTTGCCTTGGTTCGATCATGGATCTGCTCGGATTCTCCTTCCCCCCTGCACGCCTCTACATGGGGCGTCGTTTTTTTATGACATGACATATTGAACTCTCACGATACATCCTCTTGATTTACACAGTATATACGCTGGAACTGCCCTCTCGGGCCGATAACGATTGTGGCTTTCTGCTATTTCGCTCTCAAGTTTGTCTACACCTCTTTTCTCGTCATCTTTCTCTTTCAACTCTTTTCATTTGTTTCGAGACATCTGTCGGGGGTTTGGGCCTTTCAATGTTTTTTTTTTTTGTTTTCCTTCTTCTGTCGGAGGTATATACCCATTGGAAATATGCTTGCTTGTACTATAACTATCTAATGATTGCGTGTTGATTTCGCTTCCATTGTCTTTCAGAGTTGTCCTGCTTGCAGACTCTCGATTGGATGGTTTGAAGCCAGGCCAAAAATCCTCCTCTCCCCACACCCATGAAAACAAACATTTATTCTTTAAGCGAGTCAGCAGAGCCAGAATTGCTTGCTTCTTTTCATTTTCTTTCCATGTCTTTTTCTTGCTCTCCTTGTTTGTGGTTGGGGGTTTAAGGTGTCGTGGGGAAGATGGAAGATTCAGAGAGCTAAAGAGCTCTTGACTGTCAAAAAAGCAACTCTCATTGGGTGGAGTTTGTGGGACCTTCAGATTCATTTCTGTCTCAATTTGATCAATATATATACACACATTAACTTATACCACCTTTTTTTTTTTTTTTTGAAACAGTTTTTGACATGTTTATAACTTTACCACCTGGCTTATTCTCCGACTCATTGGTTCTTTTAGACTCAAAGACTCGGATTCTAGAGCTGACATCGGCTCTTGAGATGTATGGTGTCATTGCAGCATTGACTGCCTCTGACAGGTCTCTCTCTCTTGTTCCGGGGCTAGAAGAACCGGCGCATAGTCGGTACACCCAAATAGGGTCGTCTCTTAAGATGGATCTGTGGCAGGCGAGTCATGTCTCGTTCCTGTGCCCGGACTTGCGCGGTGCCAGAGACAGCGTGCGAGTGGGTCATCCCCGAGGTAGGTACGTGAGGACTCACGCGGCGCAGGCAGTACCTGCCTCCCTATGACCACCCGAGTACGAGACATGCTTTTACATGTAGTTGTCGTGTGTCTGTTACACTTGCACGGCATCAAGGGGTGGGAGGTAAAAGAAGGTTACCGGCATGTACGAAGGTCGATGTTGATCAAGGCTCGGCGGTGGGGATATCATGGTGATACGAAGAATGTGTGGGAATCCAATGATCTTGGGGCATCCAATCCCTACGGGACGACCTCGTGCGAAGGATGATACAACCCATCCTCTTCGGCTGGGATCGGGGGTAAACAAAACAGGCATTCCCTGGTCTGGAGGAGAAGGATCCTGGGGAAATGGAAAGAGCGCAAAGACACTAATATCAAGGCATGTGTGCTTTAGTGCACGACTAGCTGCTATAGACGAGCCATAACGCCAGGCTAGAGCCGCAGGCTAGTTAGTATTCAGAGTGGAAAAAAAAAAAAAAAAAAAAAAAAAACCACTACGCTACTCCAAATACCATGTGCTCTTCTGATCGACCGCGATGGGGCAAATGGAAGGTTTTGTTAATTTGATATTTGGTGCGTGATGGTTGTTGTGTGCGATGCGCACAGGTACAGTAGGCAAGGGCAAAGCACCATGTTCCCCCCTCGGATGATTTCTTGTTCATATTTTTCTTGTATCATTTTTTTTCTTCTCCTAGAGGACGGATCTTGTATTTGTTTCTGTTGCTTCGTTTCTACGAAGTAGTTGATTTATAAGGACAGATGAAATATCTAGGCCGTCCTCCCCCCCAACCCCCCCAAAGACGTACACCAATTGATCATTTGTAGCGCTAGTCAACGGACTTGCATGCGCCAATGTGCGCTCCACGTCTGATGCGATGGGGGACTGCACCATAGACCTTCCCCGTACTTACACTACTTCGTACAGGAGGGTCGCAGGAATGATAGCGTGGGGGAGGTTGGGTCCGAGCGGTGAAGAGAAAGGGTCCTGGAGAGTGCTGTGCTGCGCTCCTGCGTCTTGCACATACATACCATAGTTCGGACGTAGTAGCGAAAGCGAGGGATAGGAGGAGCTGTCTAAGCGTTTTGTTTGTGGTGATGTACATATTGAGAGATGATAGCAACACCTTCGCCATTTTATATGCAGCATTTTTATATTACATCCATCCATATACGTCTTCCTCGCCGTCTTAGTAGAGTTCCGAGGAGTGCAAGTATCCAAGTCAGCTCGGTTGCCGAGTGCGAAGCTCAGAGCCCCTGCTTCTAGTGCAATGGTGTTGATCAGTGACTTGATTAACGATGATAGATCGAGAGCCCTTGGTAAATAATTACGAGCTCTAGCTAATATGCATACTCCAATTGTGATTGAAGTCATTGGCAATTGAGTTTGGTTTTGGTTGCTTTCTTAGGTTACGCCGTTTCTTTTTCTTACCCGGAGTGTCGAGATCAACGGCGGGGGGTGATATCATCCATCCCTGTCTTCCCTGCCCTGATCCACCGTTCCCCTCTATGTTCTTCGGTTTAGAAAATAATTTGGGTTACCCTGGTAAACCGAACTGGACTCGAGGGGTCTAGGGGTTCAGTTTTGATCACACATCATGTCCACGATCCTTGGCTAGATCCTTCAGGATACTCGCCTCAGAGAAAGGGGGACGACGCCCTCAAGCCTGCGCTTCCCCTCCCCCGCAGCAGAGCAGGCGCGCAAACTTGTACAGTGGACCACGGCCAAGGATATAGTTTACAACTGGGCGGGATCGGCGACTGCAGATCTTGCCCATCAACTCGGTTTCGGAAAAGAGACTAGGCAAGGGTCAGGGAAGGAGAGATAGTTGTCAAGGAGCGCAAGGGGAGCACTGCACCTCACATTCCTTAGGTTTGAGGCAGGGACCTCCCAATAATATGAATGCCAGGGAAGGTGTCCCAACGAGAATCAACAGGGACAGGACGGTGTTGTATTACAGCACAGCAGAGGTCGATATCAATATGGGTTTGCTGCCTGGTGGTTGAATCGACGGAGCTGCAAGGGGGAATATTCCGGCCTGTGGAAAGAAAAGATGTCAATTATTATTAGAACCCGTCACTTGTTCGAGGAAGTTGGTCCTCCTTTTCGAATTGTCCCCCACCGAACGCTGGATGTATGCACATCGAGATGGACATGTCGAAACCCCGCCCTCGGCTCTCTCTTGCCCGTGAAGTGAACCCCCCAACCGAGAGCAGCTCGGACAACCACCGGTCCACTCTGAAGACCTCACCTTTATATCTGCTCTACTATACTCCATCAAATACACGAGGACCAGGACCTTCGGGATGCAAGCACTTAGCATCCGGGTGTCACATGGGTAACCTGTCAACGTTCTTTGCAGACTCTCAAACCCCGAGGCCATGATGGATGCAGAGGCCAAAGCATCAGACAAGGTCCGGTTCTTACGGAGAAGTAGATGCTACTGTGAAGTATTTCTGCACTGCAGCAGGTACGCATCGCGAGACGGTGTCAGAATGGCCCCCATCGTGACATCGCCTCATGCACCTCAGAAAGGAAGAAAGAAGCAGAAGAAAAATCCCACCAGCCCCTTCCTTTCCGCTGATACCACCAATGGATCTGGAGGTACATGTTCCAGTCGTGGCCTACACGTGGACTTCGTATTACTTCGTAGTCGCTTCTCCGGATCGGACAGGCAGGTGGGAGCCTTGGTACGCGGAGCCGATCTCTTCTGGGCTTTCCCCCCAATAGTAGTCGGTATACTCATCCGCAATTGTCATACTTTGGGATATCTTAGAGCGATGTTCCCGGGCGGATAAAAAAAAAATATAAAATAAAATATATAAAAAAAGGCGGCACACAAGTCCCACACTAGTTTCGAACCAGCAACCCCTCCAAGTTTCCCAATTTCCTCCACGTCTCATGGTTTGACCAGACCGGGTTCCACGCCGGCGCCTTGCGGAAGTAGTTTGTAAGTAGTGCGTCGCCGCTCGACCACTCGAGCTTCCATGAGACGTTGAGAATCCTGATCAAAGATTTCATATATAACACATATACACGCAGAAAATACCGGTCCCGGAACTGGGAAGGCGCGTTCCAGGCGAACTTCTACAGATATGGGAATGAACTTGATCGTTTGACGTATTCTATGAAGGAAACGCAAAACGACACTTATAGATGTAACAGCACCATTAAACACAATTGCCGGAGCCCATATAAAAATAAGGAAATTTTTAACAAAATAAAGTACATGTAAAATTCTCATGGAGGTGAGTCCCCCATGATACTCGCCCCTAGTGGATCCGTTCGTTTTCCCAGTCTATATTTCCTCGTCGCTCTCGTCCCCAAGAAGCTCCCCTTCCACATCATCCACATCGGCGTAATCGCCCATCCCCCGAGCGAAGCTGTCCCTCGTCGTAAACCTCCTAGTGCCGCCGTAGAACCAGCTTCTACTCGATCCCCGCCTGCCGCCGCCGCTGACGCGCTGGTAAGTCGACGTGGCCGCTCGCCAGAGACTCGTTGCCACCAGCGGCATGGCTGCCACCAGCGCCACGATCGCCGAGACCGCAATGACGGGATACTTGACCCACGGAGCCTCGCCGTCGAACGCGCTGGACTCGCCCAACCGAATCTGCCCGAATTGGCTCTTCCAATTGCGCCAGACCCACCAGCCCGCGGCTGCGGCGAGCACGAACGGGACCGTGACGGCGAAGAAGATAGCCACGCCCGAGACGCGATGGCGCCGTTCATATTCCTCTTCGTGGCCCTTGCACGGCCAGCTGTTGAGTGCCTTGTCGAGCTCGCGGCCGCCTTTGCAGGTTGTCAGGGGAATACGGCGATAGCCCGTAGGCTCGTAGTACTCGGCCTCGTCGGGGTGTTGCTTGCACCATTCCTCAGCGTTGAGTGGGGATAGGCCCTCAACCAAAGAGCACTGGCCATTGTTGTCCAGCTGATAGTTGTAGGCACTATATAGTGAAAAAGGTTAGCCAAACTCATGCTCGCTCAGTTCGTAATAAACAAAGAAGGGGTGATAATAAGGGGAGAAATGTGTGTGTGTGTGAGTGTGTGTGTGTGTGTGAATGTGGACATACCACTCAAAGTCGCGACGAGTACACTGGCAGTTCTCTACCATAAGTTCATGACGAACCCTGCCGTCATTGTAGCACTCCTTGCCCTTGACCTTGCGCAAGTACTTGGACTTGTGTCCAAAGAGGCATCCATCGCCGCCAGAAGGGTCGCGAGGCGTCCACGCATAATAGTCGGACTCTTCGCAGGGTCTCGATGAGAGACCGGAAAAGTCAAGGTTAATGGCGGACACCGGACCATCACCCTTGCTAGACCAAAGGATAAAGTTCCGTGAACTACCCGATCGCGGCGACGTGATGTCGTGGATGGCAACCTCCTCCTCCGAGAACTCATGCTTCTTCCACGTCTCGCCCTCATCTGTTGAATACATTACGTGGTTGGTATTGACCTGTTGGTCTGCTCGCCACAGCTTAGCGAGCACCGTGATGGATCCTTGGTCGCCGTACTGCCACGTCCAGACACCCTTTTGGACCTGCTTCCAAGTAATACCGCCATCGGTCGTCATGAAGGTGTCGGCATCCTTAATGGACCCGAGGTGAGAGCCGACATTACCCACGCCGAACATGAGACCGACAGCTGTGGCCACCGAATAACTCTTCTTCTTGTCCATTCTCTCTGTGAAACCGTGGAGATGGAGCGCGCAGGAAGGATCTCCATTAGCGCTGTGGCACGAGAATGACTTGCCATCGACGTCCTTAGCCGGAGGCGCCAAATAATACCATTCGGATCCATCGTTATGAGTGACTTTGGTCTGCAGCTTCTTTGGTTCGTCAGGCTTATCGCGATTGGCCACCGTGTTGACAATCGACACACCCTCGAGGCCAGGAATCTTTTCATAGTCGACGTAGTAGTAGTCATCGCAGTTGACTCCCGATGCGCTGAGAACGTACGTCGTGCCATTGGAGTTGCTCTTGAGAATGTTGCCATACCGTCGACCTTCGCGCATCTCGGTAGGAACAAACATGTTGACGGCGTGCGTCGAGCTATCCAAGACGGTATACTCGACGCTATGGTCTGCCTTGAGGTTCGCGGGGAACTTGGCCTGCGCATACGTCTTGCCGTCCACGCTGGCAAATGCGACAAGTCCTTCCATGCCCTCGTGTGCCGCCGCCACAATGATGAACTCCGCCATCGTCGCAAAGTTGCGGGCTGACGCCTCTCCCTCTGCCCCAACGCCAATCAGCTTGGGGTTGGTGATGTCCTCATCGAAGAAATCGTCACTGACGAAAAGCTTCGTCTCCTTGGCGTCCTCATCGTCTTGGCCTCGAGCGACGCACACAATCTGCTTCTGGTGCCGCGTCTTATACGCATCGCCTCCCGTAAACTCGCATTTTACCACGTGGCGCAAGATCGTCTTCCAGTTATCTCCTCTATCCACCGAAAGGTGCGCCTCGCGATAGCAGCTCTCGCTCGAGTCATCGCAATTCTTGCTCAACATGATAATCCAGTCTTTCTTATCCGGATGGAAAGAAAAGGGATACACATCTGTGGCTGGCTTCCGACGTGCCTTGAACGAGTGGAAATGAATGCCTCTATCAACGGTGTAGATGACCTTCTCCGAGGCCGTGGTGAAGAATAACACGTCATTGAAAGTCGGATGAGGGTATATGCCGTCGATGTCCTCGTCTTCAAGAATCCTCTCCCACTTCTTGCCATGGTTAGATGTGCGCCAAAGCTTGTTGTCATAACTCATGTGGCTGCCTTCGTAGAGAACGGGTCGGACAATGAGCGACTCATCACCTCGTGAGCTGGAGTCGCCACGCTCGAGATAAAACTTTTGGAAATCCTTAAACTTGGTCTTGAAGGTGAAGTGATCCCCAACAATTTTGCCATCATTCTCCCCGGACGACGGGCCTCCCACAACGTCGGAACACTTCCTCTCCACAAGGTCATCCTTTTGATCGCCCTTTCCTCGCTCGCAGGTATTGCCTGGGATTTTTCGCCAACCAGACGACCCCTTAAATGTGTCTTCCGGCTTCTTGTCTTTACAGGCGCCGCTCGAATCTATCAACGGACCGTCGGGAACGCATTTCTTATCATCATCCCTGACAAAGTTGAAGTCGCACTCGAAATCTAGATCCGCACATTCGCAAGGTTCCGTCTTAGCGATCGCCTCTTTGAATTCCTTCCTGATGAAGCAATCGGCATCCTTCTTGCGGCGGCGGAAAGTTTGTTTGTGGCCCATGATACACGTAGGCTTGCCATCACTGTCGGCGCGCGCATGCCAGTCTTCCAAGTCATCTTCACCACAGGTGCGCTCCCGGAGGCCCTCAAAATCAATGCTAACAATCTGGAACTTGCCCTCGCGGCCAGCCTCCTTTCCAAGCAGAATAAATTTGAGGGTCGAGGAGTCCTGGCTGGTGGTGAACCACGAGGGAATGAGCTTCATACCGTCAGGGAAGGAAACCTGCTCCCACTTGTCACCGTGGTTAAGCGAGTAGCTGAACTCAGACACTGGTTCTTCCAACGAGTGTTTTACAGCAACGAGGATGGAACCCTGGTCGCCGAAATCGTACTTGTGCGGGCCCTCAAGGGCCTTCTTCCAAGTGACGCCGCCGTTATCCGACACATAAAGATCGGCCTTCTCCAAGCTCTCGAGATGACTGCCAGTATTCCCATTCCCCATTACGAGGCCGGGAGCCGGACTGGAGTAGACGCGACCCATGTTTATCATGTGCGTGACGGAATGAAGATGAATTCGTTTATCTCCCGCCATGACCTTATCAAACGTACGCCCATCGTCAAAGGTAATTTCGGTCACAACCTCTCTTTCAGCATCGCCGTGTTTTTCCAGCTTTTCCCCATTGCTGACAGTGTTGACGAGGAAGACACCTTGAATACCCGAAATCTTTTCGAAGTCGACAAGACCCATATCATTTCGATTGGTATATTCGACGTTCTCGGTAAAGTACGTGCCGTCGGAATTGCTGGTGAAAAGAACGCCCATGGGTTGCGACGGGCGGGAGCTCATTACGTCGATCTGGACACTGTAATTCGTGCTCTCCAAAACCGTGTAGGATCCCTGGTTAATCGTGTGTCCGTGGCTTTCGGGGAACATAGCCTTATGCCACTTCTTCGTATCTGTCGAAACGTACAGGGCCATCTCGTCAGTCCGGGCCGAAGTCGTGGCCACGAGTATGAATTTCTTCACACCAGCGAGATTCACGGCACCAAGGATGCCCTTGGTGGTCCCGATAGTAGGCTCATTTTCTTCGGGCTGTCCGTTTGCCTCCCGGAAGAAAGTGTCCGAGATAACGAGGCGTTGGTCTTCCTTCCGTCGAGTGAACCCGTCTTCGACAATACACAGAACCCTATTCGCATCAAGCTCGTCCTCGCCAGTGGTGAATTCGGGGGTAGACTTGGCCCACCAGCAGCCGGTGGCATGGTGTCGGAGATCTTTGGGCGCGGATTGAAAGCCATCGGTCGTATACGTCGTCACATAGGAGCAGATGAACAACTTGCATCGAACACCGTTAAAGAGTATCCTATCCGGATCGCCAGCATGGAAGCCAAGCACGTCATCGGACATATAACCCGCCTCGGAGAGGCTCGAATCAGCGCCACTGGCGAACTTGGTCCACGTCTTGCCGTTATCGCTTGTGCGATAGTGCTTATCTTCGCGGCCGAGAATGTACGCGCGGGTCGGGTCATAGGTGTGCATCACGAGAGCCGCGGCCGCACCGGCGGGTACGCCCTCAACTTTGTGCCAGGTTGTGCCTGCGTCATCGGAACGGTAGACAACTCGTTCGACGGGGTCGTGGAATAGAATATCGTCGGAACCGCGGAAGTACCTAAGACCTCTGGGAGGATTCTCAAAGCTGGTGACGCTCATCTTAGGGGTGTCCGATTTCGCGATGGCTGCCGTCCACAAGAGGGACGACAGAAGAATACTGCGCCATGAGGCTGCAGCCTTGCCCCTAAACCTCATCGCTGCGACTTGGAGGAATCGTGGTTGCTCATCAAGCTCGTGAATAGGAGATAGATCAAATTTTCGAATGAAGGCGTTGTCGGATCAATAAAAGGGTGGTGCGCTGCACTGATGGCAAGAATGGGAAATAGACGGATGGAATGTTTGATGGTGAACGTGAAGGACAAGCTGGACCTTACGAAGCGGCGTCAGCCAAGTCTTGGAGCCAATGAGCAGGACCACTAGCCTAGACTCTGCTCTATTTGTACAGAGTACCAATCGTGGTGGATAGGAACACTTACGCTACAATTCTAGGCACGAAGTACTTGTAACAAACCCACTAAGCACCACTTTTAATTGCAGCAGTTCGGGTTGACACGTAACAATTGAATCGTCATTGATAAGGCAGTCCACACAGTTCGTCTTCAAATGGTCGGTGCAAGTACCTGTACAAACGATGCCAGATTGATGTCAGAGAAAGGAAGTTCCATTCCTGTCACCCAAACCAACCCCCACCTGTCCGCTTGAGGTTTCCGCGAGCAGCCTATCAAATGCCATTTGTGCCTGAAAACGGTCATTTAGTGGTAAACTACGTCCATACATTTGATCTGTCCGGCTCACGATTCTGTTCGCACCTGGGTGATCATACAGCCTGGCGATGCTGGCGCGCTTCCGAATTTATCGGCTGCGGTTCTAAGACCATCGAATCGCTAGTATCTGTCAACCCCATACAATCGTATCGAGAATAGGAATCCGTAGATTATTACATAATGATTGAGCAGCACGGCTGTTAAAGGTAAAATATCAATGATGGCTTTTGCATAATCAAGGTCTCCTCTATACGCTGGTTTGATTTCTTAGGACGCGACACACATACACATGCACACGAGAACTGGAGTCTTGGACCTTTGGTAGAACATGAAGCATGAAGTATCTGGAAGCTAATACGACGCACCAGCCGGGGGAGGTGCAGGAAGATAAAACTATGAACAACATTTTAAGAGAAACGCTCGAGCGTATAATCGTCAGTGTACAGTGCCGTGACATACGGCGGCATTTGCAGGAGTGAGCTGCCGCCGTCCTTCAAACCTCATCGTCATGTCTCGTCTTCGACTTCTTTTTCCGGCCTCATCAAAAGCGTAAACTCGCACATATTCCTCACTTCATCCGACGATCACTGAATGCAGATCGAGTGTCGACTAGATTTAGTCCTCTTCTGGGAAGAGCCAGTCACGGGCAGTGCCCTTCTTCCCACCCATTCCATCACCGCCAATAAGAATGCCCTTGTTACTAGCCCTGTCGGCATTTGCCCCCTTTCTCGAGCCCATCCCATCACCGGCAATGGAAATTCCCTGGTTGCCCAACCTTCGGCCGGGCGCAGCAGCGCTACCACGGGAGTTCTCTTTCTGCGACGCGGGCGAGTCATTAGTAGCAGCCCAATTGGCCTCCATCATCTTCACGGCCTTCTTGCGATCCTCACTAACCTTGCGAGGCTGGGGGGTCTGGTCGTCCTCGGGATCGTCAGTCATTGAGAAGCTGGGATCAAACGTCTTCTTGCGGTCCTTTAGGTTGGTGATATTTCCAAGTGCGTACGGGTCAGGGCCAGGAGAAGGTGCCTTGCCATCTTCATGGTAAACGTGGTTGTCGTACAGTCCAAGGCCGGTGTTATGCTTCGTTCCTCTGGGGACACCAGCAGGGCGAGGCTCCGTAGGCTCTGGGCCGTCGTCGGCGAAGTCGAAGTGGTGCTCAGCATCGCGGCGGGGCTTACCGGCAGGCTTCCGTTGGTTAGCCGGGGTTTCTTCAGCCTCGTTATCCCAGTGACGCACATCCTGTGGGCGGCGGATAGTCCGAGTAGGAAGCGCTTTCTGCGGTGTCACAAAGTCATCAAAGGACCACGAGCTGTCATGCTTAGACCTGGATCTGCTCCTATCTGTCTGGTCGCTAGCCTTGGGCGTGGTCTCTTCACCTTCGCCGTGCTCATCACCCAAGGCAAAGTGCTGGAATCGCTTGGGGTTGGGGCGGTAAAACCGGTCTGGCTTCGGTTTGTTGTCGGGGGAATCCTGCTCATCCTCCACCTCAAACAGACGGCTGGGCTGGAAGTTCTTTCCAGCTCCGACCTTGGGAGCAATAGGTCGGGTTTGATGCTGCGAACGGCCGCGTCCGTTGTCCTCATCGTGGGCTTCTTCTTCCATTTCAAACAGACGGCTAGGTTGGAAGTTCTTTCCAGCGCCAATCTTGGGAGCAATAGGTCGGGTTTGCTGCTGAACACGTCCGCGACCATCATCCTCATCTTGTTCGTCGGTTTCAAAGAGTCGATTGGGCTGGAATTTCTTATTAGAGCCGGCCTTAGGGGCGATGAATTTGCTTGGTGACTGAGAACGACCTCGGCTCGGCGAGCCGTCATCTTCGTCCGTAGGCTCATCACCCAAAATCTCCGTGAAAGATCGCTGGCGAGGTCGAGTACCCGCATAAGGTGAAATGATTCTCGCAGCTGCAGCGTCTTCAGCGGCATCTCGAGGGGCAAAAAGCTCGAGAGAGGCGTGAGGGTCGCGAAGGGCGTTCACCGAGTTACCGCGCGAGCGGTGGAGCACATCACTACTCTCGGGTGCACTCTCTGCGACGGCTCCTCTGGCAGAGAGACAGGTGGTGATAACCTTGATCTGATCACTACCGTCGCGAATGGGCCAATTTCGACCCGACCTGCCGATAACATCTACTTGTTTGAGAAGCGCACCTTGATCCCAGCTTTGTCGGATCTGCGCAATCTTGCCCTGTCCGTCAAACGACACGATGTGCATCTATCGCAACGAAAGTCGCATTAGCAAGAAGTGAAGTGGACCAGAGATGCTGGGATTGTAGCTAGAGGAGAACGAAACTAAAAGGACAGGGGAGAGTGGTCGCACAATTGGGAGGTGAACTTCTCTCTCAGAGAGGAAGTTGTCATCAAGTCCAGGCAAGTATGGTCCGCCACTGCTGACAAAAGTCATCGTCGTCTTGACCTGGATGGCGGCGGCGTTTCGGCCCTCAATGACATCGAGAAAATCTTCGGCGGTTTTCTTGACTTGGTTGCGCAACGAGTTCAGGTGCTTGATGATATCGGTCGCACCGCGAATCGCAGTCGTAGTCGTGACATAGTGTAGGGTAGCGTCCGCGGAAAGCAGCGATGAGTTTGGCGAGGCCAAGAACTGCCTATATGTGGAGGCCATTGCGTAGAGGTATTCAGCTGGTGCGGTGCTGGTGGTTTCTGGTCGTTTGTTCTGTGAGAGTGGCTCGCCCAGAGGGGGAACCTTGACGAGGCGGGGGAATCAAACAACAGCAGACGAGCAGCAAAATCCTCAACTAGGACGGAGGGGTGTTGGGGAAGAAGGCGCGTCCAAGGTTGTCGCAAGAAGGGCAACCGTGGCAGAAGGATCGTTGTTTTGGGACTCAAATTGAGACGTTTCCCGCGAGTGAGAGAGGAATTGGAGGGCACGCGAAAAAGATGGAGGGGAAGGAGACGAGATGAAAGGGGGGATGGGACGAAGCTGCTTGTTGTTTGTGGGAGTGTGGGTACGGATGGCAGTTGCCAATGGGGTTCATCATGCAAACGGAGGGTCCTTCAATGTAAATATTATGGTGCGGTCTTGGTGGGAGAGTGTACACTCACTCCACAGTTTTGGGAAGGAGAGGTCGAGTCTCAACCGTGGTAGTTAGAGGTGGTCGTGTATGTGTACTTCGTACAGAGAAGACGCGCCATTGAACACACCCGTGTCTTTGGCGCATATTAAAGGAGGACCTAATCCGTTATTTGGAAAACATTCATGGTCTGTGCTCCAGTTGCTATGGTACTTGACCCCTCGCTTGGCGGACGCCGCGAACCTTGTACCCCTGCAAGGAGCTTGGCAACATGCAAGTATCTCAGTCTCAAACGGAACTCATGCTTTTCAACGAAGGATCGGAAACGTTCTTCTATTTTGCCAGTAGATTCCTCTTCCTCGGTCTGCCTAGAATCGAGTATGCCCGAAGTACCTTCACCGTAAATGAGAGATGCCTACTAATATAAAAGCGGTCCTACTAACATCCTGAGTTGTGGTTGCCGAAAGGCCTACTTCTGTCATAGACGCACTTCATGTTGTATGTAGTTTACGTACATGGGCTGCACGTTCCGACTTGGGCTTCTCCATGTTGCTCCACAGTCCGTATTTGATTGCAGCTTTATTGAGCCGTGCACTTAAGACCCGCAAAATTTCCCCTGGCGCATTACGCCACGTGATCCGCCTTGGTGGTCAACGCCGTTTTGAGTTTCGTACCTTGAGCTAGGCTATCTAGAATAAATCCTTACAATGTCCTCGTCCGTCCAGCAAGTCGTCAAGCCCGTGTACTGCGATCATCGATCCAATTGTATCTATCAACGCCTCACGGGTATAATGTTCTCCTGGGACCACCTGTGACCATCCAGGCACTGGCTTGCCACACCTTGAGCGGGCCAGACCGACGTGAGGTTCAATCCCTGCCATTGAACCGAATCAAGAAGTCCAGGATCCCATCCCTGTTGTTTCAACTTGGAGACCCTGTCAGCCACCCACCAATACCAGTAATGAGCGAATGATCAGAGGTTGCTTTACTCTTTCGAATTCGTACCACTTCACGTCCAACATTGCAGAACGACGGCTATTAAGTGTCTTCGACTTACCGAAGTAAGCGAATCAAATAGGGGCGTTTCATCGGACATATCTGAGGTCTACAACCTTGCTCTAGATACACAATGCCATGAGATATTATCAGTGAAGGGACCCTTGGGGATACAATCGGCTCCGCATGCTCCATATTAGATCAAGTTTGTCTATATTAAATCGAATCCTGACCCCAAGATCCGTATAACGGATACCTTCCAGTTCCTATGCCAGCTAACGAACAGTAATATATGTACAAGTCGATGCCGCCATCCCGAATGGACATCAGTGAAAAAACATGAATAACCACCTAGGAATATTTGAGCATCATTAGCTCGGGCATCTCTCCAAACGCCTTGCTTCCGTCCGACCCATCATGTCCCCGAATAAAATTGCTTACGGAAAAAAAAGAAAAAGAAAAACGCCGCCGCCACCTCTGGAGTGTGCGCATCATTGACGCTCAGGTCAATGAGCGGCAAGATCCTATGCATGACGCTCAACAGAGGAACTTGTAAACCTTCTTCCATCTAGGCCATGCCCTCTTCTCTTCCGCCTCCCTAGCCACCAATATCGGCAGGGCAAACTCCCTCCGCCCAGTGTCGATATCCAAGTCCTCTATGCGCACAATCCTTGTCCGGTAGTAAAGCTTGTGGCACACGTAAAAGCTGCAAACAATCGGCGCTGCCATGTACTTGAGGAAGAAACTCTCGGCGAGCTGTCGCGATGTCATATCCCTCCAGCCGATCGGGAAGGCGCCGACCCAAAACTGGGCAACGAGCACGAGGAGATTCATTGAGAGGCCAATATACGAGCCTATTATACCAATCTGACTGCGGTAGGCGAGGTCTTCGAGCTTCCGGCCCTTGTGTGCCCACGCCTTGCGGAAGCGAATGTGACAGAGGCATATAGAGCCCCACGTGAAGATGGACGAGAGGCCAGAGGAAGCCAGGAGCCAATCGAGCACGATCTCCTGGTTTTCCACCTCGGCAATGTAGGAAAGGAGGCCGATGATGCCAGCAATGAGAATGGCCATCAGCGGTCGTCCTTTGCGGTCAATGTAGGACAAGAAAGGCGGCGCGAGGTTCTGGTCCGCAAGTGCCGCCATGGTACGTGAGGAACCGAAGACGGCGGAATTCCCCACAGAGAGAACGGCAACAAGAATTACCGCGTTCATCACTGACGGAATCACGGCGATGCGTGCTTTCTCGATGGCGATAACGAATGGAGAGGCGTTCGCCGTGAGTACGCCGCTCGTGTCGCTGTTCTCTGAAAGAAGCCTTGGCTCATTGTAGGGAACTAGAAGCCCCACCAAGGTGAGTGCAACGACGTAGAAGAGGGTGATTCTCCAGAAAACTTGTTTTACGGCGGTTGGTAGCGACTTTCTGGGGTTCGCTGTCTCTGCTGCCGCCAGACCGACCAACTCGGTGCCGGCAAAGGAAAATGCAGCAGTGACGAAGACGCTGCAGAGTCCCTTGAAGCCGTTGTTGAACGCGCCGGGTTTCTGCCAATATTGGCCGCCGATATAGCCTCCGCCAGGATATCCGCCACAATTTATCACGATGCCAAGTAGACTTGATTGTTTTGAACGGATCAGATCAGCCGCGGATTCTCAAAGACTTCATAGGGAGGGAGGGAGGGGAGCAGGGAATAAGGGGACTTACATGAAGGCGATAACAGCGATAACCTTGACCATGGCGAAGGTAAATTCCACCTCACCATAGACCCTAACCCCAGCCAGGTTGGATCCCATAACTACGAAGAGGAAAAGAGTAACAAACCCGGCCTTGGCTATGTCCTTGTTCCAGTATGTTATAGTAATCGTGGCGGCGACAATTTCAAGTGGCAGAATTACCAACCACTGAAGCGCGTAGCTAAATGGTAAGGATCAGCGTTAGCAGACGGACAACCCCGAGATGGCGTTTGAGCAGGAAAGATAGGGCAGGGCGCAAGCGAAGACTCACTTCCAGCCCATGGCGAAACCCCAGGACGGGTCCAAAAACCGCGTGGAGTAGGACGAAAATGAACCCGCAACGGGGAAGGCTACGGCAAGCTCAGCGAGAGCTTGTGTTGTACAGTAGAGCATGATACCGATAAGCGAAAAGGCAATAAGCAATGACGCTGGTCCACCATGGTTGAGCGCTTGCCCAGACGCAACAAAGAGACCCGTGCCTAAGCGAGAAGCATCAGCAAATGTCCGTACAACAGTCGCCAGGCGAGGCTAAGACATCGAACGAGTGGTGATCACCGACAAAAAGAGTAGGGGATTGGAGGGGGTATGAAGGGGTACTGAACACTCCGCAAGGAAGGAAGAACGTACCAATGGAGCCTCCAATGGCGATCATCTGAAGATGTCTGCCTTTCAGCTTCCGTGCGAGGCCGGAGTGTGCCGTCTGGAGGGTCGCTTGACGAATATCATAATATCGAATACCAAGATGGTTTGCTTCCTCGGCTCTCGCAGCAGCTTCGATTTTCGGATCTAGCGGTGTTACACGTCGGCTCGGATCTCGTCTGAAGCTATTTATAAAGCGGGTGGTAACACTATCAGGTGGGACATCGTCGTAGATGGGTTCCCGCATGGTATAACTGCTGCCATGCGCTACCGAGTCCTCGCGCAACTTGAGGGTCGCCATTTCGATGCTTCGCCCGAGCGGCGCCATGGTGATCTCTTGCGCAGTAAATGAGAGCGCATCCGTGGGAGGCTCAAGGAGAGAAGAGGGTTTGGCAGTGGTTCCGGCAGGGGGGATAAGTAGTCTAGATATCGCCCCCTCTCAGCTAGATTCCGAAGAGAATGCCTTATCGTCTCGCGCGTCTACAATCTACGCGTACCCCAGATGGTAAACCTCATGGCCTGGGCCTGGGCCTAGCCAAATTCAAATTCAAGGAGGCAGGAATAGGAGATTGGGAGATGTCTCTACAATCTTCTCGTTCCGGTGGCGGAAAACTTCGGCGGCCAGGAATCGCAAGATATCTCTCGAATTAGCGGGTTCGTCTCGGAGTGCGGAGTGCGGAGTGCGGGCCGCTGTTCGAGCGAGCGAACGAAAGTCTATGGCCGGAAGTGGTTTCTTCAAGTTCGGGGATCGAGTCGTCTCAGGGCGCTTTCGTGATGGTTCGTGGCCGAATCAAGTGCGGTTCGGTCGGGTTGGTTCGAAAAAGTGGTGATGCAATTTGGGGGGAAGAAGTAGTAAATACTTTAAGGGATCAAACGGCCGATACTCCGCAAGAAAGTAAGTGAGTGATTGCCCTGGCCCAATTCTGAAATGGCTATGGTACAAGTGGCTCTCATCAGTTTGAAAGGCATCAAATGCGCAAGGAACTCTGTTGGATCAAATCAATCAATCCGGGTTGAGGGGGTGGCGGGCAAGGCTTATCATCGACTCTGGACCGAGTATGACTTTGTACATTGCATCAAATGCAAAACTAGGTTTTTATCATGGGTCATGGGTCGGCTGGGGTGGTCGACAGTACTTAAGCTGTAGATAACGGCGGATTTCCTGTAATCTCTACTTTGCAGACCATCTGGTCGGGAGGGTTGGACAAACGCTAATGATTGACTTGCCTGATTGGGCTAAGATTGAAAAGATGGATGGGTGGAACAGGGGTCGGTAGCATGGGGAAATGGGGTTGGGCGCCCAGCGAGGTGGCATTATCGGCAACTGGATGAAGCGTGCTGCAGCTCGCGGTATGGTTTTCGAGGTCGATGGCTCCATTTTGTCGCCTATTTCCGCCGTACGAATCAAGAGAACAGAGAGGTACGCCTACACCTTGGCTGCTTGCGACTTCGTATCAACTTTTACTCTGTACTTCATACGTCTCAAATGATTGTGGAATAGACAAGGATGAAGTAAAATAGGGCGGCCCGGGCCCAGGGTGGAGGTGGCGTGGCGTAGCGTGGGTCGCACAGCTCGTTATCAAAGTGAGTCTGCCTCGTTTGGGGAACAATACAAAGGCAGAGACATCGCAGATAAAACAGCATTTGACATGGCTCATGAGCTATGAGGTACTTCAATGTACGAAGTAATATTGAGTTCCCCCTATCGTCCCCGGATGTGGTCTCGACTCTGTTGGCTCTCGGACTCACAAAGGGGGAAGAATGAATCAGCTTGCTTTCAACTGGCTCCTTGGATGAGTGAATACCCTAGTGACTTGTACTTCGTATTGTCGAGGTTAGACTCGAAGTCCTTCATGCAAGAACGTACGTACACCAATACTTCGTACATCAATAGCGTACATCATCAAGTCGATATCAACCTTGTCCAGATAGGGTTTGAGTTGATCGCTTTCAAACCTAACCCTTGTACCTCGACGTTCCAAGTCTTGAACCAGTCAAAGCAATCAACTGTGAATCAACCCCCGAAGAGCTGGGTAAGACGCCCCATTAAACTATTTAGTTTACCGGTGTGCGCGTGCTGCATCAATCAAGTCATTTGATCGAGATCGACAAAGGTAGACGGCACTGAATCCATCACTCCAGTCGACTTGGCATGTCAATGCTGTAGCTAAAACATGCGTCTGCCTTTAGCTCGCTCGATTGATGAATTAGATGCCCCCATTCACTCAGCTGTTTGAAGTACTCTCAGGTTGCGTGCGCTGACTGGATTGCAGCTCGAATCTTACCGACTGCATGGTCCAAAGCGGAATGTGGCCGATGCGAGGAAACTGGACCGCCAAATATCAATGGGTCACTTAATATTAAGATTTGTCCTACGAAGTAAACTAATTCTTGAGTGATTGATCCATTTTGATCAACCCAATAAACTCGAACGACGTTCACTTTAATGCTCTTTTCCTATTGCCATTCCCCAGATCTCGAGACCAAGCCTCTTGATACCCCAGGCGAACTGTGCCCGGTACGTCGTAGATATTAGTTGAAGCCCCGCTTCAGCCAAGATCAGTCGTTCATGTCGGCTTGGGCACGAGAGATACACTGATTGCCGCTAAATGAGCAAACACTCTCAGAGATCAATGGAAGTGTAGTAATCCCATAGCCAGGTTTTATTGGTTTAAATGTTATCTGAGAGATCAGATTCACCGCCTGACCTATCTCATGACAGGTACTTAATAAGTATTTTCAAATATAAACTATTAGAAGATAGACTGGGCTCATACTTGATGTAGGATATTTCTGGTAGCGGCGAGGATCTCTCGAGCTAACGTCTAAAACCCTGCTACAGGTTTATACGTACATGCCTCCTCTGCCCTTGACCCATCGAGTACATGTACAACAAGATACAGCCAGCAACATTCTTGATCCAACGGAACAATGCCAGTTCGAACGAGACGACAACCTATCTGTCAGCAACCCTGAGCCTGAATGGGGCGACTTATTGAGGAAGTCAGAGTAGCTCTTCGCATCCAGTCCCGAAGCACCAACGACCACCATAAAACGATTGAGCGTGAGCAGCTTGAGCTGTGCAAGACAATGGATCTCATTCCTTTCGGTCAGTTCTGTCCTAATTTAAACGTGCTCACCGCTCAAGAGAGAAACCCTCCACCGGCCCAGGACCCAGGCTCCAAGGTCGGCACTAAATGCCCCGGCCCAGCCTCGGGCACTTCCGGGTTCTAAAGTGTTCCTCGGGCACAAAATACCCACCATCATCGGCATTGAATCAATCCACGAAATAAGGGTTCGAGATTGGCATGTGGTACGAAGCGCTCTTCGACCGCGCTGTAGCCTTCACCCGTGGATGCGGGCCAGGATGAAGGAAGTCCACAATCAGTGCCACGTGATGCGTGTGACGACTTCTGTTCCTCGACGCATGACGGCCTGCATCAATGGGGTAGACAAAGTATTGGAGCAAGCTGAATATACGAAGGCTCTCCTCCTCAACAGCATCCATTTATAAACACTCTCTCCATAGACACGATTTTCCCATCCGCGAGAATCTGCGAGAATGACGGACATCATCCCAAGGCTCGAGTCGTCACCGCATTCAGCATTCTCGAATCTTCCCGAGTGCTCAAGCATGCAATCCCTGAAGACAGAAATGGTCACAGGTTATTAGGCCTAGTCCGAGCCTTCTGCTGAACCCCCGCACCTCCATTCTAGTCTCACCATGCACTTTTCCATGCGTTTGACACGTCAGTGCAGTATATTGAAGGCCCAAGATAATTGGCACGTCATACACCCTAGTTCGGTCTGGTTGGGTGATGGTTGTTTGTCACCAATTTTTTTTTCTTTTTTTTTGGCAAGATTTGAAAGGTGGAAGTGGGCAACGAAGGGAAAGGAAAAGGGCTGGAAGTCCGGGAATCGTGAGAGCCACCATCACGCAGAATCACTGCATAGACAGCATGCCCCGGTCCAAACCTACGCATACAACAAGAAGCCATACCTGAGACAGACAGTCTTCTTAGTTTAGTCAAACATGCAGCGGATTGCGGGAAGTAATGGAGCCTGGGCACAACCAGGCCGGCAATTGGCCTTGTCGTTATTCTCTAGTGGGTGTGGGCTCTTGGTTCATGGAGATCTCACGTCTGATTGCATCGTCAAATGGTCGTGCATAAAATTTCTGCCCAATTCAACCAGCCAGGTGGTTCGACTGAAAGTTCGCCCCCGCCTCTTTAACGTTTCCATTTTCTTTATATACATTTGATCCTTCCAGCTCCGACCTTGACCAATGCTCTTCCTCCGATGATTTAGGAATCAAGGGAGATTCCAGAATTTACAGCCCTCGGATACACAAAAGGGATACCGAAGAAAATTAAACGCGAGCGTACGAGCGCGAGAGTGACGAGGCGGGGGTTGAGATCTTGGAGTCGAAATTCATACGACAATTAACTGAAAAAACCGCATCAAGCTCTCCCTTTACGGGAGGATCCTTGCACCGTCGAAATCATGACACGACTACTCCTGTGAAACCTCGGAGCGTGTCCTTTCTTTTCAATTTATTACCTTACTTTCCCTCCCGTACACTTCACCTTAACTGGTTCGGATTAAATTTCGGATCTGGAAGAATCAAAGGGCAGAAAGGATGAGACCGACATCAGCCATGTTCGCGCCGACGGAACAAACCGGTTTCCTTGATGGCCGGCTTCTTCAGGGTTGCTTCCGGGAGTCGGAAAGGTGTGAAATCGTCGGTTTGAGTCTCGAAGGGCTTCGCAATGCCCTAGTCGAAAGCTTCCACGCGCATATGACGGCTTTGATCGAGGAGATCAAGACCTCGGGCTGCATTCTCCGGGACCTCGCCGACAAGTCCCAGGTGCATTACCAGCGTGTCCCCATTGTCATGCACTACCTCGATGTCGTCCTACCCTGTCTCTCCAAGTCGCTACGCGACATCACCGAGTACATCGACGACCGGACGTCCTCCAAGGAAATTCGATGGCGGAAGATGTACAACAAGATGACCGAGGAGGGCGGCGGCATTCCGCTCCCTCAGAGATTTGTGCTCTACAACCATTACTTGAGACTACTTCACCAATTGCTTACAAGGTTGGTCTCGGATCCTCGTTACATAGATTGATCCCATTTCTATGCCAGTCTCGCCCTTGACATCGTGTTGTCTTTGCTTTTATTGCTCGCCGACCGCTTCCACGATTCCCTGGCTGACCTGTCATTCAAAGGAACCCGAATTTTGATCTCAACACTTTGGAATCGCTCCGGAATCGTATCTTGGAACTACGCGAAAAGAGGGGCATTGGTGAGTTCATGTGTCCCGAGATGGCATTGCCGTTCATCGTTTCGAGAGTCGCTCCCCCTAACAATACGTGAAGCCCATACGCCTCATACACAGAGTACATCTGGCGCACTTATACGGCCAGAGATGATCCTTGCGCCAATGGTCCCAGAACCCGTGAGTTGATCTCATCCACACACTATTTGTGGAAGCACTCTTCGTTAACGATATGGATGGTAGAACGCACACTGGGCCGAGCAGATCTTTTCCCTCCCCCTGCCATCACGGACGGCCTTCCAAAACCCACGGAGGTATGCAAACCTCTATCATACCAGCAATCAGCGCCATCTCGTGCAAATTGACTAAATGGATCTGCCTTCTTAGATCAAAGTCGTTCGGACCCCATCAACAGGCGGCCCAAGTGCCCATGCCTCCAGAGTCGAAAGTCTTGTTCCGAAGGTACGCAATATATCCTACGCCTCGTCCACAAGCGGTAGAGTAGAGGCTTATTTATGCCTAGGAAATTCGACAACGATTCGCTAGCACTCATTGCCTACATCAATTCCTCAAACCAGGCGCCGTATCTAATCATGCAGCCCTACCATATGGGTTCTCAGTGGTTTTCCATTCGAGGCGTCCACGAACTCTGCATCCACCGCGACCACTGCGCAGTTAATCTCCGTCGCTGGAGTCGAAGAGAAGGAGCCGCCAAGTTGTGGGCTTCTCTCTACTTCATCACCTGGGAGGGTATGCAACCATGATTGAGCATTTGTTCTCTATCCTTTACTAACGTATCACTCAGAAATGGTGCTTTTTCATTGCACTTTCGCCTCACTCAAAGCGCGAAACTCGTTGACGCTAGAGGTTGACTCGGATGAGTACGTCTTGAAGGGCGAGAAGCGTCTTTTCCAAGCGTAAGCTACATCCCCACCTTTCTTTTCTCCCAGCCTATGGTTGGCATAGCGGTCTTTCTTTTGCGGCTAACAGGTCTCTGCGTAGTCAAATCATCGATGACGGGTTTAAGCATTCATTGATCGTGTACGAAGACCGCGAGACCAAAGGCATGAGGCTTCATGCTGCAGTGTGGGACGGCGAGCTGCGACAATGTCCCGTCTGGACGGCCTTTAGTATGCTACCCCCCCTCTAGGAAGCAGCCCTTGACCAAGAGGATGTTGAAGAGTTGACACTGACCATTATCGCTAGTTACCCATCAATGCACCTCGCCAACATGGCTTGAGAAAAAGTCAAGATATCGTATCTGGCTAAAGGACGTCCAGCTCTATGTCTTCTGTCAGGAGTACCGGCAGCACAAGCAGCGTAGGAACCGAGAGGGTGCATTCGAGCTGAACTTCATCAACGAAAAGGGTAAGTTATCGAGTGCGACGCCTTCGTTCGTGGCATTGTTTACTAAAAAGCCGATGCGACAGCTTGTTGCAAGTTCAGGGATCTCTTTTATCCACCGCCCTCGCCGGCAAGCAACGCGGATTCGGACAATAATGCGGGATCTTCTTAACAAACAGAAGGTTTCCTACGAACGAATACGGATGCTTATTCTCCAATGCAAACCTAGACGACCTCAAACTTGACGGACAAAACTCCCAGTAGCACCGTCGGAACATAGAATGTCGAGACTCAACCATCACTAACAACCACCTACCAGAAGGGAGAGACTATCATCTGTCTCCTCCCCCAACTGGCTCCAAAATTGTTCTTCTAATCCGCATCTCATCCGACCTTCGACTAATCACTACCATATCATTTTTTTTTTTCTTCAAGTGCCGAACCCTTCGTTCACACTTATCAAATTTATCAGCGAGGAGTTCTTGGTTTTCCGTTTTACTTTCCCCCGCGACACTGGCCCAAGACGGGTCACTTCTCCATTGGAGAGCGGTTCCATGAATTTCCTTTGTTTAGTTACGGCTTATGAATCTACGAACCTTACGCCTTCTTATGCCACACGAAGTTAGATATGAGACTGCTTATCATTGAGAGTCCTTGTTATACCCAGTGTTTCGGGGGGAACCTGTTGCTTTTTGAGCGGTTTCAGAGGTGGAGATATGTATCTTATCTGGCAGGAGGAGCAAGGAGAATGTGGGAACGGAAAAGCGTATATTAGCGAGGAACAGAGACCAGATCCAGTGTAACCAAGTCTTCAAATGCAAAATATTTAGTGTTTCCCATACTTGTCGACTCTTCGTCTTCAACGAACCAGGCGGGCCGCCATCTGGACGGATACTACGTGAAACCGAACGATAATAATCAAAGGGAGCTGAAAATAACCAAGCCCTTCACTTCCAAGAAAACGCCTGACATCAAACAAAGTCCACCGATACCCAACCCACACGATAGGGGAATATAAACAACAAGTAACCAATCCTCATCAAACAATCAGTTCTGCATCCTCTTGCAAATATGACCGTATAGGCCATACGAGGCCTGGAGCCTCCAAGGGGACAAGCTAAAGGTTGTTGTTCTTTACGTCCTCCCCATCGGTGCGGGCCGTATCATGCCTAGATCGACGTGCTTCGGGGTCTCGATGCCATGCGCTTTATCGTGCCTGGTCGTGGGCGGCGCGCCAACGTCCGAAAGGACCGTTTTAATGCGGCTGCGCAGGCGGCGGCGGGGTACTTTGTTCGTCTCCGCGGTGGTTGTGAGAGGGAGAGGGGGTTTGACGAAGGAGGCTTCAGTGGATTGGGAGGTGACGGAGGCGGCGTCGGAGGCCATGTTTGCGGCGGCGGTTTTTGATCTTTTTTGTTTTCTCTTGTTTCTCTTGTCTTGGCTGAGCGATTAGGTGGGACGAGATGGTTGATAATTTGGACGGGAAGACGCAGGTGGGCAGAACGTCATCAGCACCAGCGACAGCAGCACGAGGGATAATAACCTACTGAGAGATTCCAGGTCGGTCTGGGGAGATTTGGGGGAACAGCATTGAATGACCCCACCTCCTTTTGCAGGCCGTGCTCCAATCGGGCGGAACAAGACGTTGAAGACGAATGAGAACAGGGGAAGACGCCCCGGTTTGAAACTAGGCTGTGTACAAAGGTACTTCGTCCTGTACGAAGTACCTCGCAGTACTTCGCTCTTTCGTTGCCTTCCAAGTTGGATGAGGACGCATTAGCAGCATCAGTGGGTGCTTGTGCTTAAATCCTGATATTGTCGATCGATTCAACCTTGGTGCCATGTTTGCACATTTGCCCATTCGTATGGTCCCCTCCTACACCCATTCGTCTTCGGTTGTCTGTTCTTACCGACACCTGAGGAAAGATTCCGGGTTAGAGAAACAAAGCGAACCTATGCGCGGATAGCCAGGCCATGCCTCCTTCAAGCACTAATTTGCCAAACTTTGAGCTGATTCGAGATCATGTCAGGTCAGGTCCCCTCACAGACCTCGAGTCTTGCTGGATTCGCTCTTTCCCCTAAAACATCAAGAGAATAAATGAACGGGAAAAAATGCCATCAATTAATATACAAGACGCCGGGTTTCACGCCCTGGTGGTATCCTCTAATGCACTCTAAAACTCATGAACAGCTACTTCGTAAACATGTAAAATAAACACATATAGATACCTCTAGCCATCTATAATTCGTCCTTGACCCTACCCTTCCCGGCCACCTTCCGTGCCGACCGCAACTTATCATACACTTCCTCGCTCCAATGACCCTTCTGGCCCTTATGTCTCTCCGCGATCTTCTTCAAGTAGAACTCCCAGCAACCATCATCCCTAGTACCGTCCTTCTTGGCGCAAGTGTCATCATTCGCTACTGGTCCACGGGGCCATACGCCTAACGTAGCGCCAGATTCATGATCAAGGAATGTGTCCAAGAGAAGATAACCGACTTTGCGTTGGGCGGGGTCCCAGCGCTCATCTTCGGCGGCAATGACCTCGAGAAGATTCTTCATCCCACCGTTCGCGAGGAACTCATTGCGGATAACCGGACTCTGTAATAGGCCCTTGATGGCGAAGACAGTCGATCCCGCTCGTGATACCGCGACAGCGGAAAGGTCGTCGGTCGCGCTGGGCATAAAACTGGTATAGAACGCATCGCGGAGCGTCGAAGCGCCGCACTGCGACGCCATATAGTTCGACCATTCTTTCTCCACCTTCTCCAAGGCTTTGGCATTGTTCTGCATCGCGCCGGCGAGGATACGGGATCCCGCCTGCCGGTCGTCGGGCGTAGCGTCGCTACCGACCATGAGGCAAAGAAGCGCCCGGACAGCCTCCTTATCCTCGCTAAGCTTGAGCCCATAATAGATATCGCTAGAGATATCGAGGAGGTTCTCAAGTGCTCCATGGAGCTCCTCACTAGTGGCCTTTCCTGCCTTAATCACCTTGAGCGCATCCCAGAAGCCGGCTTCCTCCACCGGTGGTGTCTTGATCTTTCCAACTGGCTCATACGCCGGCGCGCCCTCGGGGATACGCTGCTCAACGTCTTCCTGGGGTTGCGCTCCTTCCTCGGGCTCCACTATGACTACCGCCTTATCGACGGGGAGCCCCTCAAGACTGGGATCGGTCTCATCCGGCACGTTGATCTTGGCCTCTTTCTGACCCGTCCAAATGTTGAGCCGTACATGTAGACCATTGGGGAGTTCTTGGTCATCATGGACAATCTGGAACTCGTCTGTGGGCTGGAAGACCCGGGGGTAACATTCGGCCGGGTTATCTGTGTGGCAGATGAGGTCTTGGACTTCTGGAGATTGTTTTGTGCTGTCGCTATTGCTGGATGCTAGGACGGCGGGCGTAGCTAGCAATATTATTCCGAAAATCAAGAATAATATAAACAGAGGCCGTTTCGAAGTTGCGGAGGTCGCCCTTGACGGTGCCATTATGGTTGTTGCTTGAGGCTGGGAGATATGAGAATTGAGGTTGAATGGCGAGTACTTCAAGAAAGTAAGACCCAAAGCGACCAAGGTAAAGTTGTGGGTGCCGACGGTACAATTGTGAGGAAATGAGAAACGATTGGAAATAGTCGTATGAACAAACTCAACACTCGAGAACGAAATGGTTTGTTCTCAATGGCTTCTGATGCTGAGAAAACCTTCAGGTTCTTTTATAGTCATGGTATATCCCTTGTGAAAACGTGGCGGAGAGAACAAGAGGACAAATAGGCCAACAAGATTGACACGTATTGGTATATAGATTAACACATGGTACATTTTGCTTATGGAAAAAAAGTACCTTATTACCCTGTGCCAAAACTGCCTGACGATCATCACCGGGTGCATATTTCAGGAATTTGTAACTCTCTTCCACGGTCAACACCTCGCCACCCACCAAGTGAATCGAGCAAAATGCCACTTGTTCTCAAATGGGTTTTTTTGGCCTCATCGGGAGCCATTGCAGCCTAGCACCAAGAGAAATACGGGCAATAATACAAGATTACAAGAAGTTCAAATTCTAGATTTTTAGAATCGGCCAGAACCTACGAAGTATGTCATGGCTAGTTCCTTTAAACTCGGTGTGCCGTGATTGAGAATCCACATCAGCAGCAAACGACATCATCAATAGCAGTCTTGCCCACTGTGAGCGCCAAACAAATTCCTCCGTAGCACTGATAATTAGTGGGATCAGAGCCCAAGACCCCCGGCTCCAGTTGATCATTCCAGGTACCTTGTTCGTGCTGCAACTCTTATGAAAGCATCAACCAATTGTGCATGAGCCAATGCCTCTGACTAAATACCCGAATATTAGCCGACGTTGGTCCACGTTATTCGCGCGGAGGCTTCGACACAACCGGCATTGACGATATCGAATTTCGTCAGTCGACCCGAGTACAAGAAAGCATTCCCTTCGCGCAACATCCCGGGGCCTTGTCAGCGATCGACACGATAACCAAAAATGCTCGCCCTACGACAAAAAGCCGCTCGCGTAGCATTGCGGCCAACCCAGTTTTCCAGGGCGACGAGACGATATGCCTCGGGCGGACATCACCACGAACACGCCAGTGCGGACGAGCCACTTGGGGTAAGGAGAACCCGGTTTATATACCGTTCAATGCGCTTTTTACGCACGGAATAGAAGGGGGGATGGCTTCAATTGAGCAATTGACTAACAAGCTGCCCACCTTTTTTTTCTTCGGAATAGACTGGCCTCATCATTACTGTCGCCGCCCTGCCTGCGGGCTGCCTTTTGTACTTCGCTGCCCGCCGAGGCGAGAATGGAGAGGAGCCTGCCCTTACGAGGTGGCTGCGGAAGTACCAGAGTTTGAACGAGGTCTGGCTCGAGAGGAATACGCTACACTCCCAGGCTGTCCAGCAGGCCGCTGCCGATAAACTGCTCTTCCTTACTGCTCCCAGGTCCACCAACTACGAGCTCCGGTTCCCCGAGTACGTCACTCCTGCCTATATATTAATACCGAGCGTCACTCTGTCTGGTGTCGTAGTGTATGGAAATTTTCTGACCTGTTTTAGGATCATTCAATCCCATTCGCCGAGAAATGTCGTTGCCGGCTCCCTCATCAACATCGATGCGGTAACGGAACGTTACAGGAAGCAGCATTACGAGGAGGAGGAACGCAAGGCGAAGAAGCTTGCGGCTAAGCAACAAGCGGAGGCGGCAGAGAAGGCGTAAAAATGAAGAAGGGGAACGTGGAATATGACAGCTCAACCTGAGAGAAGGAGCAGGTGTCCTGTATTACATCAATGCAATTTACATACAAACTTTAGAATCGAGCCTGAGCAAAGGCAAGAGTGTTCCTTCTGTTTTACCCATCCCGCCTTCCTTCCCTTCTTAAGCGGAGAAGCTGCATGTTGACGTTTTGGTACTATATCTTTCATGTCACCTTGTACTTCCTCCCTGCAATTAGAGCTTGACCAGTTCTTGCGGTATCAATCCTATCGTTCCACTTGACTGGCAGCGACGGGCATTTACTCAAGAAATTCCCCCCTTTGTCTATCCATCTACCTTTCATTTCATACTATCACTTCTTAGCCTCTTTTCTTTTATTATCTTCTGCCTCATCCGACTAGCTCTATCACACTCGATCTGCCTGTTTCAATATCCTAGCTATGCCAAGTATTGCAGCAAGCAATACCAAACTTCTGCCTCATCGCTATTACTCTTTCCATGTACTTCGGTGATGGCGTCAAAGCCAACCAAGGACTCTACAGGAGAAGGTGGGGGCTCCAGGCCACCATCTACAGATTGCACAGAGGTGGATTCTGAGGTGACTGTCGAGGGTCAGAACAACGAGGCGGGCCCAGCCAGAGAAAGGTCCCAGGCACGGCCAACACAACCATATAATCAACATGAACCACTAAGGTCAACACATCTATCAGCTCATGTTGGCTCTTTCAGCCCTAGGCTTCTCCAGACGACTATGGACGGGACCGGCCAAATAAGAACGACTATTTGGGTAGAAGAGGTGTGCCCTGAGTCCGATGTGATTTTCACCCCCTTTATTATTGCTAGACCTGCAGAAGAAGATCCAAACCTTGCGAGGAGGAAACGCTTCATATATCTAGATTCTCCGTCTGGTCGCAGAAGAGTTCCGAATCTGAAGAGCATTCTTCGTCAACACAATATTAGTCCTCGACTGCCCAAACCGCACAAGCGCCCGAAGAGTGCTCGATTCACGAACTTCGCCTCCGTTTACCGGGGCCAGACACCGATGAACGAGTCGGACATTATCTGGACGGCTTTGAGGCCGCCTGGAGTGGTGCCTGACTTGGACGATGACAAGATGAATGAGGAGCCACCAGTTCCACGAGAGACGACGGAGAATGACAAGAATTCGGCAACCTTCCACCGTCTCATGATGAGGGGACCTACGGCCGCCTCTTATTCTGGCACTCAGCTGCATCCAGAACAACCCAAGGCGCGTTCTTCAAGCCTACCGGGAGATGCTAGCCCCTCAACAAGCGAAACGTCAGAGCCGTCACGACTTGTGATGCTGCCGCCCAGACCGCCCACTCCACCGCTGCCCTCCCCGCCACCAGCCAAAGCCTTTAGAACGTTTATCCTGCCTCCCGATGACGTACCGGTACAGGGAGGTTCAACCTCAACCCAGCCCCCATCTCCCTTAACCCATCCCCCGGATCCCCCAAATATCCAACAGCCGTCTCCTACATCTTCGCGTGGGCTGTCTGGAGGAACCGTGCAGACACAGGCCTCGCACTCAGCTCCCTCAAACCTCCAACGGCCATGTCTTACGTCTTCGGGTCAGGCGTTTGGAGGAAACTCGCAGACACAGGCCTCGCACCCTTCTTCCAAAACGCCGGGGTCTTCTGCTTCTCCTAACATAACAGATCCACCCCTCCGTATAGGTCTAACACAGCACAAAGGCCGTGGACTCTTCGCCACCCGATCCTTACCGACTGGCACCATTATCGTGCGTGAGAGGCCACTCATCGAAGAGCGGCATGATCTTTTGCCTGGCGGCCAGCGCCGGATACGAGGCTCTTAGGAGAGATACTCACCAGCAAAGCAACAGCGAATTCGGTCCGCGTTCCCTATCCTCGCGGATATCCCTTCTCGAAGCCTCATGGAGCATCATCGCGTCACACTTGAGCATTTCATGACGAACTACTCTTTCCAATATGGCCAATATCAGATGGGTCACGTCTACCAGTGGATCTCTGTCGCGAACCACTCGTGCCTGCCGAATGCGAGTGCCGTGGCCGGGCATCCCGGAACGCTTCGCGCTTTGAGGGATATTGCTGAAGGTGAGGAAGTCACGATCATGTACACAAATGGGAACCTGAGATTCAGGTGTCGATGTGAGGAATGCACTAGAAGGAGTCAGTCAAGGCTTAGGGATCGCTTGAGAAGTAGTGAGGGAAGCGGAGGTGTTGTCTCGCTATTCGCGGGAAGGTCAAGGAGCAGGAGGAGGCGGAACTCCACGGAGGGGCCTTCAACAATCAGCGAGACTCCGTCTACCAATGAGGCGGGATCCAGCAGCCAGCAAACACAAGACCAACAGTCACGCGAGGAAAATGTCGAAGACCAACAACAGCAAGGGAGCAATCAAGAAGAGGAGCAAAGACCATCGGAGACCGTACGGGCCTCTGTTTGGCGTTTCTTTGGCTGGCGGGATTGAGTTGTCTCTTCAGATACAAGTTTCTTGCCTCGGGAGTGAGTAGTATGAAGTTGAGTCAAGGTTGCAGGGAGCGAAACGGCGACCAATAGTCGACGGAATCCATTTTACTTGCACTAAGAGCGGCCGAAGTTTGGCGAAGCGCATGGAGGAGCCTACAAGATTCATGTAGAATAACACAACAAGCGAAAGAAAATAAGAGACAAGCGGCTCGGAATAAACTTGCTGTATTCCTTGGTTCCTGATATCGATAGAACTCCCTTGTCAACGAAGAAATTTCCATTCGCCCAGACCGCCCCTGATCATGCATATGACGTGGAAGTGCATATAATTCCTTTGGCTGACGCCGTCACTAAACCCTGACATTTTTTAAACTTTCATTATCCACCCGGCACACCGTTTATTTGAGAGGAATGAAACGCGAAGAGTGGGTGGCACCGATACCGGGGCGACCGTGCTTGACAGGCTTGCTGTAGAATGGGTTAGAGAACTTGCACGATTCCGTGAAGGCCGAACACTGCGTAGGCAAGAGAAAGGCTCCAAAAACAGCGAAACGCTGAAGAGGGGGGGCGGGTTCAACGTACTAAGAGATGGAGAACTCTCCGAGGTAGTGGCCAACCATCTCAGGCTTGATCTCGACCTGGTTGAATTCCTTGCCAGAGTAAATGCCGATGACGCTTCCAATCATCTCGGGGACGATAATCATATCACGGAGGTGGGTCTTGACGAGGTCGGGCTTCTCGTTAGGCTTGGCCTCCTGCTTGGCCTTCCTGAGCTTCTTGATCAGGCCCATGGGCTTGCGCTTGAGGCCGCGGTTGATTCGACGCCTGGCGCGGGCGTGGACGAGCTTGCGGAGTTCATCGGAAGAGAGGTCGAGGAGACTGGAAATTGGAGGGGGGGAAAGAGTTAGTCCAAGAGCCCTCACGTGCTTAAACCACCGCGGAAACAAAAACATTGTCGAAACATCTAGAGATCCCCCTCATCCATGGCATAGGGTCGGATTTGTTCAAACGGGTGATCTGGAAGAAACAGTGTACATACGGCTCGAGCTCAACTCCCCTGTAGGAGAACTTGCGGAACTGTCTTCTCTTCTTGAGCTCGGCAGCCTCCTCAGCGTTCTATATTCGCAGCAGACACGTCAGTTCATCATCTCGTTAAAAAAAACGCTGGATAGTTTCCTCGCTCGTGCTCGAAAGGCATTTCTCGTCATGTTGGAATCGAAGGGAGGGAGCTGTTTGAATCGCAGACAGCTGGGCGGGAGAAGGAGGAAAACGTACGTATTCGTCGTCAGCCATGTTTGCGGTTGTTGAGAAGACCAATTCGCTATTCGATGTGACTTGTCGAAGAGCGAACCTGGAGGCAGTTGTCGATCGTGTTGGTTGGTAGTTCGCTGGGGAGTATGTGATGGAAATAAAGTACAACCAGCACCTTTGATAATGAGAGGGGCTCTCAAAATTTTGCCGTAGGGTTTGAGTGCCCTCCACATTTGGGGAGGGCCAGGATGCGGTCATCACGTGAAACCGATTAGTCATTATCCACGAACTTCAAATGCACTTTCCTGTTCCTCCAGGTTGTGCACAGCTCGCCTAAATTTCCGAGAATACTTCCGAGGATAACCCGACACTGTCTCTCATCAACTTCATTCGTTTGGAACAGAAGTTTAGGACGAAATGCTGGATTCGTCCCTGCCAAGCAGTTCTAACTGTCGCCGAATTGTTCAACGCCCTCCCTCGAAATTCGGCATCGGGATGGTTTGCGAGTGCATCAACCCTTTCGCTCCCCGCGAATTTCCATCTCCGAGGGTGATAACGAGGCTCTAAGAGCGATGCGAACTTTGCAATTTCGTCTAGAGCCTGGACCTGATGTGGTTTCTAAACATTTGGGGTTCATTTGTTTGCTATATCCATGATCTCGTCATGCTCGTTTTGGCCCATGTGGCCTCGAGCTTCCCACGTTTATCCCCCCACTGTCAAACTTCGCAGGTCGACTGGTGAAAATCACTTGGCTCGCGGTTGTTGCGTGCCGACCATGCTTGCTGCTCTGTCACAAGGTTGTATTGGGGCTTTACTCTGGCGCTCTTGGCATTGTTCCGAAGTACGAATTATGACTGAACGCCTCTTGGCCTTTTCTCCCCTCATTCCTTCTTGCACTTTCGACTTGTATCTGTCATGAGACGGTCAATCGTTCTGGGCGCTGGGCGCTATGCACAAATTGTATCAGGTGCCACGTCGCAGAGGTGTACTGCTTCTCTAGAACCATGCAAGAGTCCATTCTCTCGAAACCGCTCTGAGCTATGGCCACGGTGAAGGTGTGCCCTCAAGGCGCTAGACTGTGGTTGGCCGTGTGGATCCATCCTAGCTTTCCGACCACCTCATGCAGGCGCGTAGTGCCTCGTCTATACTGCAACGTACGTAAGTCTTCTCCACGACGCTAGAGGGGACGACGACCATGATACAGACATAGCAATTCGCAGACGGTTTTCTTTTCGTGGCATCTCCGGCTCGGCGCGCTTGATTTTTTTTTCTCGGCCTGGTTCTCATCGGCAAGGCCAAGACCGGAGGATTGGCACAATGTGGATAGGTCTCTCCCAGCAAGTGTTCTTGGCGTCCGGTTCGTTGACCAACAGTCATTGATCAACGACTGGGGTCACTCGCCTGATATTATTTGCCAAGTCCCCCAGGAGAATCAAAGGGACCACAAGCTCTCAGTGTAGTGGAATGCCCAGATTGTCAGCACTCGGCCTTTTTTCTTGGGAGAAGAATCGCCAAAGAGGACCCAAGGCTCCCCCTGTTTGCCCAGATTCATATTTCTCTTCAAACATCTTCCTCCGTCTATTTACAGTAGCTGGGGCCGTCTCTGTCTCATTACCCTCTCCCCCCCTTCGCCTCCCACCATTCATTTTGCTCCATCGAGTCGCGTAAGATGCCAGAATTTCAACAGCTTTAGCCTCCGTGCTTCCACCCCATTATGCTTCCTAGCTTCGTCAATGCCTCAAGAAATCCGTGACCATTGGTGACTGTGGGAGACTAGACCCTGACCCTGGACTTTGACCTCTTCTTTTGTTCTCTTCTTTTTTTTTGCGCACGTGGAATTGGCATTTGAGGAACACCAGCTCCAGGAATACGCCTTCCAAGACACATCCGAGAGACAAGTCCCGAAAATCTATCAATCCTCGCTCTTCACTCTTCACTCTCTCCTCTTTGCCCCCCCCGTTCCTTACCACACGCTCGGATCGAATGGCTTAAATCGGCAGATAGAGAGGAACTGCGCATAAGGACTCGTTCCGTCCACCGCCATTCCCAATCGCGAAGCTCCTTTCTACCCCCGGAATCCTCAAAGGAATGGCACCGAATACCCCCACGCCCTCAACAACAGCAACACCTCCGACGGCCAGCTCGACTGTTAGCCCCACCACCACCAGCTCCCCGCGCCCGACTTCCTCGCCTTATTTGACTCCCGCCCTCACAACACATTGGACACGGCCCGAAAAATGTGGCTATACTTATGATGCCGACCACCTGCCCGGTGCCGGCACGGCCCTGACGGCGTATCTCGACCGGTACATCGATGAAGACGCGACGACATTATCGTGCTACCCGCCCGGCATGTTCGAATCGGGAAACTCTGGGACGTTTAGTCCGGCGTCTTGTCCTACCGGCTGGTATACCGTTGATCGCCCTGATAAAATGGATTCTATACCAGCATCGGGGAGGACAACTCGTACGTGCTGCTCGAAGTATGTGTGATCCACAGTTGTTCCTTTACCGAAGTGTCTCTCTTCTTTATTATATTCCCCCCGAATATTTCAATGTATTTTCCCCATATTATTTATTGTAGCTTGAGCACTAAGACGCCTCGTTCACAGACAATTCACCCTGAACGGAGACTTTTGTGAAAAATACATGGCGACCGTCATCGCTACACCCGTCCAATACATCACCTCCGAACAGACTCCCACCTCCGTGAGACACATGAGCACCTACCTCGTCGACGCCTCAATCGCCCATCACCCCATTGTAATTCTCTTCCAAGAAAAGGACCAAGGGGTCCTTGGCATATTTGACGACGACGAGCACATTGTAGATCCCGACAACTCATCCCCGTCCCCCAAGAGCTCCCCCGACAATCTTCCCATCGGCGCTAAAGTGGGCATCGGCATCGGCACGGCCGTGGCTCTTTCTCTGCTTCTCGGCCTTCTCTTCTGGTTTCTCAGGCGTACCTCCCCTAAACCCGCGAAGATCTACCCTTCCGGGCTTCACGGGACGTCCAGTTTTGAATCCCGGCCCGGCAACAACTGCAGGAGCTCCTCGTCATCCCTCGGCACCGCCGCTGGTGACCTGGAGACCGGGGAAATGCGGTTTCAACCTCGCCAGGACGCCGACCCGCCTCCCGCATATGAACCGTCGCCGCAGCGGAATAGCCTATCAAGACCGTCGACGGGCGGCGGCGGCGGCGCAAACTCGCCAGCTGGAGAGGAATTAAGGGCGCTAAAGGAGCAGCAGGAAGCCATACAGAGACGAATCGAGCAATTGGAAGGGAGCGCTACGGATGACACGAGAAGAGTGTCATGAGAGAAGGAACTATATTTTCAATCTACTAGGTGGGCATTGTATTCAATGATTATGTTTTTAAGGGAAAGATAAAAAGGTCGGGAAACGGCGAGGACATGATACCACATACCAAGAGGTGCAAGCGCCTCTACTTGACACTGCTTTATGACATAGGCCTGTGATTCTTTTACACTTTGGATAGAAATTATATATCAAGTTATTTCAGGATTTTTATTTTCGGCCTTCCATCTTCGAGAGATGGCAAATATACACACGTGAAAAACAAGTTGGCCGTAGTGCACCCCGCACTCCGTTCTTTCGAATTTCCGATACCATATACCATATACACGTTACGCTGCTGTGATGCTCCAACTCTTCTTGGTGTCTCGCTACTAAGAAGGCAGGTAGGGGATAAAAAAAAAAAAAAGAAAGGCAAACAAGAAACGAGAAACAATCATGCAATAAAGCGCGTCCGAAATCAAACTGCAACTCCTTACTCTCCTACCTTCCCCCGGCCTCCGCTTACTCCCCCTCTTTACTTGGCTTATCCTCAGCCGATACCTCCTCCTTCTTGATGATCCTGCCAAACCGATCTCTAGGCTTCCGCTCCCAGCCCGTCGAGAAGAGTCGGCCCATTTCAAACCGAGGCAATGGGTGTGCCTCGGTGTTGAATACGACCTTGTCCAGAGGGAGGAGATCATCGGGGGAGAAGAGGAGATAGAAATACTTCAAAGTCTCGGCCTAGATATCTTATATTAGCCTCGCTCAAGACGAAGGACAGAAGACGAAAGAAATAGTGGGATCGATGTGTTGAGAAGAAAAGATGTGGGGAGAAGGGCGTCAAACTTACCAACCAGAAGCTTTCCATATTATCCCTCGTCACGGGCGGCACTTTATTCGCATTTGTCAAGCTCGTAAAGCCCCCACCCTCGACGGCCGTATGTTCCATGAAGCTCATGAACATCTCCCAACCCCACTCCCGGTACTTCACGTCGCCCGTGATACGCCACATGTAAAACAGGCTCTCGACGGTCTCGGGCCTCTGCAGGTTATGTACGTCTGCCGGCTTGACGATGAAATCCGCTCGCCAAGGAGCGTCGGCGTCCGAAGAGCTGAGGACAGAAGGCGGGGTCGGGTGCGCGGCGCCTTCGGAAAGAGGGGGTTTGCCGACGTTGAAGTGGGTGATTTCTGCGGCGAGACCGGTGGCCATGTACTTGTAGGTGGCCCAGCATGTGTGGGTCAGCTCGGCGGCCAGCTTGATGTCTTCTTCATCCTTGCGCGACCAGGTGGCTAGTTTGCGGGCTTCGGAGAGGGGCAAACCGCCTGTGGCAGCGAGGGCGATGGTACCGGGCATGAAGCAGACGAGGTGGTCCATCTTAGGCGAAAGCGGCGCATCGAGACCTTCGGGGCGCTCAGCGATGATGGTGAAGCCGGAGGGTTCGGTATAAGTGATGAGGTGCCTGCGGACACCTTCGAGGGCCTGATCCCACATCTCCTCGTAGATGGGCTCTGCTTTGTTCGTCTGGAGGTACTGCTTGATAAGGTATTCGTAGTAGGAATCGCCGCGGCTGCCAAGGCGCACGTTACGACCCTTGAACTTGCCGGAATCGGGATAGATGTAGATGGGTACGAGACCATCCTCGGCGCCGTTGTCGTCGATGACCTTGATGACCTTTTCAACCTTATCCCAGTAGAATTTCTCTCCTGTAAGCTTAGCGAGATACTTGAACTCGAGCTGCAGCGTTGCGGTTTCGGCTGTTGAGGACGCTCCGTTATCCGCGTGCGAGGGGATGGGTTGCAGGGTTCCCAGATTGACGCTCGCGAATGGAATACCCGAGTCAGAGTCGAAGGCTACCATCAGACGGTCGGCAAGATCCTTGGCCTTTTCAAGGTACAAATCCTCGCCGCCTGCGTCCTTGGCTACCGGCGCCATGTTGGGGAATTCGGTCGATAGGTAATGCGCGGACAGCAAGCCACCCAGCATTCGAATCGTCGTCTCGAAGGTGTTTACGTCCTGGTCTTGGTCCCACGTCAAGGTATTCTGTAGCCACTCCCTCGCATGGCTGAGCCTCTCCGTCTGGTTCATGATCATCATTGTATCAAGCGAATCAATGATTATCCAACCAAGACCCTTCGGAGCCATATTCCTTCGTCCTTTCGACACGGGATGGTACTCATCGTAGCCTGCGACGCAGTTGTCCGTCAGTCAGCCTGTATACTCGATCTTCCTCGGGCAAGAAAGAACGAGGAGAAACGCCAAAATGACTTGAAACCAGGAAAGGACGGCACTTACCCCACGCATATCTCTCATATGCATCCCAACTCTGCTCAAAGGCCCTCGCGACATGCTCTCTCCTCTTCTCCCAATCCACCCTTCCCCTCGGCGCCTCCGTCAACGACTTCCAGCTCCACACCGACGCCCTTCCTTCTCGTTCGCGCGAAAAGGCGCCATTGTAGTACATGACGGCTAGCAGCAGCACCACGCCAAGGAAGGCCATGACCCTCCTTCGTCGCCATAGCGGTCGCATCCTCCGCGACGCCGCGTACGTGTACGGCTTGTCCTTATACATCGGTAAACGACCGCCGCCTTCTAGGAGATTCTCGACTCTGTCTTGGACGTTGTGAAGAAGCGCGGAACCACGAGTTGTGCTGCGAGAGGACATGCCCGACGATGCCCATAATTGGTCTTCGAGTTTGCGCTGGGGATTCGAGAAGGAGGGAACGTTTCGGGGGACGGAAAAAGCCATGGCTCGCGGATCGAGTTGTAGCAATGGGTGTAGCAAAGGGCAGGAAGAGTCGGGAAAGCTAGGTATTCGAAGGACGGCGATCTCGAGCCAGCAGGAGGAGTTTGTGAGGAGTGCGATCAGTCAGTCGGAGAGAGGCTTGCAGGCAAAGGCGAGGTGCTGTATCTGATGTCTGCGATTCCCGAGTCCTGGAGAAATTAAAGAGTGCACTGCACTATTAAGCCATAGCTATCCAAGAAGGTAGGCAAGCACCAGGGGTGAAGCTGGAGGAGAGAGACTGGGAGAATTATGAATTGGTACAAAGCATGGACTGTGCAGTGAAGTTAATTCCAGTCCTCTGGTCTTTCCCCTGGAGCTCACCAAGATGGTTGTGTTTGTGTGAATGTGTGTGTTTGTAGTTAAGAGGTTTGTCTCAGCATCAAATCAATGGAGCAATGGAGCAATGGAGTTGAAAGCGGCATCTTCTGTTCCACGTTTTCTGGAGGTACATGTTACTTTCAAAGACTGGGAGAGGAAAGTACAATCTAGAGCTAAGAGTAGTCTGGTTCTACAATGTAATATTATCTTGTACAAGTTTGATCCTGGGGTCTGTGGGCGGTTAAAGTACCATATACTTCCTAAGCTAGTCGGCCAGGGTCCTTGCGCAAAGTTCCCGCCAATGCCGCCACCTGTTCATTCAAGGCATCCTCAGCATGAAGAAAATTGATTGAAGAGATTGGCTTTATGACTTCCATTTAGTTCTGAAGCTCTGAGATGGCCTGGAAATGTATTTACCTCTTTCATATACAAAATTGACACAAGGAAAAGAAATGGACATTCTTAGGGGGGTGACTAGAGCTCTTTTTTCCAGTTGGCAAGGTAGACTTCAATGTGTATCTTGAAATTCAAGTGCCTTACATAGACTGCCAGGCTGCAGTTGTAGATTCACAGGAAAATGGAGAAGAGAAAACAAGGACAAGTATCAAAGTGAAATGATGGTTTGAAAAGTAGAAAAAGAACTCGAAACTCTTGGAGCTATCCGTGATCAAATGAAAATAGTGGAAGAAGAAATAAAAAAAAAAAAAAAAGAAGGCGGAGAGTCTGGAGATGCCGTCGCAGCGAAGCCTCAATATCCCATGTCCTATTTCCTTATCATGTCTTCATATAACTAAACCAACTAGACGCCAGTACCAAAAGAAAACCAAAGATAAAACAAAAGAAAGGAAGTAGCATATCCAAGAACAGGCTCCCCGAAGTCCATAAGCCTTTTGTCACTCCAACCCCAGAGCTTTTAGACAACAAAATAAGAATGAAAAGAAAGTGTAGAATCATGCTTGTAGGGTATCCGAAAAGTTGCCAACGAACCAAAAAAAAGAAACACAAAATGGGGGAAGCCCCGAGAAACATGGGGGTCTATACCACTATTGGGAGTAGAAGTGGCCCGACGGTGCCTGGTGAGGAGAACTGGAGTAAGGAGAAATGGAGCCACCCGGGGTATAGATTCCTGCGTTTGGATCCATTACCCCCCCGAGGCCCACCGGCACCCCCATGTAATGGGTCCCGTCCTGGAGTCCAAGGCCGGCGGAGGCGGCTGGGTAGCCGCCGTCCGCCACGGTCCGCATGGGGAGGATTGCACCGCTGCCGCCTGCATCGATGTATGTGCTAGTATCGATGGGTAAGCTTTGGACTCGTTGCACGCCCTGTACCGGATGCTGGAATGAGCCTGGAGGCGCTTGCGGAGACTGTCCATAATATAACCTCTCATGGCCACTATTTACTGCCCCGGGAATGTTCGACCCGGTACCGAGGTCATTCTCCATTGCGTTTCCGTTGAACTGGCTGTTGAGGTAGGGTTCTTGGAACGTGACGGGAGCCATCGCGTGGTTGACGTTGAAATCGAAGCCCCCGCTACTGCCTTGATATTGTATAGAGACGGGTGCTGTTCCCATTGGCGAGCGTTGATGCGGATGCTGCCCACCATGACCGTTAAAATCGGATGTGGGATACGCCGAGTGTAGGGCATCCTGAGGCGGCGGGAAAGCGAAGGCCTGTCGCGGAGGCGCATCTTGTACGGGGCTGATGACGGTATCCGCCGTGACGTTCTTAGCGGCAACCAGGCGGAGGGTAGGGAGGCTGATCTGCTCCATGTGCTTTGCCAAATGCACCGTGAGCTTCTTCCAGGACTGGAGCTGCTTTCCGCAGAACCTGCATGGCTCCTCCTGTGCTTTCATGTCGGTCTCGACGTGGCACTTCTCAACTTTTTGCCACGTAGGGTCGTTGCCGCCATTCCTTTTCAGCGCCGCCTTGGTCTTGAACTTGGGTTCATCGAACTTGTGCTCTCGGACAAGGTGCTGGAGGAAATTATCCCGCCGGTAACACTTGTGAGTGCAATCGTCAACATCGCACTCCCACCACTCCAGGTGGCGATGGCCTTCGTTCTCGTGTCGAACCCAGTCTGCCTTGCGCTTAAAGATCTTGGGTTCTTTGCACTTCTCCCAAGTGCAAGTGAATGGTTGAACATCTTCGTGGACGTGCTTGGTCCAATCCGAAGGCTTCTGGAACTTTTTGGCCTGGTAGCAAAGCTGGCACTCGATCTCTGCTGGTAGCGTCGCTGTCGGAGGCATCGGGATGTCTTGTGGAAAGCTCTCCTGTGTGAGAACGCCCTCAATGGGAGTCAAGTCATTGTCGGGAGAGGAGAAGCCGTCGGTATGGCGAACTTCTCCTTTCTGGTCAAGCGGTATCGCGGATCCTCCCAAAGCTATGCACAAGGTGCCGCAGGGACACCTCGCGCCTTGCTGCATGTGTTTGACTTTTGCATTGAGGAGTGCCTTGTATCGAATTATCTGCTGATGCGCGATGCGGTCGACAAGATAGCTATTCGGGTTTAGTGCCGGATTCAACCGAAGGATGTGGGATTTAAAGCCCTCGAAATTTGGAGTAATGGAGTCGATTAGATTGTTAGACTCGGTCGTCCTCATCTCGCCATCCTCGAAGTCGTATTCATCATCGTCGTCATCCTCTGCTTCCGCCGGGACTGTTATGGCTGACGTCGCTATGGTCCCGACGGGGGGACCTCCATTCTTCTTCCAAAGATCAACCAAACTTGAATTGGTGTTATTTCCGGACTGTAATTTGGTATTGGACCTTGGAAGGTCCGATTTGCTTCGAGGCCGCCGGATGGGGTTCTTCACAGTCAACCCGCCAAATGGGCTTTTCGGAGAAGTGACCGATGTGGCGCTTATAGACCCGCTGCGACCATGGACCTGGCTAGCCTGACCAGCCCCCACTGCAGCGACACTTTGGCCCATTGACAAGAGTGCTGTGTTGATACTTGGCGTTGGCTTCTTTCCCCAGCTAGATGATCTAGAGGGTGGTGCTAGACGACCGGCCGTGTTGTCGTGCTGCTTATCGCCCGCCGCATTGATGAAGCCGGCCTCGTCATGGTTGCTTAGGGATCTCTTCAGAGTCGCGCTGGGATTTCGAACCAGCGACCGGAACCCATTCAGGAGCCCGCCGCCGCTCGATTTACGAGGGTCTCGGCTTATGGTCAATTTCTTAAGTAGGTTGCCGCTCAATTCGATGTCGGCATCCGTCCAGGCCGCAAGGCTCCGAGGCCTCGTTCCCCAAGTAGCCGCGTCTGAGATGATGGATGCATTATCCTGGCACATCCGCTCAAACTTCGCGATGGCAGCTTGCGATGACTCGGGTTGGTAGCGTTTACTTCCGTCGGACGCAATGGGGTGGACGAGGGGTGCATCAGCCCAGTTGCGGTTGGAGTAGATAATCTCAAGATCCTGCGGCGTCATCTCTCCGCCATGTTCAAAGAAATAAGTTTGGCCCGGAAGGTGCTTATTTTCCGTCTTATCACCGAGAGGAATCTCGTCGTCTCTAATGTTCTTGGCAATCTCGGTCCCGTCGATGCTGATCCTTGCCGCGTCGGCCGAAACGGGCTGCTCTGTCGAGTTCTTATCGAGCCAGCTAGCGACCACTTTCTTGCGCTCCTCAATCTCCCGCTTAGATACTATGTCATTAACGCTGTCAATGGCAGTGCGAGGCCGGTTCTCTGGGTCGAGACCTCCTTGGCCGGTGGCGGGGTTCCGAAGCCAGTTACCGCCGTCATCCCGGAAGGCACCCGGGACATCGTTTGAAAGAGGCGAAATTAGACCCCCGGGCGTGCTCCGCGCCGACGGTGGCCGTACTGGTTGGTCCGTTTCAAAGGCGGTCTCAATAGTACGCGACGAGGGCGGATTGTTCTTGCCCCAATCAGAGACTGTGACAAGCAGACTCCGGGGAGGCATCATGGCCGCCGGAGGGGCTGTTGCCAGCCCGTCGTCGCTAGACTGAGAACTACCGCTTGGTGTGAATTGGGAAGATCCTGGGTTGAATGGCGCCTTATTGAAAGGCCTTTGAAGCTCTAGAGGCGAGACTGAGGTTGGCAAGGACGTAGGTGGGGGCGTGAATGTTCGCTTCCTGAGAAGCTGGGGGGGAGTGGCCAGATCAGGGCTCCAGGGGTAGGTAGGAGTAGGTCCCTTTGGTAGGTTTACAGCGGCTGTTTTTGTGGCGGTGATGCTCACCGAGTGGTGGTTATTGGCGGAGAATGTGTTTGGTTTCGGAGAGAGGCTACTAGCATGACTAGATGGCAGGAAGGACTCCTCGAGGAAGGTCGGCGTGCCGCCTTCGTGATTAAAATCGACGCCAAAGAAGGGATCGTCATCACCAAAATCGCTCGACTGACAGCGATCAAAAGTTGAATAGGAGTTGGCAGGGGTGCCGATCTCGGTTTGGTGATTTGGCGAAGCCGAGTCACTTCGGTATCCGTGGAGGGGAGGAGATAGGTGACCGGTCGCATCTACGGGAGCGGATCCAGACGCATTATGATATGCGGGCCCAGGTTGTGAAGAAAAGGAACCGGCGGGAAAGGACGTAGACGAGGCGGGGATTGTTGTCGATGCCATGTTTTAAGCTTAGAGGATACACCTGTTCTGTGAAGCCCGCGCCAAGGTATAGGTCAATATCGGGATGACGCAACGCATGAATTAGTAGAACTCCATGCGACAGAAGGCTCGATGTCTACTATATCCTCGCGAAATACAACGAAGCGAAGCCCGGCGAAGGGGGGGAAGGCGAGGAGGGGGAAGGCACGAAGTTGTTGCCTGTGTATCACGGCGGGAGGGGTCGCGAGTTTGCGATCCACGGCGTCGCAGATGGAGCGAAAGCTGGCGAGAGCTGGTCTTGACCGAGCCAGAGCATGAGAGCTTCTGAAAAGAAAGAAAAAGAAGAACAATACAGGTGGCGCGCAAGGTATGTCGGATCGTGAAAACTGAGTTAGCGCTCAGGAGTGTACGGCGTCTCTGCTGAACCAGCTGGCGCTGGTCGAATGTTGGTCGGCGCTTAGATTGGAGTGTTCCTGTTCGTCTGATTGTTCAAGCAGCCCACTTCTACGAAGTAGCCTCTCCTCTCGGCAGCTACAAAAACAAGCCGTCTTAGCGCGTGGGGATAGAGAATCAATAGGGATTGAAAGGGGACGGCCAAAAAAAAAAATAATAATAAAACTTGGGGTTTCAAGGAAGTGGAAGAAGGAGAAAGTGGACAAAGTCTGCGGGGGTGGAGAAGAAAAGAGAGAGAGAGAGAGAGAGAGAGAGGAGAAGTGTTCTGGAAGACGAGAGAGGACGAGTTGGCGGAAGAAGACAGAATTGGGGTCAGCCGAGCAAAGGCGGAGACTGCAAGGTGAGGCTATGCTAGCACAGGGTACAAGTTGTAAGAATGGGTAGAATTAAGCTCAGCAGCCTGGTGGTGGATGGCGGATGTCGGATGTGGATGTGGATGGCGCAAGGCAGTATGGGGATTCAATGTTGGCAGGGAAGACATGCAAGAAACATGGAAGAAATCGGCCAACTTGATGAATCAACGCTTCGGAAGGATGGCGGCACAACATTGATTGATCCGTAGATAACACAATAGGTGTTCCATATTGCAGGTTACGCAGACCAGAGAGCTGGCGCCTTCCAATCGAAAACTGCGAGTGAGTGATGGAAATAACAAAGACAAAAAAGAAAAACACAGAAAGACACCGACCGTCGTGGCTTAGTTCAGGAGCTAACATTAACAATCGATACCTCCACCCTCGGCTTCTCGCCGTCGGATGGGCAAGTCAACCTGAGACCTGGGCTGGGCTGGGGAACTCGCGACTCGCGGTCAGCCCAACCAGCCAAAATGGAAAGGGAACCATAGGAACCTCAGAAATAACACCAGCAGCCCACATTGATAAATGAGGCGGCAAAGGGACAGGACACAAGAAGAAGATACGAAGTACTTCGTGAAAATAGGGCGGACCTGTTGGGCTCATTGTCCGGTTCACCGACGAAGCACACGACGCTTGCTGGTAAAAAACGACCATTTAAACATCTCAATTCGACACTCAAGGGTTGGAGCACGTTGATTGTTATCGAGTATCTGTGGTCTGCGATACGCAGTCCGTGGTACTGGGATGGACGTGCTGGGATGCAGTCTCTGTCTCGACTACTTCCTGAGTCTGTTCAACATCAACTGTACTTGCAAATTATTCAACAACGTTCAATCTTCCATCACACATTGCCAGCATCTGCCCTTCCTCGTCAGTTGTGTTTCGTGATGCTCATCCCGCTTGTACGACTCTCGCCTTGTTAACCACCCTGCCCACTACGAAGACTCAGAGGATTAGTGTTGAAGAATCAAACCAGGGGGACGGGGATTTTGGTTGATTTGGGGCTGTGCTCCAAATAACGGGCAACGCTATAAACAGGTGCGGGGCGGTTTGCCAAGGGCACTGAAGCTGTCGCGCCCCGAGTCCAACACCATGAGCTGCCAGGGCCAGAAATCGCCAGGAACTACGAAGTACAAAGTAATACAAAGGTAATTATCCATAAGACCGCCCTCGTGTAAGTTGTAGGTAGTTTAGTTTACTAACTAGTTGACAGGGGCCTGCATCATAAGGCACACCAGGCTACTTTCCCAGTGTTCGAACCCAATGAACCCGACTCCCGACTCTCGCCCTTGAGTTACCACGTAGTCTTCTTGTTCAGCTGCTCATCAATATCAGAAGGGGAGAAGAGGAGAACTCGCTGCCAGCTACAGAACCACTTGGGTTTACCCTTGATATCCCACTATCGGCCCATGGTCTGGTGTTAGTGTTCTTCAAAGAGGAGACAGTCATGTTCCATGTCCATGCAAAAGGTGCCTCAGTCAGTGAGGCGCAGTCGCCTGCAGCCTGAAGAACACACCCACGCCGCACACCAGCATTAACCCCCTCCAGTCAATCCAATCCAGAGATGTGGCCGAAACAGGGTAGTGTGAAAAGTTGTGCATCCAAGAAGTTGTTCCCGCGCCTCAGCCCCGCCACGGAATGGTCTGCACGTACTATTCCTTCGTTCTGGTCGCAGAAGATGTGTGGAATCGGCGAGAGAGACAATGGGAATTCACACCAGGAGTTGCATCGCCACTAGGCATTCTCGATGGCACCCTTATCGCCAAGGCACACACATTTCCACACCCATTTCATATGGGGAAGCGGAAGCAGACTCAAAGAAGATACTATTCCCCTTAATCTTCACCGCGAGCTCCATGCGCTGCCGCTCTTCCTAGCCCGAAAAGAGCAACGATCGCGGCAGCGCCCGCTTTCCTTTCGACCAAGACAAGAGACATTCATTTCTCCGGTTCGATATGGCCCAACTGAACTGAAACAAACAGAAGAAGGCAGGCGAAAAGATCATAGCGGCCCTCACGTCAGACCGACGCGAGGCGTCTGGATGGTCTTTCGTATTCTGCCTAGGCTCTGCTTTCATGGACACGCGAGCGCCCGGTTTGCCTTGCTTACCTCTCAACTCGAGTGTCGACCCGAGTGATTGGTTCCAAACCCCGAGCCATCATCGATCAATTGATGATTTATCCTGGACGGGCTTTCCACTCATCGGTGCTTCGCTTCTCAACAGCAACGAGGATAAAACACCACAAAGATGACATCCGTTGTCTCGGCGAGGAAGGCGCTTGACTGGTTACTAAGCATGATTGGAGAAGATTTGAGTCGACAACGAATGAGGTGAATGAGTGAATGAGTGAATGAACTGAATTGAGTTTGAACATTGAACCGGCGCGGAGTCGGGTCGGGAGCAGGTGACCGCAATTGTTCCCAGGCAAGCCGGCCCTGTGTCCTTGGATGACGTGATCAGAGTGCTCAAGTACATGGTCAAGCACATCGTACTGCGGAGCGCGGAGACTCCTCTTCATCGGGGTTAGAGAGGAAGAGAGGACCTCATTGCGTCGAGTCTAAACTTCCCATCATCAGAAAACTACTCAATTCTCACGGCCATGCCTATATTCGCATTCGACCATTTATTGTTCAGGGAAATAAGGCCGAATTCATTAAGACTATTTCACTCGTCTCTCCTCACTCGAAAATAATTGCGGACAAGTTCATCTCAGGCCGGCCCTCTTGAGCAACTTTCTCTCAAGGACCACTCCTTGTCTTTGGGCCCACCCTGGGCAGTACCCTGCTGTATCGTTCATTCACATCCATTTCAGTGATATAATTCGACATCGACGTCGACGTCTGCCAACATTAAAGAATCTTGAGTCAACTACTCGTCCTTCATCATGTTCCAGGTTCGTACCCTGACGTCCTTGCCACCCACATCCATCATCAAGATAAGCTCACTCGTTGAAATGCTGTAGCCAAATCCCCAGGACCACATGCACCTCCGCTTCCACCGGGCACGGTCTGTGGTGTTAACTACCCAGGAGTAAGTAGCATCAGTCGATGGCCGCTTGCTTTAACTGCGTGTTTTCTTCTCTCTCGCCCGAGGAATGGTCTGCTCTTCTCTTTCTTCAGTGGCCAACGCTGTGTTGAGTTGGTTCTGCACGGAAACACCCATATCAATTGGTCGGTCTCGTCATGGTCAATCAACACTCGTATCGTGGAACGAGAAACGATGAGCACATCTGATTCCATGCCGCCGTCCTTACCAAGAAGCCCCGTGAGTTCCTCGCGCTAACGGCCTAATCCTGCCCCGTACCAGGCTTGTTGAGATCCGAGCCGCCCAGCGGACCTTCGAGGGTGCATACATGCGCACCGCCTTATCCCAATTCTCCTTCTCCCTCATCATTCTTAAGATCTTCACCTCCGAGTTCTACGCCATCGGCGCTCTCTTCGCCGTCTACGGTGCCGCTGTCATGCTGGTCGCCATCTACCGCCGTTACGAGGGCAACCGCCAGTTCTTCAGCCACATGGAAACCGACGGCCACCAGACGAAGAAGTTTCGTACGGCGGGAAATAGCGTCGTGCTCTTAACTTTCCTCAGCTTGTGTGCCTATGTCACGCTCTTGGTTCTTACCTGGAAGTTGTCTGGCTGAGTTTACGCGCGTGGGCTGGGGATGCCCAATGTGAGCTTTTGCGAATATTTTCTTTGGTAGTCGCGGTAGTATTTTCGGGCGAAATTTCATCCTTCTCCTTGCCGTCTTCGGGTCATCCATCTAAATGCCCGCGCCATGTTTGGTTTCAGGAATGTATATGCCTTAAAGACTCTTTCTCTTCCCAGCCATGTTCGTGAAGTCCACCTTCTACTGGTCCTGAGAGCAATATACCGCTTGGTATTTGCTATGCAGAAGGGACGTTGTATTTCACAAGTTTCGTTCACCCCACGGCGTCGGGTCGATAACGATGCTTCACGACGGCACTTCTTGTAGATGATACGGCGTCAAACCTAGTGAGTGAGTATATCCTGAGACGAGCCGTGTAGATATTACTTGCGAATAGCCATCAAGGCGCACTTGTGAAGCCTGAACCAGTGAAAATTGTAAATTTAAAGCTCTCTGGTTACTCGCACCATTCTCCCATGGGAAAATGTTTGAACGAACAAGCTGGAAATGTCAATCTCGAGTGTTCTACCCCGTTTGAGATGCTTTCATTCAGAGTTCCACCGTCCAAGAAGTGGCCAACGCCTACAAACAAAATATTCATAGATCAAGATCCGAATATCGGCGAACACCCACTAGATATGGCCACCTCCCAAGTCTCTCTATCAACCTCGAAACAAGAAATTGTAATACACTTATGCATTATTGATCTAACGTAGAAGTAGCCAAAAGAAAAAGACCGAGTCTAACACTAAGTCATTAAAACGAGTTGTGTGACAAAGGAAACACCAAACGTATTGACCCAACAATACCGAGAATGATAGAATGCAGACAGAAAACCTAAAGAATGCACATATAACCAAACAACCCAGGAAGATCTTTTGATGCCAACACATAAACAAATACCCTCCGAGATGGACCGTAAACAAACCCGCATAACCCCCCTCCATGTACAATATATAAGGACAAAGTTGAAGAGGCAGCCGTTTCCACCCGATAATAAACCAGATATATGCTTTTGTTTTCTCGTCACCCTATTTTAGAACCCTCGATCATAGTACTTCCGTACTTCCGTCATGTATACAACCCATAGGAAAACCAGTTAAGAAAAAGAAGAGAAAGAAAAACTTGAGAATAAGGAGCTGGGAGAGGGGGCGGGGGTGGGGCGACAAATGCAATAGAAAGGTTAGAATAGGAACGACGATGGCTCGTTGGGATGTTGGCTTGTGCTGGTTTGGACCACATCCTTCCTGCTGTATAAACAAGTCTTCTCCGGCAAAGACCGGCGATTATTCACTCTCGTGCCTGGTGTTCCTAATCCTCGTGCGGAAAATTGGGGACTGAATACTGTGCGATTCCCACAACCAGTTGTCTCGGTGTGATCGCCTTCAGGGAGCATCTCGCCGCACAATAGACCAGAGAGCCCTTCGCGCGAGACGGAGTGCCTTGTCCAATTGTTGCTAAGCCCAGTACCGCTGGATAATGCGAATTCCAACGCATCGATTTTGATTGTTCGGTCACAGCCTAAACGGCGGGAACAAATATCCCCACTCGACGAATCCGACGAGCCATCTCGGGTGTCATGCAGGATGCTGCGTTGCTTGGCACATGACCGATAGCTTTCGGGGAGCAACGGTCATGAGTCGTCCAGCAACTCTCTTTTCAGGATGAAGTCGGCATTTTGAGGGAGGCTTTGAAGCCGAGTATTGTCTGGTCGACTGCGCGGGCAACATTATATTACCGAGCTCGCGCCACCAGCCATTCGTTGTCAAAGGCAGGTCCGTGCTAGCAACGCGAGTTTCCTTTGAATCAAGCTTGCACCAGTGCTTTTCTGATTCTCTTTCATTTTTTCCCCGATCGCGAATACCCGAAAACATTGACTGCGGCGAACGGGTTTCGAGGAGTAGAGATGTCGACTTCGTTCCATGCTCGTTTTCGCTCGTCACTGATTCCTCGTTGGTCTTGGATGCGCCTGGACTTCACCAAGGACGCCGGGATTTTTATGGTTGCCACAGTTATAACCCCGTTTGTTCATGGATTTCCTGCAATTGTCAAGTGATTGGAGACCTGGAGCCGCCGAGGCTCCCAGAACCAAAAAGATGCTTCCTGATCTCTGAGCCGAGTTAATTCCTCAACCACAGCGGGCCGATTTATCCCGCGATAGAATGGCATTGAGGATTTTTCTGTTCTCGGACCGCTGTTGTAGACAGACCACACCATTCTGCGCCGTAACCCCTGACTGGAACCCGTCGCCCCCCATGAAGCACTACCTTCCCCCTATCATCGGGGAGGGTAGTACATACTTCCCGGGGCTTGGTGACTCTCTGGAGCGTGAACCTGTTCTTCGGTCGCAACAGGCGCATTCGAGCCATTTTCACCATATCCCCAGCCTCCATAGGCATCACCGGGCTTCCCATAGGGATATTGGGGCTGCCAATTTCCGTAGCCGGGAGGAGGAACAGCACCGGCCGACAAGGCTACGTTATGTTCCATAGCTGTTCCTGTTTGCGTCGTTTCGACTCCTGGTAGGGACGTCGCCAGCGGAGGAGGGTATATTTCTGATGATATTGAGGATGGCTTTCTTTCGTACTGTCTATTCGCCATGGACGAATACTGGCCTGGTGTCTGCGTGCTCATTCCCTCGCCTCCAAATGACATCGAACGCGGTGGCGGCGGAGGATACGATGACCAGGGGATGTCTTCCCGGGGCGCTGACTCTGCGCTTACTGGGGCATTCCAACCAGCCGAAGTGGGCGCATGAGGTGTATATGGGGAGAATGAAGGCGTGATGGGCGATTCATGAGGGTACGCTCTCCACGTCGCATTCAGATCGTTCGGTTTGGCCGTCGAACCCGGGCTTTGCTCCGCCGACATCCAGTTTGTCATTGGCTGGGTTGAAAAATCAAAGGGCCGCCCTGTAGCAGGAGCACTCGCAGGCACTTGAACCATAGTCATTAGCAGCGCCATCGTGAGCTTGGATTAGAACAAGGCCTTTTCTACTTACTCTTTCCATCCGGCGAGAACGGCTCATTTCCCGTGGGCTTCATAGCAGGGGGTGCCATATTCTGGATCGGCGGGTATGGCTGGTGGGGGGGTATTTCGGCGGTAGGATGGCCGCTAGAGATCGCGGGCGACGAGGATGCGGATGCGATCTTCGGCCCGGTTGATGCCCTGGAAGAGGCCTTTGATCGCACATCTGTCGGCGGCTGCTGGTCTACGGGATAGAAGCTGCACTCCTTTTTCAATCTGATGCAGTTCACACATCGACCCTGAACGTCGGCAGGAGATGGAATGCATCTAATTTTTCTTCGCCGACAGTGACCTAGGCGATAGCCGGTTAGCTATAGCGACTTTGCCATACAACCAGCTCGCGCGGGATACAACGAGGTCGTTTGATCTAGTTACTTACCGCATGCAACTGAGGTCCGATGATAACCCAGCTTGTTTCTTCGCTTCTCGCCAGGCATTCCCATGGGGACGTGTTCGGGTGCGTTTGGCTGGGATCGAACATTAGGAGTGGACAAAGACCGTTTTATTTTCATACTTGCTTGAGACAAAGAATCTTTTCGGTCCTTCAAGGACATAGACGAGTCCTGTACTGGTCTCATTTCCATCGACGAGCTTGTTGGTGGCGGCACGTTATAGTTCGGCAGGTACCCGGTGTGCGGCATGTCCATCTCGGCGCCGTTCGGGGGCGGCGGAGGAGGGTACTGATAGGACATTATGGATGTCATGAGTTCGAAGGATTGCAGTTTTATAAGAGCAAGTGGGATTCTCCGATGGCCTAACTGTCCATGTACCGAAGGATGGCGTTTCCTCGTTTGTGGAGTGTGCGAGGAATGGATCTGCGGCCTGAGGCCTAGCGCAGCGGGTGGTGAGGTATACCGAAGGAGCGAAAGAACAGCCAAGGTGGTGAGGGGTGGACGAGGATATGTTTCGTGCGGAGTTCCTTTCGTTACTTCAAGCTTGTTCTGTGGCGAGTCACTGGCTGAGGGAACGGAGCGGCGCCAGTATCATTTCAAGAGACGCAGGCCCGAGTGAACCAAGGTACCCTGTACAACCAAAGGAACACAAAGCTTGGGTTGATATCTGACAAGAAGAAGGCAGTACTCGGATGATAAAAACAGAAGAGCGATTACGGCGTCGGGGTTCACAAAAGACGGGACGGACTAGGAAGGCAGGAAAACAAACCAATAGAGTTGGAAGGCGAGGATGTCTGTCCTGGTGGTCTGCGGTTGATAATGCTGTGGCGGCAAGGTATAGGGTACGTGGAGGGGGCTAAGAGTTCAATATTTGGTTCACTGTGACAAGGTAATTATCCCTTCCCACAGTCCGGTAGAGCGCAACCCTTGCTTTGAAGGCTAGGCGTTGTATGCCTCTCAATAACACCAGAAGCTTGATTGCTTTCGTCCTTCAGTTCTCAGGACGCAGGAAAACGAGATGTGGGTGGCTGCTGGGTCTGCTTCTGGGATTAGCTCTGAGTCCGGAGCCTGGGCGAGGTTTTAAAAGAATATGTGAGGGAAAGCGGTCGTGATAAGAGCAGGTGCTGAGGTGACTTTGATGACAAGTTGAGGAGTGAAGGGCTCAAGAACCATCGGTAGGTGACTCTGCAGGACATCTAGGCTACACGAGTCAAGCACTAACATAGGTTACTGAGTAACGTGGAGGACGCCTAGGGAGGGGCGAAGAGGTAATATGCGAGGAACCAAGGTTAGCGCGATTGGACGGGTCTATGGGGCAATGTACCTCTTCTTGCTTTCCCTGGGACGGAAAGACGGCAGAGATCCACCCTTCGCAGGCCGATGGCAACACCGTACGAGGTTCGAGGGAGGACACGATTCTCGGAGTCAACTTTGATTATCAAGATCTCGGGTGAGCTGGTTAGGTTATATTTGTTAGGCCCGAATGTGAGAGAGCAGAGATGAGACGGCAGGGTGAACCGCCGTGAACTGTTACGTGCAGGTGACGGCGCTGGCGGAGGAGGGAGGCGATGAGGTGGGGGGGATGAGCCCGTTTGGCCAGCGAGAAACCACGCAGACAAAACCCGGCAGGCTACCAAATATGTAGGAGCGCGAGAAACCAGCAACGGTCCCTATGTGGTTCAGGGATTCTGGTTGCGCCACCGAAGCAAGTGCAAGGACGTACCGCTAGTACGCAACAACAAGAACCCAGGGAAGACCAAGTCCAGGAAAGGGCACAATTTTATGAAAGCCACTGCGGCTCTAGATCGGATGGCTTCGACGACGCGTGGATTCGACTCGAGGTTCGCGTCTATTCCTTAGCCCGAATGGGAGGATTCTTGCGCTCTGCAGTCTAGTCCAGGCCCTGTCCCCTTCCAAGACTTGGCTTGCGAGTCGTGGGTATTGGTGGATCAAGGGCATCAAATCAAGCGCACTTCGCTTGAAGGTCGAACAAGTTGGGAATAGGACAGGGAGTGTGGGAGCCAGGAACAAAGGAGAAGGATTGAGGAAGAGGTAGGCTGTGCTCACACGGGCAAGATGAGGTGCCAACAAGTGAGAATATACAATTGGCAATGATATAGTATAGTATCTGGGGGCAGACGCGTCGTAGCGGCGGGAGCAGGAAAGCATGGGAAGCAATATGAAGGTATCAATAACTGGGATGGGGTACCTTATAGCGCAAATGCCGCGCTGTAGATACGAACCGCCGGAGAAACCTCGAGAGCCGGCAAGTAAGTTCGGGCGAGTGTATGGTGATTGATGTTGGGACGGGTTCGCGGTAGCCCAAAGAGGATTTGTCCGAAGGAACGAAAACCAGGGCGGTGCTGGTATTATTATGTGGTTGGTTATTTCTTTTTTCCTTTTTTCTTTTTTTTATCGAGGCAGGCTGTGTTTCCTCGTCGGCTCTAATGCTTCTTCACCTATATTATTGCCTGTACTTGTAAGTCTGATTGTTGTTCGAGGGCGAAAGAAACATTTGACGATTGAACGATGGACGGCGGGTAAAGAACAAGAAGGACCAGGTCAGGCAGGCAGCGAGTAGGCGAGGGCGAGGGCGAGGACAGCGACCAGGGAAACGACGGAATCGGTCTTTCTTTCCGAGTGCCTTCTTGTCAATCAGGTCCGGCAGGAACGTGGGTAGTATTAAGAGGAAGCGACTGAACTACGTTCCTGAACGGAAGAAGAAGAGAAGAAGAAGAAGAAGTACGAGGAAAGAACGAGGCAGTGAGCAGCAGAGCAGTGAGAAAGAGCGAGTGAGCGAGTAAGAGGAAGGAGGACCTGGAGAGTGAAAGTAGGAAGGTTCGAGGTACGAAGTGATGAGGGGGATTAATACCCAGACTTGTAGGATCACAACGGCAAATGACAAGTACAAGAAGAAGATGCGCAGAGGCAAAACAAAGAGAATAAAAAGTGGAATCAGAAATTAATAAAATGGTTCTGCCATTCTGGCTTTGACATAAAGCCAATAACCTACCAATACTGGCAAAAATGGCAGGAACGGATGCTCGACGGCTATCATGTCGACTGGTTGCCAATTGACACGGGGAACGTCTATTTTGGGCCACTTAGGACCTGACCACATGCAGCTCAAAGATGAAACGCGATAGCTGTTCGGAAGGCCAAGGGGGATTTTCTTCCATTGCTTCCATGACCACCCTTTGCAATAGAACTAACCCCGTCAGTCTAGAAGATTAACCGATTTCGATATGCAACAGGCATTAGGGTTCGCCCATGCCCGCGCCGATTCCCACCTTCCCACCTTCCCACCCACCTTCTGGGACCCGGGACCACACCCCAGATCAGTCCGTCATGAACCCTGTCGACGAGACGGGGTCTGACCAGCCCCCCTCCCCCTCTAAAGAAAAAAGGAAAAAAAAAAGGAAGAATGAGAAAAAAAGCTGGGCCGGAGATTCCTTGAAAGGGAGCGGAGTGTGACGGCGGAGTATCCCGTCTCGTAGTGGTTATGTGCTCGCTGCTCAGTAAGTGATAGCATCATTGATCTTCGATCTTACAAGTCTGTCTCGTCACCCCCAACCAGAGCGACCCAGTCCTTACTATTGTACACAAAGCATGAAAATGCGTCGCCCTTTGGTCCTCCCGGACTTGTTGATTTCGGTCTCTTGCGAGAGCCATCATGTTTCCGTTTCCTTCGAGATTGAAGAATGCGATATATATTACTCCGTGCCTATTCTGATATCACCCATTCTTCCTTCATTATAGCCTCTGTGTTTGCAAGCACGTCTTGAGCGAAAAGACCTGACTAGAGATATTATTTCTGTTTCATCTTATCACCCCATTACGCCGAGATTTGTACCTGGAATTTGAGGCTGGGCGGAGCTTCAATACTGTCGTTAGCTACACTCCCGTCTCTTAAACAGCTATCAGTTCTGGTGAACAGCATTAGCTGACCCTGTTACTCACGTACTAGGGGCGGATGATACTCATACACCTCAATGTGTGCTAGTGGATTACAGACGAGTGAGTTTCCTGCCATTGACCAATACCTCTATCTGGCCTTATTTAAAAACCTCCAGCTTGGGCGGGAAAAGAGGCCAGGTCTTCTTTGGGTATGCAGGGATGTGCCGAGGTAGGTTCAAGAGAGCTTAAGGGTCAACCTTAGACTGTCGGTATCTCCAAGAGTCTCTATTACAAGTGCATGGCGAACTTATTGCTCGAGAAGTTGGCGTCTTATTCTCGTTTATACTCGCAGTTCTTGGTACTCAGACGTATCTTCCAGGACCACACCAGAAACGGCGAGTCGAAGAAGTCGAGCAATGCATAGAATTATTTCTTGACTTGTCTCTGGTCCTATCGAGTTCGAGGCCAAGGCATCAGGGGCAGTCAGACCAGTTTGGTTGGAGGAATGGGTCGTGGCATTGCCCTTACGGCGCTTTGATCGGCGCATGCTGCATCTCACCATTGCAGCCAGTTTCATCGCGTTCTCTACTCTACAGCTTGTAATTGGGCGCACCTTCGGACTCTAATTGCACTGTTGGCATTTCCAGATCTCGGTACTTCTGCTGGTGTTGGCACCCCTCAATATGAGCTACCATGGCTGGCAATTGCCCTTGTACGAAGTACTTCATACTTTTTAGAACGTGGGTCGAGGACTTACGAAGTACGAAGTACAGATCGCACCGAGTGTGTGGAGGTCAGGGCCAACCTCAAAGACGGTGGAGGACTTAACACCCTTGCACTTGCAATTTTCGCAGGGCCCCGTGCAGATCCCTCCAGCCCAAACTTTGCAAAGTTTATCTTTGCGTGAAAATGCGCAAGTGGTATTGGAGATCCCGGCCAGGGCCGAGCCCGAGCGTCTCCACTACTTGGGATGAAGGACAGCGAGCACCGTTCTTCCCGCTGGATAATACGAAGCAAAAAAAAAAAAAAAACGCCCTCCAATAGCTGGACCAAGTTGTCGGCTGGCATTGGTATACCAAACAACAAGCAGTAGAAAAGCTAAGCCTTCCTACTATGTATATTAGAGTACGAAGACAGTCAGTTCCACAAGAGTAATGATTGCGAGCAGTGGTTGACGTTTGCCTCGATCTTGCCAGGGGTACTTCGTACCTGGACCTGCTTTTCCCCACGCCCCTCTGGGTCCAATTGTCTTTCTTGCGCACACCCCGGCGTGTCCCATTGAAAAACCAGATCGCAGAGCTCAATTGCTTCCCAACCTTACTTCGTGCTTGGTACTTGGGTTTGGTCGATACTCGTCGTGATAGTGTCAAATGATATGTCCAAAGGTCTCAGTTCCCTTCGAC